TTTATATTTTATCCAAATCATGATTTGTGTGTTCTAAACAAAAGATAGAGAAGTCATAAACATATAACATTAAGTTTGTTTTCCAAAAATGACAGACATTTATGGTGAATTTGGACAACACAAGACATATTAAAATGGCTTATATTGCCGGCTACAACTATAACTACATCCTCTCCTTTTGTTTTACAAGTGATGCCTTTACATAAAATGACTATAAAAACTTTTCAAATTCAATGTTTAAAAAAATACTGAAACACGAAAATTCCATAAAATTACACATAAATGGCATCGACGGTGTCAACAAAATGTTAGCGAAGTTGAAATATGATTTCCTGAAATATTGTTATTATGTTACTTTTGACATGAAGAAATATGCCTTTTAATTCTATCAGTTTATACAATTCTCAACAACTTAACCTTTTGTTTCAAAAGACACTGTAACATCTTTAGGTAATTTTCTTTGTCTCAAAGGTTCCAATGATAATTAAAACATGTTAAACCCACTTCACTCTTTATATAAATTCCACCTAGTATGTAAATTTTTCAAACATCTTGATATTTAAGCAAGTTTTATAATTTCGGTACCCTAATTACATGAAAAAATACATGAAAATATATAGTTTTAAAAATTAAGAAACACAAAGATACAGTAAAATTTAAAAATCTAGTAACGCAAAAATACATTAAAATTGTTAGATTCAATAATGTCACACTGACAAAGTTTTAAATAACCAAAATAAAATTTGTTCAGAGATAATGTACATGTATGAATAATTGTATGGTCAGTAGAGCTCAGGGTTCTCTTCTTACTCTTCTAATTTAGAATTATTTATTCACAAAGACATCTAAACATCACTCAGATTTAGTTAATAACATAATCAGCTCATTATAGGGTATGGTCATACACAGTAATTATGTTACATATGTAAATTTATGCTAATTTATGTTAATTTATGCAAATTTTCTATCTAATTGAATTGCTTTATCACACTTGTGTTATAAACTAAGTACATTAACAACGTAAAACCCCTTTTTTAAGGGATAAGATGTAACTATCATCTAATTAATGAAAGTCTATTCATTGACCTACAGTGACCAGTGGGACATTTGCAGGACATGATTTGGGACAATTATCAAATCCACAGAGTCACATGTTAAAACTCTTCTAGCAAATCTGTCAATAATGGCTGTCAATTAACACAATCATGACAAATTGTTATTGACTTACAAACACTGCAACACTACCATGTATCTTCCATAAACTTATTACAGAAGATGTTGCAACTTTCTCTATCAAGCAAAAAAATACACAGTTCCTATTCTATTCTATATCAAAGGTCAAAATTAATACAAAATCGGCATTTTTATCAATAAATTGCTATGCATATTTTTTGTTGTTAAAAAGTTATATCAATTAAACAGTATTCTTACTTGATTTTCAAAATTATGGCAAGAAATAAATACAAAAAAATTGGTACAGTTTGAAACTTAAAGACAAGACAGAACCATGACTTTATCAAGTAAGAGGTATTCCATCCATTAATAAGTATCACAATGTTCAATTTAAGTCACAAGTCACTCAAAGAATTATGATGTATTTTTTGTATACCATTACATTTTGCGCAATAATTTTTTGTCACATAAAAAATAAAACCTTTAATTGATATACTATGTATCCTGTAAAAAAAATTTTTTTGTTCATAAAAATCCTAAAATAAAAAGGCTGAGTCAACTTCCATATGTTATGCACATGTTTATCAAATAATTTAGATTTTACCCATCATTCTTTTTTATTAATTATTGTGCACTCAACCCTGTATATAAATGCTAGTTTTAGGAAACAAGGAAATCAGTCTTTGTCTTAAGATGGTCTCCTAAATCAGGTATTTTAACACTTAGCATACAAGACAAATAAAATGAACACTTAAGTGCACCTTTTATATAATTATGATCATGTTAATATATTTAGAACTGATCTTTAAAACAAATTTGACTAAATTGTGAATTATTTGTAACAAAAAAATATATATCCAACAAAAGTACAATTTCAAAATCTCACATACATTTTTTTACAAAGGTGAAACAGTCTACATCTGTAGACACATAAGACATTATTATTTTAAGGTAAAAAAACTCACTTTTATTAGAGACTGTACAAATGACTTCAATCATGAAGCGTAAATAATGGATTAACAAAATGATCAAAACTATGTAATCATAAAAACACACTGCAATCAGAATTAACAGTTTACAATAACATGCACTGAGTATGTTCTTACCTAAAAACTGCTAAACATTGTACAATAAACATTACAGTTTCTTTATTCTTGTTTTGTGTGATAACAGGAAGAGATTTTCTCTTAAGTCTGACATGAACATATTTCTTATACCAGATTATCAAACCTGTAAACAATATATTAACCATACATCCAATCAAAGACTAGATAAATAGAAATTACAAAAAAATAGACCCACAACATTTAATGTTTGGCATCTTCGTGAACCAAAATATGCTCAATTTTTATTCTAAAACATCTTAAATTCTGAGAAAAAATTTACGTTTTTATTATGAATGCCACTTTATTATTTAATACCCTTACATATAAATAATATGCACAACCAAAATAAAATGCATAACTAAGATAATTAAATACATTGACAGTGTGAACCACAAAGTCCTATTTAACTTATTATTATAATAACTTTGTTCTTGTTCAATTTTCTTTTATCATAATATATACATTTGTGTATTTGTAAAAAAAAGGCCAATATGGAATATAAAAATAAACACAGGAATTTGTATGTTATCTTTTAAAAAATATCTTACTTTAAAGTGAAATATCTCAGTGAGATATATCTTATATCAAACTGAAAATAACCGAGCATCCTCCTAATCAAGGAATCACCACTAACACTAACATTGTAAATCAGTGTGCAAATAAAATAAGTCTAGACCATGCTGCTAATGATAAATATAAATCATGTAACTTTGACAAAAACAACAACAACAACAATAATGATTTACTTCAGAATTAGTTGATGTATAATGAACATAGCTCTTAAATCAAAAAAATATTTTTGTTGTCACAAGCAGTAACATTTTTATACAACTACTTGCAGCAGTAACTCCTACATCTTTGACCTCTGACATTGTGTCACATCTACCTTTAATATCTCTAAAGTAACTTGTAAAACATAAAGTTCAAAAGCTGTAAAAATCGGCCTTAAAATACATCCGTAATCATCATCATATTATTTAACCATTTGTAAAGTTTTTTTTATGATATACGAACAATATAACATCAACAAGATATTGCGATATTTTATGTGTTACACGCGCAATTACAAGACGATCAACATCCATAGGAAGCCATTAAATGGTTCGAATATTGCCATCTGTGGTAATGTAGATATTTTTTGACATCATCATTATAAGTTAATCAAAATGTCATACTGATTTACACAACATCGTCTTCAAACGACAGCGGTACAATAATTCAAATTTGATCGTAAACAGTTTGTGACGATAAGAAAACTCTTGTCAGCTACAAGCTATTTTGGTGTATTTTGAATAAAATATTCATGTTTCTGATAAAATAGACAATATTTTCTAATATTTCTTATGTCTGCCATTAAGCAACAAGGATCCTCTTCTTATATGAGCAAGGAAAACCCATGTACTTACATCATGATATGACATAATGGTGTACGTAACAAAAGCTATTAAGAAAAATTTTCTTTAAAAAAATTTATGAAGGATAATATCGAAATTGATCACATTATGTATTAACACTTTATTATATATACAGAAACAGGACATAAAATACCGAATTCTTTTACTAATAAGTAAAGAACAGTGAGCACAGATTCCAAGTTTAATTTACATTCATTAAACATATATGAGCTAGCCATGACAAAACCAACATAATGGGTTTGCGACCAACATGGATCCAGACCAGCCTGCGCATCCGCGCAGTCTGATCAGGATCCATGCTGTTCGCTTACAAACCCTTTAACAAGTAGAGAAACTGATAGCGAACAGCATGGATCCTGATCAGACTGCGCGGATGCGCTGGCTGGTCTGGATCCATGCTGGTTGCAAACCAATTATGTTGGTTTTGTCGTGACGCGGCTCATATCTTGTTTCTGTCAAGGCATGGTGAAAACTCGAGACATTTCTCTTAGTTTTCACATAACACACCACACATTATTAAACAATTTAAAATAATGTATTCTTAATATAACAGACCTGGTCTTAGGGTTTCATTCAATTACAGACAGTAAAACAGCCCAGAATTTAAACAATCTACCAGACACACTGTTTGCGTAACAGTCTGAAAATTCTGAGATTTAAGATTTACAAAATCAAATTGTGAAGGCTTATCATAAAACTGTGGTAATTTGTTCTGTAAAACATTTGAGTTACAGCAGTATAGAGTCAAGCTATGACCAGATCTTACGGCCTTTAAAGCAAATAATAAAACACTTAATCCAGAACTCTAAAATAATATTTATCTAATTAATATCATTCATATACAATAAGAAATCTTTTTATTGTAACAAACTAATTCTTACATTTAAAGAAATAATAAAAATACAGAAAACTCTAAAGTTACCATTCGAAAATCTAGTATGAGGTAAAGATCAATTTCAAATAATAGTAATACATATTATGTAATTTTATATTCTTTTTTTATTAAAAAAAAAACACTTACCTTCATAAGTAAATATTGTAAAATCCAGGAAAATTATCATTTTTCTGTATCAGACACTTATTAAATTACATGTATTTCAAAAACGATTTGCAACTTTTTAAGTGATACAAAAGAAAGCACAATCTATGTAATAGAAAATAAAAATCTTTTCATTAACAATGCAAAGTTTAATTATAACTTTCTATTTGACAACGAAAAAAAAAAGTATTCACATTTGAATTAAAACTGGTGACAGTTAAATGACGAGGTAAAATGTTTTCAAGATTAAAATCAATACAGCTATACCATTGCCTCACTGCTGGTCTTGATTTCATGGTACGGTGACCAGGTAATATAGCTCCTCCCACTAGTGACTGACTGTTGAATCATGTGACTCCAGATAGGTCATGTGACCTGTTAGTGAAGCTGGCTAGGTCTAGGGGAATCAGCATCTGTAAATTTTACAAATGATCAGGTAGCATTGAAAAGTTTATACATCAATTGATGGGTTCAGATAAAAATGGCGAATTTAATAATATGATAAAAACGTAAATTTGACAGCTTAGTCAATAAGATTCTTGAAATGTGGGGTATTATTTCAAAATACCTTTACTAGGATTGAAATTAAGAGCTAAATTTCAATTTACATCTAAATGAGATAAAGGTGGTCCATTTACCAATGATAATTCTCTGAGGTTATTAGAGGCTGGTATTAAATGATTTTCATTGCAATAACTTCTAATTAACATATCTTATTCAATAAGGGAACTTAAGAATTAATTTAATTAAAGTAAATGTGGTAACTCAGTAGCTCAGTTTTCAGTTATTCAAGAATTTCTAGAGGTATTTTATACCATGTAATACCTTCATTAAGTTGTTGACACTCTTAATATTTTAAGGTAATATACATGTATTTTATACAGTTCTATACTTTTCAATGATTTTAACATAGTTCTGTAACACTTACTAAGTAACTCAATCATTACACATGTAGCATCCTATACTAACCTATACTGTATCTTTTTACAACAAATTACTATTAAAATGAAACAAACAATAATTACAGAACTCTATAATGTGCAACCAAGAGTTATAAATTTAAGACAACTTGACTATGGCAACAATTACAACTAGTGGTCGGAGCCTATGACCAGCTAGCTCTACATTTTTGGTTGAGTAAATCTATTACTGCACATTGACACCCCTTTAAACAAAAATAAACAGGCTGAAATTTTGACTGGTTCGCTTCAAAATAGGGAATAGTCCACTTCAAAATGGAGAAGCATCATTTTTTCTGCAATAAAATCTTTACTTTACATGCATAAAGCAAATAAACTGTTCATTTCGAAAACAGCAACCCTTTACTCTGAAATTTCAAATTTAATCATTTTCGCATCAAAATATCTGGGGAAATTAAAAGTAGAATCTAAATGAGAGGAATTTTTCATTTTATCTTTTTATGCGAGAAAAGTTCAATCAGCACATGAGCAACATCTTCAATCGAACATAACCTCAAGGGACCGTGATTTTAATGACAATTTTATCTACCCAATTGGTAATTTTAACTACATTTTTTTCCGAAATTTCGCATTATAATTGCATATAAACCACACAATTTTATGACAGGGGTTTACGCAGGATATGACTTCTGTTCAATTTCATTTTGATGTCTTCATCGTATTATAAAGCTTAATGTAAAATACACCATTTTAGGAGTGCACTTCATTTTTATTAAGCATTGGTTTTAGCATTTTTTTCTGGAAATTTAGTGTAACATTAAGATTTGACATTCTTATTAAATAATAATTATACCGAACAATTTACACTGTTAAAACTTAAAACTTAAGCAAGTTGAATTCATATAACATTATTTTCCGTTCTTTATTGACTAGGAATGACCTTTGTTGGTTTATGGCAATCTGACTACAAAAATCTAAATCTGAGCAGTGTAGGACAGCAGATACTTTTAATCCTGGCTCTAATAAAGGTATGATAATACCTGTCTTAAAGAGGAGAATTCAATGTACCTTGAGCTAAGATTTAAACCACATCATCAGTCTCATCATATACAGTTCTTAATTTTAATTGAAAACATTCAAATTTAAATCTTTAAACACTGTTAACAACCATGTCAAACTGAGAAAGTAAGTACTAAGCCTCTATCATGCTGCAGTGGCATTTTTATGTTATAATTTTTAATAGAACAGAAAACACTGTTCAAATTTAAACATTTTTATTTAACAGAACACTATAAGCAGATAAGACGTTTCACACTAAATTTCACCAATGTACAGCTTCAATACTTCAAACATACCGGCAGTCATACAATTTCAACCATTATTACGAATATAAATTTGAATTTTTTTTATAAAATAATAAATCATGAGTAACAATTAAATTGTTCACATATTTAACGAGCCCTAAAAAAGATATCATCATTATAGCTATCCAAAATTGCCTCAAATTAAACGCAACAACCCATCGTGACATTATAGACATTTTGGAAGTCGTCAAAATTAGTTGTAAGTTAGGGAGCAAATTGTAAGAGCTTTAACGCAGTATCTGATGCTATATGTTTTGACATTTACACCTTTTTGTCAATAAGAAGTCAAAAATGAAACTGACAATCATTTAATGCAACATCCCTCTCTACATCTCCAATAAGATAAATTCTAATTATAAAAATCATTGAATTTATAAAAAAATAATGACAAAAATATTCACCATAAAAGAAAAATTACATTTTATCAGCTGGTAATTCAATAAATTATGTTGTTAAAATTTAATTCTCTATTTGTCATAATAACTTGAAATACAAAATGAATATAAAATTTGCATTTATCAAAATTTAATTGTGACATGCTTTATTTTAATGCCCCTATTTTACAATTTGTGAGTCAAGACAGAAAGATGACAAAACTTTATCATTTAATTTAAATAATTGCCAAAAAAATCATGACTGAACCAGCTAAAACAAATCTTTATTCTTAATGTTTTAAAGTTATTCTTGCAGCATAATCTTGTTTAGAAAGTCATGATGATCTTTAAAAGGTTCAATCTTTATTTGTCCTGAATTAAAAAACATATAATATTCAATAAAGTCAAAATTCAATAAAAACTCACTCTCAAGAACTGGTCATTTTTGTTTGTTTTTGTTTTGATTTTACAACACAATTTTGCTCATATGGCGCCAAAACATTTTCCCTAAAATGATGAATGGTTTTGTCCAAACTGAACAATGGACATGTCCATTTATAATATTTAGTGTGGCAAGGGCTAAATGAAAATTCCTTTAGAATCTGAACAGCCTTGTTTTTACAACCAAGTAACGAAAATAAATAATTTAACTTGATATTTTGATATTCAAAAAATTCATTAAACAGACAAATTATTTTTATTTACCCAATTTACCAGATAAAACTCACCAAAACAAACTTAAATCCTCATTATTTCATTTTTTCTTCTTAATTAAATGAGCCCTTGATACCAGGTTATAAGTTAGTTTCTGCTATACAGTATATAAAATAAAAGGGAGTTTATATACTTTGTTAGTGGCAATTTAATCAGGATGAAGTAAAAGTGTTAAACAAACTCTACCAAACAAACTTTAAACATCTCCGAGTGTTTATATTCACGAAAATGGTTGTTTGACAACAAACATGAAACACAAATATTGGAGGGTTCTAGTTTATAGAATTGTAGGAAGGCATTATCTCATTATACCATGTAGAACCAGTCAAAACGGACCTTGCTGTCAGCATTAAGTGGTTGCGTAAACATTCCGTACAATAACTATACAGACTGGAGTTACGCAATTTGAAAACATCCAATACAAAAGTAAATGAGCAATTTCAATACAAAATTAAATACAATCAGAAAATCTAATTTTATATTACAGTTTGACAAAACCAATACAAATAGTGACATATTGTTAAAGCAGTGACAAATGCATTAATCCTTTCTTTTCCTGTCATTTTAACACTAACCCTCCCAAATTTATTTATTGCATTATTCCTGCCTTAACTTTGGAACTGTCTATTTTCATTTTAAGGTGTTTCATTATCAAGGTGATATTTATAATAAATACAGCATGGAAGTGCTTTCTGCCCTGGCCCTATATTAGTGACAAAGACTCAACATCATTGGCTCCAGCACACTAAGGGTTGAAAATCTAAAATTAATTTATCAGAACTTTCTTCATCATTTCTGGAGTGTTCATTAAATAATAGATAAATACAGAATCCCTAAAGAAAGCCCAACACGACAAAATTGAAAATGTTGCAGGCTCGGTTTGATTGAGCCTATTCATGGACGGTACTGGAAAGTGCAAGTAACCGTCCACGCCCCCTAGCACCGGCTTAAGCAGAATTCAACATTTTAACATGAAATAGTAAAATTTTGAATTTAGAAACATCAGCAGATGTGTTACACTGACTGGGACTGACCAGTGAAAGACTGAATTGTAAGTTACATGAACCAAGAATTATGAGTAAAGGGAAGTTACTTTCTATATTTCTCATCAAAAACACTCGAAATTAAAAAAAAAACAACTAGAAATGTGTCTATAGGACACGGGTGCCCCCATACTCCACCAATTTGTCAATCTTATGACTCTAGGTCAAATATTTTTTTGGCTACATGTGCCCAAGTTGAAAACTAAAAATCTTTTATTAAGTAAAGGGCAAATACTACAAATATTGAATTAATCCACAAGAAAACCACAAGGTGCATAAGTACACATGCTGACCAACATTCTTGTAAACTTTCAGGCCTACAGGTCAAATACTTTTTGAGTGCCGTGCAACACAAGTTGAATATTGTAAATTTTTACTAAGTCAAGGGCAATAACACTAAACATACTAAAAATATCCACACAAAAATACCCAGGTGCACAACTACACATGCTGAGCAACATTCCTGTAAGGTTCATGACACTAGGTCAAATACTTTTTTAGTTACGTGTGACACAAGTTGAAAATTGGAAATTTTTACTAATTCAAAGGCAATAACTCTACAAATACTAAATATATCCACACAAAAATACCCAGGTGCACAACTACACATGCTGATCAACATTCCTGTAAAGTTCATGACTCTATGTAAAATATTTTTTGAGTTACATGCGACACAAGTTGAAAATTGCAAAGTTTTACTAAGTCAAGGGCAATAACTCTAAAAATACTAAAAATATTCATACGAAAATACCCAGGTGCACAACTACACATGCTGAGCAACATTCTTGTAAACTTTTCATGATTCTAGGTCAAATACTTTTTTAGTAACGTGCGACACAAGTTGAAAATTGGAAATTTGTACTAATTCAAGGGCAATAACTCTACAAATACTAAAAATATCCACACAAAAATACCCAGGTGCACAACTACACATGCTGAGCAACATTCCTGTAAGGCTTCATGATTCTAGGTCAAATACTTTTTAAGTTACCTGCGACACAAGTTGAAAATTGCAAAGTTTTACTAAGTCAAGGGCCACAACTCTAAAAATACAAAATATATCCACATGAAAATACCCAGGTGCACAACTTCACATGCTGATCAACATTCCTGTAAGGTTTCATGACTGTAGGTCAATTACTTTTTGAGCTATGTGCAACATAAAAAGAGAACAGACTCAACAAAATTAAAGTAGCTTTCTCTATTGTTGAATACTCGAGCTAAAAATCTGACTTGATGAAACAGTTCTGGAAAATTCTTATCAAGCATTAAATCAATCAGATTAAAAAATTTGTACTTTCAATATCCTTTTACAGGAAAATGTAAATAAAATGTTATTAACTTAGTCACACAACTTATAATAACCAAGGAGTACAATGAAACCACATTTCAGTAGCCAACCAATAAAATTTTTATGACAGTTTTTACCTGGCAGATTACCCGATGCCTATCAAACTTTTACATGAACATTCGCATGTCCAAACATCCATTCTTGTCCAATAACGCCACAATTGCGGCATACATTGTGGCGTACATTCAATAAAAATAACAAATTATCATCATGATAATCAGCCATCTATATTGATCCATTAATTTGTTATATTTCATTTACAATTATGTACAATTATTTGCGAGGCAAGAACGGAAAACACACGATCAAGATTACGGCAGACAGTGACTTAGTTTTTATAGTTTTCACTTAAATGGAGCTCTCTGGCATGTGACGACTGTGAATTTATCAAATTATCAACAACTCCAACAAAATGTGTAAATGACCATGAGTTTAGATTGGGTTCACTATTTTTTACACATGGTTTATCAAATTAAATGATACAATCACACAGATGGTAGTGAAATATTCTTACATACATCAATCATAGATATTACTTGCAAGTTTCAATAATATATCTGTTAAAGTTAGATATAAGAAAGAAAAATATTCTTGCTGTCTGTTTCAGTTTAAGTGTAAGTTTGTGACAGCAATTTCATTTAAACATTGGTGACTGACAGAAAACCTGGCCAGCACTTTAAGATTATGTTACAAGAGTACTAACCTGTCCTCCACAGGGAACTGTTGATACCACAATGACTATGAATTTCATGTGACATTGATATGGTACCAGTTACAATTGACAACAAGGACACAACCAACTAAATCATCATCTTAAAACATGTACCGGACACTTTCAGCTTTAAAACTTACAAACCAATGGACCTGAAAGTAAAAAAAGAATCAAAATCAGTATTGTTTTGCATTGACATACAATACAGTGTTAGAAAGCTGAAGCATCCATTTTTTCTGCACCAGTACTAAACTTTGTGAATAGTTAGGTGCTGATAATTACTTGTTTATGTCACAAGAACGAAGTCTGGCCAGCTTGTACATCCTTGCCTACTTAATTTTTCTACTTAAAACATTTCTTAACACATTACCTCACTTTATACATTTGTACTTGAAATGGACTTGTCCATATTCTTCTTCCAGTCTGGACATACCTGATCATCATAGTACTGACTGAACATCAAACAGTGCAGACAATGATCACATGGTATATAGTCTCGTGCCAGCTGATCTTATTCTGCACTGGTCACATGGGTAGGATCTGTTGCTGCCAGCAGGCTGAGAGTTAATATATCAAGAAAAGAAATTCTTAATTCAAAGCAGTGATAGTCCTATAAATGTTTATAAAAATTTAGAGATGAAATGGTAAACTTGTTTAACACATTTACATGCTATTAGTATGAAGCAGTAAGTAATGTATTTGACTTCAGGTGCAATATCTACTATCAAAATATCACCATTACTATTTGCCTTGAAAACACATTAACCATTTTAGAGAGTGATACATCTCTTTTGGGTTGTGTTGTAAGTCAAGATGTAAAGGTCATAATGTGTACATACAGCTTTCATGATGCAAGAAGACCTAAACTGCCCCACGCACAAGTTCACAGCTGAGTAAAACCATCAAACTTCTATTCGCTAACTGGATAGCTCCCACACATAAAAGGAATCCGTAGTCCCTGGCGGGATTCAAACCCAAAGCAGTAAGGGCAAAATGATTCAGGCAGTGACTCACACTGCTCGGCCCCATAGGCCCCAAAGTGATAGATCTAGGGGAACAAGTACAACTGTAGATAGATAGATAACTAAAAGTGTCAATTATTTCATCTAAGATATTCACAAGTTACAATTGTCCAAAACACTCATTCTGTAACAAATGCTAACTTATCTGTAAAAGTTGATGGGTACATGGCATCAGACATACAGTCTTCATTCTGAATTTTACATGACACCTGTGATCCCGTCCTAAATAACTAGTAGGCTATGTATACATGTAGTGCCCCAACTACTGTACTAACTAGATGGGACATAGGGCTTCAGACCTGATTAGAGTAACTTCTTTGTACATTGTAATAATTAAATAGAATGAAAAAGTCACAGTTACTTTTGATTTAGGATAACCGTCTGCATAATTAGGCAATCAAAGTTCAATTTCTATTGCTATAACCCTATTACCACAATTAAAATATTCATATTCAAAATGCAAACACATTATTTAAACTTTAAATATAATAACTGATCATGAAGTAATCATTCGGTCAACACTTGCCATGTAACTTCACAAGGCGTCATGGCACTTCTGTATCTATCTCCATCATTAACTGGTCGAAAATAGTTACTTCATATTCAAGCGCACCAATATTTAATATTCAAACACATTACAACACTGTGCTGTTACATATTAATTCTATTTAATTGTTTATCAGGTGTCTATTTTCTAAATATTAAATTTCGGGGTGTGAGGCCAATGTATAAATTAAACTTACACTAGCTTGAACACAGTCCACATTGTCACACCTGCAGCAGATGATCCTATTAGGAATACAGAAACTGAAAAATAAAGTATTTTTGTCATCTAAAAAGTCAAGCATTTATACTAAACGGGTATCGTAATACCCTGTTATACCTGCTAACCCAGTCATTTTTTTCAAAGTAATATCAACTGTCAAACATGTTATGAAATGTACAGTATACACTGAGTGATACATCTTTTATAATAATTTACACTAAGGATTATCCCATTACTATGTCTAGTAATGTTAATTCTAGCATTTATATATTCCGCAAATTTATAAATCATTCAAAAACTCTGACTAAAACTCCTTTAAATATATAAAATAAATACAGTGAACCCTTTGCAATTCTTTAAGGCATATTATGCCTAAGAAATGATATTTTTTTGTCCTGCTTTAGAAAGGGCATCCATGAGTTGTACAACAATGAAATAAGGGTTTAAGGGTATGTGTGGTATTTACCCAAAGAAAGTATCACTAACTGTGAAAGTATGTATAAAAGCAGCAAAATGTAAACAAAGTAGTTTTTTGACTTCCATACAAAAACCTTAACCACTTTATCTGTACTAATTGTCAAAAAGCAACAGAAGGAAAATAATAGTTCAGGTAAATGGCTTTTTAGCAGTTTTTTGAAACCTGGACACCAAAAATAAAATGCTTTTGAGAAAAAAAAGCCTTTTAGAGCATAATGGGCTTTTACTATTGACCTGATGGAATTAAGTCCTTTGCTGTGATAGATTTAAGTAACACAGACTTGTTCTGTTTTGAATTTTAAGCATTATGGTAGTAGGGCTGCAATGAAATCCAAACTCTTCCAAGTCCAAAAACTCAGGCTCAGAAATTTCAAGCAATTTATACTTCAGTGTATGATAAAGATTGTCAGATAGTCAGCACACTCAACTATTCTCAGTGTCTGATAGAGATTAAACAAGGCAATGCAGGAATATTTAAGCTCACAAATGGGAATATAATATAGTTTGGGTCTTTGTCAGTGTTCTACAATTATGACCATGACCCGAAATATATGTGTGATATCTTCAGAACTTGCATGCTTAACCTTAATCAGGAATTTTCACAAAGGAAAATTCTTCTGCCAAATCAATAAGTTCTGAATTCAAAACAGGTTAAGTCAATTTCACAATTTTAACATTGTGACGGGGTTGTAGCTAGCACTACATTAATTAAACCATGTGATATAAAAGATATAAACATTTGGAGACACTAATGCTGACAATGCACTTTAAAACATAACTTCATTACTATTTTATTTACCACTAAGACACATTTCTCCTGGCTATGTATTCACCCCCACCCCCACACCTCACATCACTTTCTTTAAAACCAGACACACTTGTATGAGACATGATGTCTAGATGCTGCAGGGGTCCACTACACTTATTACATCTGGTCCTGAAACAAGGAAAAGCAAAAAAAGAATAAAATAATATATACATATTGCATCATTTTTATAAATAATATATATAGTTCTCTGATATGCCTTGGGATAAAGTTCTGATCTGCAGACTCTGGAAATTTTTCTCAGAAATCTATGTTACATACACTGTATGTGTAGGTTAGAAGGGTCTAAATCACTTAAGAAACTAAAGTAATGAAGAAGCAGATCTAAGAATGTACAGAATGAATTGTCATGGCCAATTTCACAGCAAGTATTATTTTTCAGGGCAAACTTCTTAGAAGCTTGCTCTTACATGTGTGTTGAATTTCATGCTCAATGAATAATGATGTTTTTTTATCAATGAAATATAAGTGTGATTTATGTAAAAATCAAGATAACAAACTGGTGTTTATTTACATAGTTGAATGTTTGTGAAGTATCTGTTTGCATTTTCCTACTGGTTAAACACAAAAACATGCTTTTTTCCCCAACATATGTTACAGGAACTTAGGACCGCATTTGCCTGAAAGCAAATATGGTATGACATAATGTCAATACTTAAGACATATTGAGGGTGAAAAAGAGATAAAACACAATAAATTGATAATGTTGTAGTACTGGATGGGAACTTTTGAGCTCTCACCGTGTTGTCGCTGACCGAAATTTTGTCCAGCAGTTATGAACTATTCAGAGGTTTTAACCATATGAAATGGGCAACAGCCAGATTGCATATCATATACCCACAGCCATTTCACATCCAAAATAAACTGAAGAAATTCATAACTGTGAAAATGCCATTTCTATAAATGTATAGAAAAATATTTTTCAAAATCACACTATTCATAATTATGCCAATTTCATTTCCTGCAAACAATTATATTTTAACAGTTACATTATTGATCAATTACATTTCAAAAGAGATTCACTAAATGTGTATCAAATAAAAAAGATAGAAAAACAAAATTTAATATTGCTTCAACTGGGAAATAAAGTCCCAACAACAACAACAACAACAACAACAACAACAGGAGTCTGGTAAAATGAGAAATGAGGGACTTACTTAATTAATACAAACTAGCTTTAAATTTTCTCTACAAATAGGAGCCATCATGTCTGAACCTTCAGGCAACTTTTGGTTCACTAATTAACTTTACTATCTGATCAGAACAAACAAACAAACATGAGAGAAAAGTCTCGGACAACAATGTGTTTATTTAATGATATTCAAATAAACTTAAAAATCAAATACAGTAAGATCTTATTCAAAATTCAAAACATGTGACCAACTTGCTCTTTAAAGGAAATAATTTTTACCACAGGCAATGTAAATTGCTCTCTAAAAATTACAATGATCACTATGTTAAAATGCTATAAACATAAAATATTCTACTTTCTTTCTTGTTTATATTGATAATTTATTACTCAGTGATTCCTGTATAATTAATAGAAAGGAATGATATTTGTTTTCAAAATTTTAATGTCATCCTATAATATATTGAATATTTTAGTTGATCAAATTGACCAGAATAATATAGAAACTCCAGAATGAGATATTTATCTTGACCAGCTGTCACCCTGACCACAGGTACACCACTTGCCCACTGACTTTATCTCAAAAATTTTATTGATTTTTATTTTGTTCATTTTACAATCAGTAGTTTATATCTGTTTTTTGACCGTTTCAAAAATGATGTTTATTTTTTTTTATAAAGACCACACTGAAACAGGATAAAAATATGTTACAATTAGTGACTCGGACATTTAAATTGACACTTTAATGGATCTCATACACTGAATAATGTTACAAATACAAATGTACACATATTGACAAAGAAACCAGGCGTTTATGATGATTGTTTTATATGTTTATGAAACCGATAAAATAAGACAAAGAAAAAATTGCCTACAATACCTTATAACTAAAATATCATGATTAAAACTTAAATATTCAAAAATATGGAACAAAAGGATTTAACTAGAAATCTAACTGCAGTGCATGGATGCCCTCACAGTCCACTGTTTTGTCAATATATGGGAAGTACAGAGTAACAGTGTGACAGACAGGCAAGGGCAAATTGATTTGCTTCCATCTTCCCCCTCCCTGAACCACACCCCTAACCCAAGAAGAAGCAAATGTTTCCTATGAATGCCCTTTACATTTAGTTTGAAAGGAATGAAATGTTGACATCAATTCACCCAAACAACTTTATTAAACAGTTTTTATGATAAATGCATGCATTTTAAATATTCATCATTTGCATTATAAAAACATGCTTTATAAATGTTTAATTCAAAAAAGATAGATGAGCAGTTAAGACCTTTCCTTAAATAATCTATAAATTCACCCAACCATCAGTAACTAAGATAAATGGCAACTGCTTAAACTTTATAACAAATATAAGTAAAAACTTACCCCCCCCCCCCCAACCAACAAAAAAAACAACAACAAACAAGAGGGCCATGATGGCCCTGAGGTCGCTCACCTGTATATAGGCCCCCACCCCCCCCCCCCCTAAACGTTGCAGGGCCAATTTAACCCAATTTATTTGCACAAACTTGGTAGACACCCATAAGAAGATGTTTCATGCTAAACATCTAAGCTCTAGCTCATTGGGCTTTTTAAAAGAAGATTATTTTTTAAGTTATTACCATACACATATAGTTAAAAACAATGACACCCCTGGGGCCGGGCCAGTTTTGACCACAGAGCTTTTATTTGAACAAACTTTGTAGACACTTACTAGAAGATGTTTCATGCTTAATATCTAAACTCTAGCTATTTGGGTTTTTTCAAAGAAGATTTTAAGTTTTTGCTATACACATATAAAGAAAATCAATGACCCCCGGGCGGGGCCAATTTTGACCCCAGGGCTTTTATTTGAACAAACTATGTAGACACTCACTAAAAAATGTTTCATGCTTAATATCTTAACTCTAGCTATTTGGGTTTTTTCAAAGAAGATTTTAAGTTTTTGCTATACACATATAAGGAAAATCAATGACCCCAGGGGCGGTGCCAATTTTGACCCCAGGGCTTTTATTTCAACAAACTTGGTAGACACCTATTAGAACATGTTTGATGCTAAATATCTTAGTCATAGCTCTTTGAGTTCTTTAAAAGAAGATTTTTTAAGTTTTTACTATATGCATATAGGGAAAATCAATGACCCCCTGGGGAGGGGCCAATTTTGACCCCAGGGCTTTTATTTGAACAAACTTGGTAGACACCTATTAGAACATGTTTGATGCTCAATATCTTAGCCATAGCTCTTTGAGTTCTTTAAAAGAAGATTTTTTAAGTTTTTACTATATGCATATAGGGAAAATCAATGACCCCCCGGGGCGGGGCCAATTTTGACCCCAGGGCTTTTATTTGAACAAACTTAGTAGACACTTATTAGAACATGTTTCATGCTAAATATCTTAGCTGTTACTCTTTTGGTTCTTTAAAAGAAGATTTTTTAAGTTTTTACTATATGCATATCGGGAAAATCAATGACCCCCTGCGGCGGGGCCAATTTTGACCCCAGGGCTTTTATTTGAACAAACTTGGTAGACACCTATTAGTGCGTGTTTGATGCTCAATATCTTAGCCATAGCTCTTTGAGTTCTTTAAAAGAAGGTTTTTTAAGTTTTTACTATATGCATATAGGGAAAATCAATGACCCCCCGGGCCGGGCCAATTTTGACCCCAGGGCTTTTATTTGAACAAACTTGGTAGACACCCATTAGAACATATTTCATGCTAAATATCTTAGCTCTAGCTCTTTGGGTTCTTTAAAAGAAGATTTTTTAAGTTTTTACTATATGCATATAGGGAAAATCAATGACCCCCCCCCCCCCGGGGCGGGGCCAATTTTGACCCCAGGGCTTTTATTTGAACAAACTTGGTAGACACTCACTAGAAGATGTTTCATGCCAAATATCTAAGCTCTAGCTCTTATGGTTTTTTAAAAGAAGATATTTAAAGTTTTTTCTTTCGGTTGCCATGGCAACCAGAGTTCTGCATGGAATTAAATTCTTTGAACAATTTTTAAAGGTGACCACCAAAGGAACATTCCTGTGAAGTTTGGATGAAATTGGCTTAGTGGTTTATGAGGAGATGTCATTTAAAGTAAAAGTTTACGGACGGACGACGGACGGACGGACGACGGACGGACGCCGGACGAAAAGCGATCACAAAAGCTCACCCTGTCACTTTGTGACAGGTGAGCTAAAAACAGCACAATAATATAAGCACTGTTATATCTAGTGATATTTACATAAATCTTTATTAGTATAAAAATAATCTTGTTATATTAAGATTGATTTTTGTACTCAGATGATGGACTACCGTGAATGCCCTGACTGCCCCTCTATGATTGTTACAGTTTGGTCAACTGTCAATGAACAGTTTCCTACATTATTAATGACCTGTATTTCTCATTCATCATAATACACATGGACAGGGGACAAGTGCCAAAATCCTGCTGGACACTCTGGGAGATTTCGGGACTTGCAATTAAATTCTGGTGGTTATAAGACCTCAAGGTCAGCTTGGAGTATAATTAAAACACTTGCGTCTCCATGAGAGAATAAAAAATTTTCTTGCCCAGTAATTTTGAAGCTTCTACTAAAGTAATTGTTATTAAATTTTCACAAAAAATCTCCGTCACTAAACCGACGCCCCTTCAGATTTTCATAGAGGTTTGCATTTTCATGGTGAATTTGCTTGAAGCAATAACAAGGAAACAGTTTTTAAGGTTTATTGAATTTTGAGACCACTTAACATGCATGCATCTGTACTGGAGTGAGTGACAGGCTGCTTCAAAAGTCCCGCGGCATCAACTTAACATTCAAATATTTTCTTTTGGTGTGAAGCTATCTGCAAACAAGTGGCGAAATATTAGATAGGCTTTGAACAAATACAAAAATTCAAGCCCCGAAACTAACACGAACTTTTAATGAAGAAACAACTTGTCATGATTGTCGATTTTTACCGCCAAAGATGCAAAATCGGCACTAGACAGAATGTGTGCTTATTATCACAGGATTATTTAATAATCGTGAAGATGGGGCTCACTTTCATGCCTGAGGGGGCAAAGTAAGGTAAATTAGTCAATTTAATACCAAATTTGTAACCGAGCCCCATGTAAAGCCAATTTTATGACAATTTTGCCTCAAGCATCTTTCCGCGCATTACTATACTTTGTCATTATACAATGAAAATCTTCTGGGTTTGAGACTTTTGGCTCTGTATTGTCAAGACAAGAGTCAAACGAAATGACATGACTTCAATTTCAATGAAAAGATTTGTTTGTTGATTTTTCTGATGATACCCAATTTCACTGTCCAAATAGTCAAAGAAATCGAGTGGAAAAATGCAACAAGAATGAGAAAATAGTTGTTACACCATTATAACAAAACTTATTACAATCCAAATTGAGTCCCTCTTTGTATGAGATGAACCAGAATGACTTTAAAATGAACTATTCACACATATTGTTGATAAAAGGTATATACATCATGCAGGAAAATAATATTATAAAGTAGTGACATTATGAATTATATATTGAGTAACAACATTTCTTTGGGTTTTCATAGTATATCTAAATGTACCTTAAATCACAAATATTGTCTATATTCACATCCCTGACTAAATAAATGTGGCTGTTATGATATTTATCTGTGTATTGTACAAAATTAATTTAATTATAATTCTAAATGTGTCAATAATATAAACGTACTAGCTAGCTCAAAAATTCTTTGAAGTCAAAGTCAAGCTTAGAAATGACAATGATTGAAATAAAAAATAGTTGACATGATAAGGTCCATAAGACATATTATCCCATGGCTGGGATGAAAATCTCATTTCTTAAGTGTTCTGAAACATGTGGCACCAGAATTTACCAATCATTTGTTCATAACCTCATCAAAAGAATCTGTTATTTAAGCTTCAACCAATAACCTTCACTTGTAATAAAACCATCATCACTGTATCACTCAAACATGTCCATTTACAGATAAAGTAATAACATAGCTGGTAAATACTGATTAATTTCATTAAACTGAGCTCATAAACTTGTAAACACACCACAGACCCTGTGACAAATAATAGCAAATTTGTTCACTACTGGCTTTTTTTCCCTGCTGAATACATAATTATGCTTTATTTCTTTAATTATAATACAGTGCTATCGCTTTTCTTGGACTGATTCTAAGCATCTCTTATCATTGACCTAATGAAACAGTGGTCAGTGGGTATTTTTATGTGACACAGTCCATTAGCCACCTCTACTTTTGAAGAGTATCCTACAATTAGGGCTATCTGTTCAGTGATAAAATTCGTCCCTGATGAAGTTTTAATGTTGTCATAAAATTGCAAACAAAACCAACTTAACCACACAAAATTTGCAACTGAAATGGAAAAAAATCAGACGGCAACCTGCATCTTGGTGGTTAATAAAATCTTTCTGGTTAGATACTGGGTTTTTAATAGCATCATAAAAATGACCAATTTGCTAATGGGTTTTTGCTGCCCCTGTTTTATTTCCTTATTTTACACTGCCCAGGCTCCTGCATAGCCTAACCTGTGACCCCTTGTAACTGGAGAACCTCTATTAATTCTATACACTATGTTATTAAAGAAATCAAAATGGTTTCAAACCAAGTCAAAAAAACTTTACTTTATAGCACAAGAGGTTGCTGTTTTTTTTAATGCTTTAAACAAATAGAAGTGAATAAAAATAAATAATATATTGTTAAATATTTATTTCAACCAGTAATTCTGACATCTGTAACATTTTTTACCTCTTCCCCACCAAGAGCCAACAACTTTTCTTCATGAATCCAAATGAGGTGTATACATCTTAGGATCACCTATGTTTGTAAGCAAAATCTGCAAAGAAAATATGAAATATGAGATAACTAGTATTTGTATAATTGCTTATGTCTTAATACACAACAACATACAAATTAAAACAATACAGCATGATTTTTTCCAGCAAATAGGTTTGTATTATTTTGATTTTGATATATATATGAAATCAAACTTTATTTCTTTTATTTATTTATTTATTTTCTTGATAACAAAAAAAAATCCTAAATAAAATTTTACACTACATTGTTTTCATTTTTCATTAAAACATTAATTTGTTGGTTAGTTTCAGGATCAATTAAAAATGTCAACAAGAATGTTAACTTGCAGTGTTAATGCTCGACTGTTTAAAATTCTAAGTTAAAAGGGGGCATAACAACCCAAAATAATGCTTAAAGAATTATGTCCCTGTCTAATAACTACACCTTGTCATGATAAGCAAGTATACCAAGTTTCATGTTGATAACTTTTGAAATGTTGAATAATTTGCTGCATTAAAGTTTTTGCACATAAGATGGCACCACAGCAATGACAATAGCTCTACTTTTTCAAAAAACTCATTGTGTAACTCTATCAGATAACCAGCATTGAATACTAACTGGACATCTTAAAAGCTTGTCATGTTACTTAGAAAAGTTTCTTAGACAACATTACCTGCATAGTGTGATCTTTTAAGAGTCAAATGACTTATTCCGCCAGTGAAAACAGAAAAGATATGTTACCAAAATATTATTTGCATTATAGATAAATAAATGTCAAGAAATGTAACATTTTGCATCTAAAATAAAACATTTTTGTGTTAGAAGCATAACCAGATATCCTCTGACCATTTATTAACAAACAGGCCTAAATTTAAAATTGGACCACCTTACTATTGTCAGGTATCAAACTGAAATTTTCAATATCAAATTAACATTAAAATTGGACTGTCTAAAGTATAGAACCCAAATAGACCCATTGATGGCATTATACTTGCAACATTGCCATCTTCATGTACATATTGTATATAGCTTGCTGCCAGGTTATGTCAAAAGTATAACAATATAATTTCATAGTGAGATAAAAATTACAAAATAAACAAGTTACAACATTTTTTCTATGAACCAAATGACATTTAAGCAATTACTAGTATAACACTTGAATCTCCACATTTTACATCCCTCCTGACTTTACCCTTGAGTCTAAATTGGTCAATAAAATGTGAATGTGTTACCATGACAAGTGGCAAATATTTCAATATTTGATCTAATCATTTCAAAAACATCATAAAATTTTATTAGAATGTCTAATACCCCGACTATAACTGTAGAAACTACCGAAAATCAAAGTCCACTTCACACACACAGAAGATTACTTGGATTTCATCTTTTCTTGATTTATGGCCCCTGTCTAATATGAAACTATTTGACCAAGTCCTATTTCTATACAATAGATAAAAAAGGACATCTGTATTCGTCTTTTGAAATTGACAAATAAAAATACTATTGGTTGATTAACTATGAAAATAGCAATCTTTCGATTAATAAAATACATTAAATGAAGCTTGCCAAAAATAGAGTACAACATACTGCAGGATGTTTTCAACACTACTGTAACCTGTATTCTATGTCCATTAAGATACAGCCATGTTGATTTGAAGATTTTTCTTTATAAATAGGAACAGTCAAAAATTTGTATGCAGATGCATGTCCAATATATTTTATAGCTTTACAACTAAAATTGATGACTTATTAAATAAATAAAAAATTTGGGCACTTGTCTGCTAAATTAAATTAATACAAAAGATTGGTACTGGTATTTTAAAATTGGACTTAATTTAACTTTTTGTCAAAATTTGACCTCATCACTTTTGTAAATATTACACAGTTTCCTGTGACTTATTCTTAATTGCAATAATTTGACCCAAAGGTAAGTCGGTGGGTTGTTTATTCTTATTTATTTCAAATACAAGTACTTAATAGGCTAATATTCAACAAATTTTACAATTTCACCTTTTTTGTTGGGGGGAACCTACAACAGTGACAGGCAAGCACTTAGCAGTCCATGACCTTAACCACTTGGTTACATAATTACAAGTAACATACTTGTTGATTTCAATTATTTCAAGACCATGCAACAGCTGAAAACATTACAGACTTTGTTAACATTGCACCAGGCAATCAAAAATAACATGTTAATTTAGTAAACTCTGGATAATGTAAACATTTTCCAAGTTCACAAAAGAGGAAAACTTTGTCAAATCTATACCAGAGTTATTGGGCTTAAAATAGTAACCCATAATAAAGATTCTGAAGATATGACTTTTAAGTGAGTATTTTTGGTGATTATGAAGATAAGATATCTGCAGCTTTGATCAAGAGGTAGCACAATGTCCAAATGATCACTGGTGAAATATAATACATTCAAGACCAAGCTTTGTCATTTAAATACCCAACATAAGATGGACTCAGACAACTTTTACCCCTTGTAATACAGCTGACTACAAACTGATATTGAACCCAAACAAACAAATAAACAGGCAATAATATAAAATCAGAACATGATAAATGTCAGAGCTGCAGTTCTGAAGCCTATGTTTGTATTTTTATATTCCTATATCCTTACTTCTGATGGATTACCAACAACCTCTTCACATCATCAAAATCCCATTACACACTTTTTAATTTTCCACCGAATAGACATAAATTAGTGGTGTTTATAACCAATGGAGATTTTTATCTTAGATAATTATTTTCTACAATAGCATGATGTCAAAGTTAATGACAACAACTTTACAGCCATCCCATTGTTATGAAATAGATACAGCTAGTCAACAATTGTATCATATTTTTAATCAAACACCCCTGAAATGAGCAGACGACAATTCAACAAATCTTGCTTTTCCCGCCACCTGTGGTTCTGGGTGTTTGTCACAGCACCCCTTCTCATCTTTCTACAATAAACTACTAATTTATTTGTTAAAATAATAAAATTGCTCAAATTTCAGTTGCGACTGCAGGTTTTACAACGTTCTGTACCGTTTAAGTCTGTTTTGACCATGTTTTACAAGAGTATTATTTCTATATGATTATTAGTTCTGTCACTCATTTTATTTAATTCTGGACTTTAATTCTCAGATTATGACCATGCAGGTACTAGAAGGAAAAGCCCTTAGGCCGAAGGAGCAATGGTAATTTAGATGGACAGGAAGGCTGCATTACCCACGTCAGTTTTGTTATTAAAGACTTAATACAAAGACTTAATACAATGCATAGAAAAGAGAGTATCTATTTACAAAGGATGTACATGTATCACAAAGTGTACACCATCTGTAACATAAAGTATTCGGCCCTTCATTATTATAATAAGCTACATGAAATAAAGTTCAACAGTTCTACAAAAAAGTCTCAAATCTATTGTCCTAACACAAAATGTAGGACAGAAAATGATATTATAGTACTCCACACTGATACAGGTACCACATCCCTGACGATATCATGGAAATCTAAACATGTGGGAATTTGTATACTTAGCGCCACCTCTATATAAATGCAGTGAAAGAAGGTCCTTTAAAGTCTGACACAAAGTATTTAGTACCTCAGTACCCAAGGGTGCTACCCTATATCCAACCTTCTGTGATGTATTAACATTTTGCTACAGCATAGAGATTTTCCAGCATGAAAAAATTACATCTACTAATTTTATGCTTGGCAATTTAATACCCCCAATTATATGCCAAATTAAGTTTAAAACCTACCAAGAAAACTTTACTACAACTGGTGTCACTTGATTAGACTGACACAATTTTAGTGCACTTCCCTTGTATTAATAAATATACAGTCACTATAACAATTTATCAAACATTTACTGGTATTTACAGAAAATACAATTACATGAAGAACTTTAACACATCTAAAATCTCAGACAAATCTCTGTCACATATAAACTGTTAAAGTAACACAAGGGAAGACAAATTGTTAGCTGAACTGCTCAAAATTCCTGCTGAACAATGCCACTTGTCTAAATAAATTGTACAAAAAGTTTATCTCTGTCAAAATCTCAGTTACATTGCATTCTGGGAGCATTCCCAGAGGAGACCACTCAAGTTGTAATGCCTTGTTTTCACAGATCATTTACACATCTCTAAAATCATGAAAGTTTCATGCAGAAATGGAGCATTATGATGGAGTAAACAGTCTAATAATTCACTCTTAGCCTGTTGGTAGCAACTGAAACTATCTATGTGACCAGTACAGACCAAATCAGCTGGCACACTCATGCTTTCTAATCATGTTCTGCACTGTTGCTATTTATTTTGAAATTTTCAATAAAAAGATTTATGATTTTGTCCAGTTTGAAAGATGTACAAGACCATATTTAGCCTGGTAAGGGTGACTAACATTACAGTGTTTGTTTGTACGTACGTTGTCATACTATAGCAGATTTCTCAATTGTTATACATTTATATTATAAATATACACTTATTTAAACTCATTGTGATAAAAACTTGAAACTCATCTGAACATCCCCGCCCCCTCCCTTCAAGTTTACTTCCTAGAACTAACCAGTTCACATCATTATTTTAATTTGGGAACATGGTTACGACACAGAAAGGGCTCAACCCTCACTACCTCTGGGTTGGGAAGCAGAAACTTTATTATAAACTTCATGTACCATCTCACCTGAAATCTGTATCCATTGACTAACCAAAGGATTGATCATTTCTTTTTATTTATGTGGCATCAAACAAATTAAGTAAAGGTAGCAAGTTTTTTCTCTTTTATGAAATTTGGGAACAGTTTAAATAGATTAGTATTTAGGGCAAAGGACTTTCATGTGTTCCCTAAAAAGTATAGAGTAACTGATAGAAAGAACAACTGTTTTTTTTTTTTCAACTAGCACATCAACATTGGTAAGTATTTTTATTTGGGGTAGCTGGAATCAATCTTACATTCTATGGAACTGCAGTGAGTAAGTATAACAACTTGACTCTCTGCAGTAACAATAGTGCTATATAGTGTTGTTACTTAAGTAAACTATATTTATTACCTGTTTACACGCTTTATTCCAGACGCATACACATATACTTCTGTTTCCTGAAATACAAAGAAAGTAAAGATTTGTTAATCAATCAAGAATTTATACGAACATCTAAAATCAAGGGAGATCCTATTTTAAACATACTTCACAACATAAAAGCTGAAAGAAAAAAAACATAACATCTTTTTGAAAGAGAAATATGAATGGCCACTTGTAAAATTGTCAATATTTACAGAAATAAACAGGATACCCCTGCAGCCATAGTGTGAGCCTTTCCAACCTGACCAGAATGTGTTCTTCTATTACTGATGTTTAACATATTGAGGTATTTTTGGTATTGATCACAAGTAAAGTTTTGACAGGCAAATTGTAAAATATTTGTTTCTGGAGAATGGGCATGCAATAAAAACCAAGTGGCCAGAAATTGGTTCCCCATTAAATAGCTATAAAGAAGGCATGCTGGATTAATATCATGCAGGGTTTGGACACTGAGATTTTATATAAATATGATGTACACCACATTTGATTAATGCATGGTGTATGATCACAGAAATAAGAGATATAAGAAATGTTTTGCTTTATTAATTTTTGCAAAACTTCCGAATTAGTTTTGTATGATAACTCAAGATATTTAATGAAATAGTTTAGATATGTTCAGTTTATAATATAGTCATGCTTTTTTATGAATCATTTTATATTTAGAGAAATGAACTTGTCCTAGGGCAAAGACTGATACCATGTATGTCTTATCTTATACCTTAAATATCTTAAATGAACTTAAATTCAATCTTATAATTTGGACAAAACCATTCATCATTTTTTTTTAATTTTTCAAATAAGTACTGACTGAATAGCAAACAGTGCAGACTGGCACAACCATTGTTTATGATCATGCCATGGTGCTTGTTGCACATGTAGATTTAGTTGTCACCTGCAAACTTAAGTTAGAAGTGATTTAACAGTAATATGATAAGACTCAATATCTAACAGGCATAATAAAACTGTTAAATATTACATTCCACTACAATTGGCTATTTTTTTAATTCACAAATTTTGGTTATGTTACAATCAAACATATATTGAAGATGATTAATTCTAATATATTAGCTGAAAAAATTATTTTACTACTTGTATTGGAATAAATTAACCTTCTAATATACACATAATTATCATATGCAAACTCATACATTCCATGCACAAAGCAAAATCATTCGTCTTTAACTGAAACATTTAAATCAAAATTATTTGCCTCCAGCATACATTGGTGTTCTTACCTTGGTGGTTGCAGGTGGCTTGAATGTTGATTGAATGATGGTGTTTGCGATTCACATACGCCTTTTTCTCCTCTTTTGGTGGGGAAATTATTTGTATGTGTGTGCAATCTATATATTCAATAACCCCAGGAAAATGTCTTCACTGGTAAACTCCCTGTTGTACCAACTGTTTGTCATTCGTGGTCGTCGGAAACTTGATGTACTCGTCCTTCAAGTCGAACAGTATGTCTGTTACTTGGGTGATTTTCTGGGACACAGTGGCAATATCATTGCAGTAAGTGTCTCCAATTAACCGGAGAAAGCACACAGATGCATAAAATCTGAGTGCAATCAGAATTTGCTGTTGGGGCAACAGTGCAAAGTTCTGTTTCTTCCTTGTTGAAGTTGGTCCCCAATAGATCTCTCTAGTCTGTTTAAATTTTGTGACCCAAATCTGTATTGCTTCCAAAGTGCTTCATCATGTAGGCAGTTCATTTGTCTGTTGCTGCGTGTAAATTGTCGAGGTGGTCTAGCTTTCGGTATCAACAGGGTAGCCATTTTACTTCTGGTCAAGTTTTGGTTAAAATTTAGCCCATCTCTCTTACATCATTAATAATTCTTTGCTGCAAAATAATAAGAGTTTTGTTGCTAACATTTTAAGGACTGTTTAATATAGTTATAGACTTTTTTGTTTATTGGTTAAAGACAGATCTTTGATAATGTTCTGTTGTCAAAGGCTTTATTGAAAAAAATATTCTCCACAATTATTCCGTTCACTGAATTTTAGTGGACAGAAATATCTCATCTTAACTTCTATTAACAAGAGCGCCTCTCATAATTAATGAAAAACAATTGTTTTAAGTAGAAAGAAGTGCATAAAGATATCTGGTAAAGATACCATGAAACAAGACACTGCATGTACACGCGACCATATTATCTCAATGTTATCTTTTTAAAGATAAAAACTGCAAACAGCCTATTCATTTGCAAAAGACAAAATATCTATTCAGCTATCTGAGAGAAGTTTTTATATATGATATACTCGTACATATCCCTTTTAAAACGCAAAACAAAACAGCAAAAAAAGAAAAATAAGGACAATGTATTTAATAACATGTAAAACCTGCCAAAAAAAAAAAAGTTAAAGCAATTTTTTTTAAAAAAGCAGCAAAGTTTGTAAATGAAGCACAGAGATAAATTATATTATGCTTTTAAAGTAATGAAATATTATGCAGTTTACAAAATATTAAGTTTTAAAGTGAACATTTAAAGGAGAGAAACCCATCAGTTAGACTTATTCATTAATCATAAACATCTTGAAACAATATGTTGTAGTTGTTTAAAAAAAGACTGCCTTTCAAATGTTTAATAGCTGTCTCCTCTCCTTGACAAGTTCAACTGGACGAACAATGAGGCATAGCATCACCACACGAATAATTTGTCAGACACAGTGCTGAAAAATAAGTAAAAATGGCTTATTCTGGACAAAAAGTGCCATTTAAATGGACCATCAACAGATTTTTATGCCAGACAACTGTCATCAGTTTCCAAGGCAACCAGGACATAAAAAATTGTGTATGAAACTATCCCTTACTATCTAAATCAGGAATGAAATATTGTAATGCTGCATACAGTGAATTTCATTTCCACGCTCAGTAGGCTAGCCTAATTAATTTGGCGTGAACGGTTTGACCCATTTTACAGACTTTTTTTTCTTACTGTCAAACCGTTGGAAAAAGACAGCGCCCGTCCAAAATTATCTCGGTGTCTCTTTGACAAGTCTAATTAGTTGGACTATCAGTAGGCTTACTCTGTATTTGAAATGTTTGTTTTAAATTAAACTGAGGCATAATAATGGGTGAAACAACTACCGACTAGACAAGCAGACTTATTTCTATTTTTTAACAACTTTTACTAGTCTACAGACAATTTTAAAAAATATATTTACTATAAGTCTATTAAGATTTTCACTAAAAAATTTGCTGAGCTGATAAAACTTTATCATCATCTGTTTTCTACAGAAGTACTGTACCTTCCTTCTAGGCTTCTTCCTAGTCAAAATATCTTCACATGCCAAAGCTAGATTCTTATATGAAAGATTTTTTTTCTATGTCAGAATCTCGCTTCGATAGGGGAGCTATTGCACAAGATAGTGGCACAAAATAGCACAGTATCTCAACGCGTATTACGATTAATGCTGAAAACACGAGAACATCACAAACCTCTTCAAGATTCTTTTGGAATTTCAATCCATTGCATGAGGAGATTACTCATCTTGTCCAAACTGTAACAAGATACACTAGCTACAGTACAAGTCTTACATTTAGCTCTTTAGCATCGCTTTAACATGCATTGTAATGTAAATAATGCGAATACAAACTGATTTTTCTTTCATTCTGGCTTATTATGAAGTGTTTGGACATTCACAAATGGTGGCCTTTAAACAAAGGGGAACAACTCGTTATGCGGCGGGTTGAGCTATCAGGATACAGACGGCAAATCAACTATTCGCTAAAACCAATTTATTAAAAGTACATATATATATATACACACGTTAAAAGATATGCGAATTTATAACTTCATCCAGAATTTGATTTGTTTATAATATTATTCCGATCAGCAATTAATTACAACTTGTAGACCAATCTTAATACTTTAGATATCATCAAGACAATGTAAGTTTTATCAAAAGACCGTGGTTTCATACTGCATGAAAATAAAATCAGAATAATTTGAGTTTCTTTTGTAAAGAATGTTTGACTCTTAAGCGAGGTGTGATTTTTCGTTCGGCTTCATTGATCCACATACATGTAGGTGCGATTACTGCACCCGTGCACCGTAGGGAACGAGTTACAGTATCGCGTTTTTCGGTTACAGTATAGAATTTTCAAGATGGAGGATTATTTGTTTGGAGGACAGGTAGGTGATTTTTATTCCGGTCCATACTACAAGTAGTTTAGTTTCTAAAAGATGTTTTTGTGCTTTGCTTGTAAGGAACAGAATTCGGCATCTATTCATATATTTCTTTAGACCCTGCACCGCAGATTTATCGCTTTATTGTCTCAATAATATGCAGATTTTCACGGTTTCAATATTTGAATCGAGAGACCAACGCATTTTTCTGCAATCGACATTATTTATGCATGCCTAGAAAAAGTAAATCTGCAAAACGTTAGTTCTTTATGTTTAGAAACGTTTATAAAAGTAAATGACCAGTTGAACCTATTTATCTGTTCGTTAAATGCGTTTGAAAAAATAAACAATGTTACAGTATAGAGCGAGGTAATTTGTGCAAAGTTACAGCATAGACCTAGCGATTTGTATCCGATTTTGTTACAGTTTATACCCAGATTAGACTTCGATATTTTCTATATATACTAGGTAAAATGTATGAATGTTACATAGACAAATTTTTATACCGTCAAATCTGCACATTTATGAGACAATATAGAAATAAATCTGCGGTGCAGGGTCTGAAGAAATATATGACTAGATACCGGATTCTGTTCCTTACAAGCAAAGTACAAAAACATCTTTTAGAAACTAGTATAGTATGGACCGGAATAAAACTCACCTACCTCTCTTCCCATAAATAATCTTCAATCATGTTCCCTGCGGTGGTATATATGCCTATTAAAAAGGAATTCTAGGAATACGGAGATATTATGTATAGGTTAGAGTGCATATTGGGTGTTCTTCGTAAATAAGAAAGCTAAAAAGGAGCGGAACTTGCGAAGCGACTGTAGCTTACTTATTTACGAAGAACATCCAATATGCACTCTAACCGGCTTAGTGCTCCGCCCACTTGCGTTTTATAATATAAAACGTCCAGTTTATATAAAATCTGTTCTATTAAGATTTGTAACCTGAAAATTTGAAAAATCCTCGTCGGTGATTGGCTTAAAAAAATTGGCGAGCACTAAGTAACCAAAGGGAAATAATCAGTTGTAGTTTATTGATTGAAATCTGTAGGAGTGATTTCCCTTGGCTGTTTTATTAGTTAGTCATGCGTGTAATTGTTCCCGCCGTTTTCTGAGTTGTCATCCGTTTTTGGAAGAAGGCAGACATGTTTTTCAGTTGTTTATAGTTAGTTATTATTTCTTAAAATGGATTGTGGACTTTGGATTGAGGTTAGTGAAGTTTTATATTGGTTGCTTACTTTGTTTAAGTGAGTTACAAATGAGCTGTGTGTTTGAAGTTTATTAAAATAAGATGTATATTTTCATGTATATTGTATATGATTTGTTTACAATGCATCTGATAATGGCAGCATATTTAAACTAAATATCTATAAATCACTGTCATTCTTTATTGTGCACTAGTTTAATTACTGTATGTTGCAGTAACACCACAAGACTGAGAGGATTTTTGTATGTGTGTCATTTGAGTCCAATCCACAATTGGTATGTATAATTGTACAAGTCATATTATTGTTTTTATTATTTTATAAGTTTACTACATTCATTTAATAGGCCAAAAAATTGAATTATTTAATATTGAATATAATACAGAAAACTGTACTTGGAATGTTCATTAATTAATATTAAAGTAATTAATTGTTTTAATGGTTTAATGACTGTTATATTGGCAATTTGATGTGAGATGTATGTATAAATAATCATGCTATGACTTAAATTGTACATATTGTGATGTGTGTTAATGATCTCAGTATGAACATGTATTTAGTATTGTTATATTTGTTTGTTTCAGGGCTTGATATCTTCTTGATACTGATTATATATTGATTGGTGCTTAAACAAGTGCTTGATGTGTAGTTGTGATGTGACTTTAACCTCTTGGGTTAAATCTACTTGAAGCTTTATATTAATATAGTAATATACTGAGATCATACACTGATGGACATTTCAATTAAAAGTATTGAACGAACTCAGCCTCGTTGATAATTTATACCTTTACATCTTTAAGGGCATAATGTTAACAAAGGTAACAATTACATGTATGCATTTTCTAAGAAAAGTGCGCTTTTTTTCTAGGACATATTGCTGCTTACAATACATTCATGTGATATATCATAAGTATACAGAGCCTCCCTGGGCTAATTCTGGGTATGATCCTTCATTTTGCGCCGAAATGCATTTTGTAGAGCAATTTTGACTAACATTATGTATTAACAACTGTAGCAGAGATCTACCAGATACTTGTCAAAATATTGTGCACAGCCCATGACAAAAAAGTTGAGCTCTTTTTTGTAGGACTGTGAATATAGTCTTGGCACGTAAGCTTATGTAAGAACGCACCAGCCCTGAAGTTGCCCGTATCAAAAAGATAGAGGAATTCTTGTATTTTTTATGTTATGTTGTTGTTTTGCATACAGTATTGTACTGCAAAATGAACTGTCAACATCGTCAGCGTAGGTGCCATACATCATCGAGTGTTTCGCCCCGTTATACCTAGGACACTCTAATATGGTGGGGCCACAGTTGGGATCAAATCACTGCGTGTTGACAGTTAGCACCAGCTCTTTTCATCTCTCCTTAGCCATAACCAACAAGATGCCTTTTCAGCTGCACTACTGACTGAGCGGATGGCCTGCTTTCTCTGATGACCAGTTATTCCTATCTCGGTCAGCATCTTCCACAATGACTTAGCTGGGAAGCCCCTGGTCCCGACTTCTACTGGGTTAAAGCCAGGCTTTCCATCCTTTCTTTCTACAGTCTTCAGTTAACTGGGTGTACTTGGCTGATTTACGTTCGTAGGCGTCGTCACACCTCTCTTCCCAAGGTACCGTCAGTTCAATTAGCACTCTTTATCGTAGATTTTTTTTTATAAATTACGTAACAAAAATGCATATTTTAAGCAGGGTCTTTAAAATCTCGTTTGAAAGACCCCGGTTAAAGTAATTTTCCAATCCAGATTATCATAACATTGAAATGTTTGTAAAGAAGGGTGGGGGTATGGCGGGGCAGGGCACATTCTATGAAAGTTGTTATAATTTTGAAATCACTGATTAACAGTAGTAATAGAAGTCATTGTGCGTAACGGTCATATAAAGGCTAGAAGAACCCTTGTTATATAAGGGACCAAACTAATATTTTAAAGTATTTGCATTGTGAAGAGTTAACCCCCTTTCAAAATGAAACTGCCACGAAGAGCCTAAACTTGAAAGTCAGTGTTCCGAGATAAATGTTGTTCTAAGTGCACTCTTACTGTTGACGTGAGTAGTATGTAAAATGTAATGCTCCCAGTGGCGTTATTAATGTTCTATTGGCCACAGACGCTTGGGGATCAGATCCTGCCCCAACGCGATACACTCCTGTAAACACTCTTTCAAAAATATTTTAATATTTAAACACGATTTGGACAAGCCCATGAAGTTGGCACATAGATCGACATTCAAAAAGTAGATAAGAAACGAATGTCGAGCTGACATTCAAAAATAGACAAAAAACGAATGTCGAGCTGAATGTTATGCTGAATGTCTAGCCAGCTTCACATTCCAACACAACATTCAAAAATAGACAAAAAATGTCGAGCTGAATGTTGTGTTGAATGTCTAGCTAGCTTCACATCCCACCTCAACAGTGATAAATCGAATGTCGAGCTGAATGTTCTGCTCAATGTCTTGCCAGCTTCCCATACCAGCTCAACAGTGATACATCGAATGTCGAGCTGAATGTTTAATGTCGATCTCTGTGCCAACTGCATTGACTTCATTTGGACATCTGTTACAACGATAAAACTGGTTTTCAAACAATTTTTACATATATGAAAAAAAATACTGATACTATCAAGCTTGAGACTTGAGACAATGCTATTCACTCCAATAGGAACGTTACCCACTGCATGCAACTCTTGCCACTAGAACATTACCCAATACTTACTTCTAATGCCACTATTATCATTTCCAACTGTATATTACTTTTGTTACTAGAATACTAGAACTTTACCCACCGATTACTTCTCACGCCACAAGTATCAGTTCCCACTGCATATTACTCTCAATACTAGAACATTACCCACCGATTACTTCTCACGCCACAAGTATCAATTCCCACTGCATATTACTCTCAATACTAGAACATTACCCACCGATTACTTCTCACGCCACAAGTATCAATTCCAACTGCATATTACTCACAATACTAGAACATTACCCGCCGATTACTTCTCACGCCACAAGTATCAATTCCCACTGCATATTACTCTCAATACTAGAACATTACCCACCGATTACTTCTCACGCCACAAGTATCAATTCCCACTGCATATTACTCTCAATACTAGAACATTACCCACCGATTACTTCTCACGCCACAAGTATCAATTCCCACTGCATATTACTCTCAATACTAGAACTTTACCCACCGATTATTTCTCACGCCACAAGTATCACTTCCCACTGCATATTACTTCTCAATACTAGAACATTACCCGCCGATTACTTCTCAACGCCACAAGTATCAATTCCCACTGCATATTACTCTCAATACTAGAACATTTCCCGCCGATTACTTCTCATGCCACAAGTATCAATTCCTACTGCATATTACTCTCAATACTAGAACATTACCCACCGATTACTTCTCACGCCACAAGTATCAATTCCCACTGCATATTACTCTCAATACTAGAATATTATCCGCCGATTACTTCTCACGCCACAAGTATCAATTCCCACTGCATATTACTCTCAATACTACAACATTACCCGCCGATTACTTCTCATGCCACAAGTATCAATTCCTACTGCATGTTACTCTCAATACTAGAACATTACCCACCGATTACTTCTCACGCCACAAGTATCAATTCCAACTGCATATTTCTCTCACGCCGATTACTTCTCACGCCACAAGTATCAATTCCCACTGCATATTACTCTCAATACCAGAACATTACCCGCCGATTACTTCTCACGCCATAAGTATCAATTCCCACTGCATATTACTCTCAAGACTAGAACATTACCCACCGATTACTTCTCACGCCACAAGTATCAATGCCCACTGCATATAACTCTCAATACTAGAACATTACCCGCCGATTACTTCTCACGCCACAAGTATCAATTCTCACTGCATATTACTCTCAATACTAGAACATTACCCGCCGATTTCTTCTCACGCCACAAGTATCAATGCCCACTGCATATTACTCTCAATACTAGAACATTACCCGCCGATTACTTCTCACGCCACAAGTATCAATTCCCACTGCATATTACTCTCAATACTAGAACACTACCCACCGATTACTTCTCACGCCACAAGTATCAATTCCAACTGCATATTACTCTCAATACTAGAACTTTACCCACCGATTACTTCTCACGCCACAAGTATCAATTCCCACTGCATATTACTCTCAATACTAGAACATTACCCACCGATTACTTCTCATGCCACTCAATTATCACCAATTTTCACCAACTACTACCTTTCAAGCAACTAGAACATTAACCACAACATACTACTCACGACAGCAGGGCATTACCCACTGCTTACTTCTCATACCACTAGAACATAACCAACTGCATAGAACTCGTGTCACTTGGAACATTACCAACTGCATGCAACTCATACCACTAGTAGTTTACCCACTATTTACTATCCACTAGTATCATTTCCCACTGCATACTCGTATATATTACTCTCGTTACTTAGACATTATTCACTGATAACTTCTCACGCCACTTAAACATTACCAACTCCTTACCTTTCACGACTATAACATTACTGACTGCTTACTACTCACGCCACCAGAATATTACCCACAACTTACTCACGCCTCCAGTTTCATTACTGACTGCTTACTTTTCACGCAACCAGAACATTACCCACAACTTACTCACGCCTCCAGTTTAATTACTCTGACTGCTTACTTTTCACGCAACCAGAACATAACCCACAACTTACTCACGCCTCCAGTTTCATTACCGACTGCTTACATTTCACACCACCACAACATTACCCACAACTTACTCACGCCTCCAGTTTCATTACCGTCTGCTGACTTTTCACGCCACCAGAACATTACCCACAAATTACTCACGCCTCGAGTTTCATTACTGTCTGCTTACTTTTCACGCAATCAGAACATTACCCACAACTTACTCACGCCTCCAGTTTCATTAACGATTGCTTACTTTTTACGCCACCAGAACATTACCCACAACTTACTCACGCCTCCAGTTTCATTACTCACTGCTTACTTTTCACGCCACCAGAATATTACCCACAACTTACTCACGCCTCCAGTTTCATTACCGTCTGCTTTTCACGCAACCAGAACATTACCCACAACTTACTCACGCCTCCAGTTTCATTACTGACTGCTTACATTTCACGCAACCTGAACATTACCAACAACTTACTCACGCCTCCAGTTTCATTACTCACTGCTTACTACGCAACCAGAATATTACCCACAACTTACTCACGCCTCCAGTTTCATTACCGACTGCTTACTTTTCACGCCACCAGAATATTACTCACTACTTACTCATGCCTCCAGTTTCATTACTGACTGCTTACTTTGCACGCAACCAGAACATTACCCACAATTTACTCACGTCTCCAGTTTCATTACCGACTGCTTACTTTTCACGCCACCAGAATATTACCCACAACTTACTCACGCCTCCAGTTTCATTACTCACTGCTTACTTTTCACGCAACCAGAACATAACCCATAACTTAATTACGCCTCCAGTTTCATTACTGACTGCTTACTTGTCACAAAACCAGAACATTACCTACAACTTACCCACGCCTCCAGTTTCATTAATCACTGCTTATTTTTCAGGCAACCAGAACATAACCCATAACTTTCTTACGCCTCCAGTTTCATTACTCACTGCTTACTTTTTACGCAACCAGAACATTACCCACAACTTACTCAGGCCTCCAGTTTCATTACTGACTGCTTACTTTTCACGCAACCTGAACATAACCCATAACTTACTCACGCCTCCAGTTTCATTACCGACTGCTTACTTTTCATTACCCATAATTTACTTACGCCTCCAGTTTCATTACCGACTGCTTACTTTTCACGCAACCAGAACATAACCCATAACTTACTCACGCCTCCAGTTTCATTACTCACTGCTTACTTTTCTAGCAACCAGAACATTACCCACTTACTTACGCCTCCAGTTTCATTACTGACTGCTTACTTTTCTAGCAACCAGAACATTACCCACAACTTACTCACGCCTCCAGTTTCATTACTCACTGCTTACTTTTCTAGCACCCAGAACATTACCCACAACTTACTCACGCCTCCAGTTTCATTACTGACTGCTTACTTTTCACGCAACCAGAACATTACCCACACTTTATTCACGCCTCCAGTTTCATTACTGACTGCTTACATTTCACGCAACCAGAACATAACCCATAACTTACTTACGCCTCCAGTTTCATTACCGACTGCTTACTTTTCACACCACCACAATATTACCCACAACTTACTCACGCCTCCAGTTTCATTACCGTCTGCTTACTTTTCACGCCACCAGAACATTATTAAATAAATAAATAAATTGTGCTGTTGCTATGTCGTGATGTTGTTCATTTATTTCTTGACGCTACTGCAATGGCTCATAATTAATTTAAACTTATTTGATGTCAGTTTTGCAATTTTACAATCGATGCTAATTGAATTATTGAATGATATTTTCACTCACCGAGCAATTGCATGCATAAATTGAATGGCAATTTCTTGTAATCTATATTGTAAGCATTTTAACTGCAAGTAATAATGTATGAGGTTTTACATTTCCTGCAAACTTTATTAGAGTAGCAGACATAATCAACGGTAATCTATTCTGAATGACGATAACCGGGCAGGAGTAACGGGGACAAAGAGATAACGATATCCGATTATGAAATAAAGATGTTCAATTATAAGTGATCCGATAATGCAAGGACAATGTCCGAAAATACAATGATAATGCCCAGTAATGCAATGATAATGCTCGTTCATACAATAAAATGCCCAAATATACTATGCTTATGCGTGGTAGTGCCAAAACTATGTTTAGTAGTGCAATAATAATGTTTGGTAATGCGATGATTATGCCAAGTAATGCAATGATAATGGTCGGAAATGCAATGGTATTGATCGGAAGTGAAATAAAATGCTTGGTGATGAACCAAATTACCTGACAGACTATTTCTGTTTTAACTTTCAGATCGTTATTCCTTTCAATTTATCAATTATTTATTTCATAATTCGCTTTGACAATATTCTACATCTATAAAGCATTTACATGTACTTAGTTAAAGCTACCTTTTCTAAAGATATTTCTTGTTTGCATATTGTTTAAGCAAAGTTTAAACGAAACAATATGATATCAATTTTTTGATCGTGAATGTCATATAGCAGTAATAAAATATCGAGTTACCCCTAACAAGCTTCGTTAATCCATTGCCCTCTGGATACTGCAAATATTACCAGTATAAGACCAGGCCATTCAATATAAGACAAGGCAAGCCAGTATATGACGAGGCCAGCCAGTATAAGACGAGGCCAGCAAGTATAAGACCAGTTATCAGCCAATGTAAGACGAGGCAAGCCAGTATAAATCCAGACCAGCCAGTATAAGACCAGGCCAGCCAGGATAAGACCAGTTTGCAGCCAGTGTAAGACGAGGCCAGCCAGAATAAGACCAGACAAGCCAGTATAAAACCAGGCCAGCCAGGGTAAGACAAATTTGCAGTCAGTGTAAGACGAGGCCAGCCAGTATAAGATCAGACCAGCCAGTATAAGACGAGGCCAGCCAGGATAAGCCCAGTTTGCAGCCAGTGTAAGACCAGTCCAGCCTGTGTAAATTTAGACCAGCCAGTATAACACAAGTCCTGTCAGTATTAGATCAGTCCAGCCAATATAAGACCGGGTCAGCCAATATAAGACCAGTCCAGTCAGTATAAGACCAGTCCAGCCAGTATACGACCAGGCCAGCCAGTGTAAGATCTGTTCTGCCTGTTTAAGACCAGGCCAGCTAGTTTATGCCCTGGCCAGCCAATATAAGACCGGGCCAGCCAATATAAGACCAGCCCAGCCAGTATAAGACTAGGCCAGCCAATATTAGATCGGGCCAGCCAATATAAGATCAGTCCAGCAGATATAAGATCAAGAAAGTCAATATAAGACCAGTCTTGTTCAGCAAGTATAAGATCAGTCCAGCCAGTGTAAGACCAGCCCAGCCAGTATAAGACCGGGCCAGCCAATATAAGACCGGGTCAGCTTATATAAGACCAGTCCAGCCAGTATAAGACCGGGTCAGCTAGTGTAAGATCAGTCCAGCCAGTATAAGACCTGGCCGGCCAATATAAGACCGGGCCAGCCAATATTAGATCAGTCCAGCCAACATAAGACCAGGTCAGCCAATGTAAGACGATGCCAGCCAGTATAAGATCAGGTCAACTAGTATAAGACCAGACCAGCCAATATAAGACTAGTCCAGCAAGTGTAAGACGAGGCCAGCCAGTGTAAGACAAGACAAGCCAGGATAAAAACAGGATCAGGTCAGCCAGGACTAGAGGAGGCCAGCTAGTATAAGATGAGGTCAGCCAGTGTAAGACGATGCCAGCCAGGATAAGATCAGGTCAGCTAGTATAAGACTAGACCAGCCAATATAAGACTAGTCATTCAAGTGTAAGACGAGGCCAGCCAGTGTAAGACAAGACAAGCCAGGATAAGACCAGGATCAGGTCAGCCAGGACTAGAGGAGGTCAGCTAGTATAAGATGAGGTCAGCTAGTATAAAACCAGTCCAGCCAATATAAGACTAGTCCAGGATCGTTTAAGACGAGACCAGCCAGTATAAGACAAGGTCAGCCTGTATAAGTCCAGACCAATCAGTATAAGCTTTAAAAGTCCTCATTATCGATTTTATTAGTAGTCTCAGTCAATTGCATATTAACAGATTAAATATTGATGTTTAGATGCACATGATGAGAGGGAATTAAAACAAGAGCTTTCAGACGAGACAGCAACGCCCGACTTATTAAATACTGCACCCTAATAACAAAGATAATACTTAAAAAATACAACAATTTTCAAATAATTTCCAAGTTCAAAAATTAAAAGGAGATAATTCTGGGAAAACAGGAGCTATCGTTAAAAGTTTTATCACACAGGACAAAGGTGTTGATAACAAACATTTTTGACTCTAATTAAATCCTAAAGAAAAAAAGAACTTACTGAAAAAATAAAGAAAATTTAAGTTTAACGGGAAGATAATTCGTAAAATAATGGCGCTAGTGTTATTAACCTTGTCATATTATTATATTGGAGTCGATATGAAAAATTGAAATTAATGTTTAAAGTAAATCTTTAGTTAAGGCAAATAAATATACGAATTTTTAAAAACATCCAAGTTCAAGGGGGATCATTTTTGAAATATTCATGCTAGAGTTATGAATTTTTAACCATGATGTGGATAATAATAAGTACCGGTAACAAATATTCGAAGTTTGAAGTAGATACCTTAAGAAATGAAAAAAAGTTCTAGAAAAAAAAACAACAACATTTTTTAACATAAATTCTAAGTTCAAGGTGGATAATTATAAAAAAATGAGTGCAAGAGTTCTGAATCTTGTCACACATCTTGTGGGTGATGATAAGTAACATATATTTGAAGTCTAATGTAGATGCTTTGAAAAATAAAAAATGAATTATAGCAAAAAAACAAAACAAAAAAACAACAACATTTTTAAGGAAAAAATCTAAAAATGCTCATGGGGAGATCATTCTGAAATTATTGGTGCTAGAGTTAAAAACCTTATCACATATGTTGTTCACGATAAGAAACATATATTTGAACATTGAAGTTGATCCCTTAAGAAAGTGTAAAATTAATTTTTCAAGGAAAAGTTCAAGGGTAGATAATTCTTCTGAAAATATTGCTTTTTAAATTTGTGGTTTAATGATAAGGTTCATATACTAGTATTTGAAGTTTCAAGCTGAGACCTTAATAAATGAAAAAAAAGTTATAGTAAAAAATGTTGTACTGCACAAAAAACTTTAATCTGAAATCAGGACGTGGACGCCGACGCCGGGGTGAGTAATACTTCGTATAGTCGAGCAGCTAATGATAACAAGCAATGCGATCTTTGTTCAAATTAATATTTGATTTAAGTATAAAGTATATATGACGAGCCGATACAAATCCAAGAACAGTTTCCCAGTTCGGAAGCGTTAACGTATTTTAACGGAACCGGACAGAAAATGGAATTTTGGACGGTAAGTGAATTAATTGTTGTTTTTTATATGCTTACACTGGGTATTCTTTGAAAAAAAATATGAAAAATTGGATTATGGCAATAAAATCTATGCCCTGTTGAAAAGTGTTGCGTATTGAATACAGATTTGTTTCCATAAATGAATTAGTATATTTGAAAATATTTCTTTTAATAATTGATTTATGCAATTGTTATACAGTATGAATAAATGCACGTAGACAAGCTTAATGTCAATGTTGCGCGCATTGCCAAATACGAATAAAATAAAAAACAAAAACAAAGAAAAAAACAACAACAAAAACAAAACGTCTTTTGGGGGATGGGAACGGGGCTATCTATATCTATTGCTTCTTTTTTGGGGGAATAAAGCGGTATTATCCCAATTTTCCCTGCACCCATTAAATAAACGTATCTATATCACTCTATTAAGTAAAACGCCGTTGTAAACAGCAAGGAACAGCAAGGCGTTACTTTATTAAGTATCAAAGCACAGAAGGCGCTGACTTTGTTTGGGTCTCAGAATGTAAGAAAGGTACAGGTTGTGAGATTATATGTATAGTGCCACCAATGCTTTCCAGCGTTTTAATTGTAGTAAATTGGCTTTAAGACTAATTGCAACACTGATTTTCAATCCAATGTTTATTTGACTGAAACAATTTGAAAAAAAAGAGTTGCATTAACTGGGATTTGAACGTATGGGATGTAAATAATCATGGAGCTTACTATAAGCATGTATATCTATAAAGAATCAAAGGGCTGCAAACTCTGTGGTATTTTCTGATCTTTGCAATCTAAATCGTACTGTATATCTGTATGTATTTTCCTGTATAAGTTTATTTTTATGTACTATAATTCATCTTGCAAGGCACCAGAGTTTGATACATACGGAATTTTGCATAACTAGAGTTGCATCAAAAAATCATTTATGTTCATTTTTTATGACAGCCACACTTTATCCTTGCATATCATGGCTACTTCCTTAACACAGACACTTAAAAAAGAATTAAAACAAAAAAAATTCTCGAATGTGATCTGTACTCCAGACCTCTCACACGCTAAGCGAGCGCGTTACCCCTGCACCACGGAGAAGTTATGCAATCAATGACTGAATAACATCAAGTCATTCTAAATTTAGAACTTCCATTGCATTTAGTGTTTGTAATCCTTATTAATTTCGAGGTATTTTGTTCAGGATAAACCTGTTGTTTAAAACTGAAGTTAATAATTTAGCGAAAATCTTCTCGCCCAAACAGTCCGACGTGTAGAATCTATATATTCCACTACTCGGTTTATGTAGTATTCGGTAATCGACATCGCTAAAAATAGTATTTTCATTGATAAAATCATATTCATCCGCGTAATTTGTGATTGTGCATTTATTGACAATTCTATAAGCCAACGCTACTTTTAAACTTTGAATGCGTTGTAATTTGTTAGTTACTTGTAACAAAATAAAAATATTTCCTTCTTTTAAATCGCTAGTTTTAAGCCGTTTTGAGAACTACTTGTTGTTAGGTTTGTCGTGAAACTTCTGTGTCAGAGATTGAATGTCCGCTTTGTATTAACTTATCTTCGATCAATGAATACAATAAAACAATATTAGAAATCTTCGACTATTCTGGAATTATTTTGCTTGAAAATTAATGCGCCTGTCTTTGACCATCTTTACGCAGTGATCTCCCCTGAATTTTTCGGCGTTAGTGTACATATAAAGGGAAGTAACCGCTTCAAAAAAGCGGACTACTTTTGGCATTTGCAATTAACAGCAGTAGACTCTGAAATTTCGCTACCATTATTTGTTTGGTCTGACGACCCAAACAAATAAAAACGGCAGACCATATGTGGGAATGACCCATACATGTAGTTTTATTTCCGGATTTATCCTAAATAGAACGCTTGGCCTCTTTGAACTTTTGTCAAATATCTTTTGTATACTAGTTTAGCCTACTAAATTTTCTTCTAACACAACGATTTATTGATAAAAAAATGATTATAAACAGAACAAGTTTAATTATGAGAGTAGCTGGAATTTCAAAATAGTTATTGATAAATCTTTATCACTTAAATCTTTAAAGTTCTAAGAAACAAAAAGGCATAGATATTGCTGATGTCAACTCATTATAAGACGGCGCGTGCATTAGACGGCGCGTGCACGCGCCGTCTAGTAGATATGCATTTGTCCGTATAGCAAATGGGAAAATTTTAGACTTGATTTTGTGCATTTTTTTTTTGTTTTAACAAAATCACATTTTTCAAATTTTTAATTAAAATAGCTTTTCTGATGTACAATTCATGTCACAGAGCTTTAAGGGATTAAAATAAACGTTTAACTGAAGTGATAGGATCATGTTTGAATATCATATTCCTTTTATAAAAATATCTAATTTTACCTTCTCATAAATAACGTGCCAATGAGCCAGTCTATAGTCGACCGTTCTAAAACTTAACCGACAACTGAGGCAGTGTCACTTACTTCATATGCTTCGCCTCTGTTGAAGTTCGGCTCCGCCTTAATTTGTCATATTAAATTTGATATTATGTTCCATATGTTAGCATTTAGTCTTCGTTGACTGGGTAGAAGGGAACCAGGACAATTTTGATCAATATCACTTGTCGAATTATTAAATTACAAGTTACAAAGCTAAGCCACGCCCACTATCAGAGAGGCGGTTCTCACTCAACCGTTACGGCCTGTAAGGGGAGATCACTGCAGAACAGTTTGTACTCACTATCATTCGAACATTATGCAATTCATACCAATATTTAAATGGTATATTCTCGGCATATATAATTTATTTTAAGTATACCAATCATTTCAATTTTATTTGTTATCCAATTTATTTTGATTCGACCAGACGTTTCAGTCTTTGTCGCAACAGACAAACATTGAAACATTTAAGAATTTCAGACCTTGCATTATTAGGATAAGGTTCTACTTTTTCACAAAAATATGCAAGTTTATTATTAAACAACGATCACATACTAAGAACATGGAGAAAAAAATGATTTGTGCTTCGGATATTCAACTGTAATAGAGAATGATTTTCAATGATGATTGACTGTTCACATCATTTGGCGGCGGCTTTGATGTGCAGCATCAACATTTAACTTGTTCATTTCTAATATCCTTAAGAGCCTATGATTGTAAGGTATGTACATACATGGAATCCGACTTGCGAGAGATTGATTGTCGTAACCGATAAATACATTATTAGTGAATTGCACTCTAAACTCTTTAACAATCTTTGACTTTCTTAAATGCTTTTATGGTGCCATAAAACATATGGAATAGTCTGATTGGATGGGAAAGCACTATGTTTGGTGGCCGGTAGCGTCCATTTTAAAGCCGCAATAATTTTACCGTCAGTTTATAAATGTCGCGGTGCGAAATTTTATGTCGAAATTGTATAAAATGTTGCAGCTTATAAAAACTCCACTTTTTTCTGCAAGGAAATGTCTCTGAGCAAAACAAACTGAAAATTGCTATAACTCGACGCGATATTTTATGAGACCATTGTTGAGGAACAAAAAGTCGCGGCCTATAACCTCGACTTTTAGTATTAATTTCTACAACACTTGCAATAATTGTGTCGCTGATTACTTTCCTCTTCAAATACTTTATAGACAAAACGAGGATAAAATGTAGAGGTCAAACCATGGACGCTACCGACCACTGGAGTCAAAAATGTTACTTTGCTGTTTTCCAACCCAGCTGTTAAAGAATATCGATGTTTATTACGTTCCCATCGGCATTTTGTACGATCTCGTCAGAAAATCTGCGCGGTTTGTAAGTTGCCCGCGACATTTTATGATAACTCGGTTAATTTCTCGCGGGTTTGAAATGGCCGCAACCGCCAACCGTAAATTTATGATAACAGAAAAAGAAGAACTAATTAAATATGCAAGAACAAGAATGACATTAATATTATACTTGAAATAATGAATAATAGATTTGCTATTTTGTTAATAAGTTTTGCTGCGTTTGTTCACAGATTTTTATTAATATGTAATTAAGATCTGTGGTTTGTTCAATGATCACAAATGTATTGTTTTATGTCCTCTGATATTTATTACTTTTTTATGTAAAACATTATAAAATTAAGATGTCTGAGTCGAAAGTACATTCTGAATGCTTTGGACTTGTAGGTGAAGTTTAATATCGTCCCAGTGAGTTTCAACAAGCATCGTTCTTTTTTCTCATAAAAAGATATTACCCGAATGCAATGGGTTTCAGTTTCGCTGTATTAAGATGTAACTCATGTCACAATTAATCGAGACATCATTTATTTCATTGTCAAATTTTCATTATTTTTAGAATAATAAATGTAATATAATTATACATGTAAACCTTATTCAAACAATTGTTAGCTTCTTTGTTTTATTTCCTACAGGTACTTCCAATAACCATAGTGTTGTGTTGTACTGTGTTTTCAACAACTCTTGGTAAGTGAAAAAATTGTACATTTATTTCAAGATAACGCTATTACAATATTATCGTTACTTTAAGATTGAACATATTGAAACCATACAAATGCTACGACGGCTACAAACCTATCCCCCGGGGTTAATGCAGCAGTAGCAGGGGAATTGAGCTTTGCGTTACATGCCGGGTAAATGTGATTGTTTTGTTTAAACGCCTCAAATTTGCCAGCGATATGTCCAACTCACGGTTTTGGGAGGGTGGGGCGGCAGGTTGGCGGGGGATGGGAACATTTAGGAGGGGTTTAATCTTTTGTCTTCCCACGTAGGGCGAGGCATTTATCAGAAATGAAAGCTCGCGGTTACATTTGACTGGTACAAAACAATAATTTAATAATAAAAATGATGGTGATTATCATGTTGATGCCGCTGATTGACATGGCACGATACATTTAAATGGTATATTCGAAAGATGATAAGGTTTATGTTTTTAAGAAAGGGGAGCGGTTGGCTAATAGTTTAGATGCCTGCCTCTCAACGCATGGGTCATGAGTTCCTTGTTACTTTTGACCGGCTAGCTGCCATTGATATTTTTATGCTTTGTCTGTGCGAAATACAAACACTGACGCGTAAAAATATCTTCTAGTATAAATTTTGAAAAGCAGAACATAATACATGTTATAAATATAGTCTAACCTTCTACTAAGTTACAGCATTTTCCACGTTTTAATTCTCAGAATTGATATTTACTTTTGTGAATTGTACCATGTTAGTTTATGATGTTTGGTGTGTTTATAAGCAAGGCATAAAACTTAATCATATTAATGCATATTTTACTGTATCAACGACATAACATATTCAGTGAAGCCACTATACCATAACATTTTATCGGCTGTGCAATAATTGCACTAACAGTAAACGTAACAACAACAATATTGAGCAGTACTTCCAGGCATGACATTAGTAAATGGAATTTGTAAAATCTTCTCCTTATTGTTAAGGATCCGAATTAATAATTGGTGTGAAACGAACGATGTTTTAATTGATTCACACTATGGATTCAGAGATGGTCGTTCTTCAACTTATCACATTTTAACTACATATAATTGTCCAGAAGATCTTATACTAAAAGTCTAAACTTTTGGTGTGTTTTTTGTTGACTACCAGAGAGTTTTTGACTTGGTTAACAGAGATGCTTTATGGGCAAAATTTATCCAAGCCAGCATTTAATTTAGTTGTAAGCATATTTTATGTGTAAAACAACTAACTCCAAAATATGCGGTACAGATGACCTTGGTAGATTACCGTTATCTGTTATCTGTAAGGAACAATCTTTAAATGTTTGGCTGAAAATTATGAAAAATGTTTCTTCCAACATTTATATTATGTGTAGAGATGTTTTTGACTACAACAGCTTTGGGGCTTCTCGTATACATTCTATTATTGATCATCTTAGTTTTACTCATATACGATTTTATGATGACAGTTTTGAATATAGACCATGTTAAGAATTGTTTATGTGAGCAAGTTTTGCATTATTAATAAGCATCTATACATTGAATATTAATATAATTTCAAAAAAAAGAAAAGAGTTTAAATTTGAAAACTGTCCTAATATAATTGAAAATGACATTCATAGAAACCTATTTGCTCTTTTAAATATTAATTTCATCCAATTTAGAATTTGAACCGGTCGATATAATGAAATAGTTAGAGAAAACCGATTGTGTAAATTGTACAACCAAAATGTAATTGAAAATGAATATCATTTAATGCTCTGCTGTAGTAAATATCATTGTAATGTATCTTGACCTGGTAAGAATATTTTCAATAGTTATATCTCAACTAAAAACAAAAAAATATACATATATAACTTTGTTAAATACATTAAAGATCATTTTACGTTAAGAAACAATACCTTGGAAAATATTACTGTTTCTTGAAGGTTCGAAATTATTATCATAACACTTTAAATCATGATTGTATGCTTTTGTATATATTATAAATGTATATATCTGTCTTTGTTATACATGTTGTTTCTTTTGTAAATATGGTCAAAGACATTTTGCATGAAGATAACAATAAATTTTGAAACCGTTAATATATATTTCTCATTTAAAGTTTTCCTTAAAATTTAAAAGTCGGCTTATATTTCCATATTTATTGTTACCTTAGTATTATATCAAAAATAAAAATGTTTAAAAAATGTTATTTTTAAAGAGAAACTCCACCTTTTGCCATTTGAATGTATAGATAATAACATAAAATTAGAGCACCCAGTCCTCTAATCTTGGTGTTTATTTAATTCTTATTTTGGTCCTGATTCTGCTCCATATTCTCAATTCTTTGTGAACATACAATTAATGGCATGCCGATTTATGTCATAAACTTAAGCCGTTCTTGACAGACTACCTAGCTAAACTTCCAAAAATCTGTTATATATTACATAATCAAGGATGATAATGCAAAAGGTTATAAAGAGTAGTGAGCGCATGATGTTAGAGGGCCGTCATTACTGCACACATCGCTGCTTGTATGAAAGCGTAATTAAGACTATACCAAAATTGACATACATGACTGTAGAAGAAACTAAAGCTGACTAGTTTCAAATTGTAATACAACATTTTTATGATTTCAATTTATTTATGAGTTACCGGCAAATTTATTTATACTAGGAATAGAAACAACATACGTGGTTGCTTTGCTCGGACAAGATATACAGAACGGATCAACGACTGCCAGCATTGAGTATGAGCTTGTCATTGTTAATGAAGAATCTACTCAAATAACAGTAATAATAACAAGTATGTAATATCTTATACGACAAAGTCTGTCTATGAACAGCACTCAGTTATATACCCCCACCTCTAAGTATGCAAACTTCAAGTAACAATGCATAACAAATGGTGACAATGAAAACTAAATTATTTATGATCGTGGGTTTGATATGCAAATTAACACTTTTTGAAATGGCATTCTGGTAAATAAAAATCCTTTTAAAAACCGATTTGATTTTAAAACCAATTTATTGATTTTATACTGATTTATTGAATTTATATCTGGTAAATAGGTACCTGTATACAGAACTTTATGCGTTAAATAAATAATTAAGTGACATATGAGTAGGTATACATTTTTTCAACTAGTTAGTCAGTATAGCTGAATAAATTTACTATTCATTACCTTTTACTGCAATGATTTCAACAAACTTTACCATTGTGAACAACTACAGATTGACTAAATATGAGTATTATAAACTCACCACTATATATTTTAAACCGCCTCCGTGGTCGAGGGGTTAGAGTCGATGACTTCTAATCCAGTTACCTCTCTGGCGTGGGTTCGATCCCCGGGAGATGCTTTGGTAGTTTAGCGCGGAGGAAGGTAGTCTAGTACTGGTTTAACTCTCCAGGAACTATGATTAGGAAACTACCCGCCTATATGACTTAAATACTGTTGGAAAAAGGCGTAAAATGAAATAAACAAACAAACAAACAAACTATATATTTTATATAGGTATCGATGGACCAGTAAAAACATTGCCGGTGGGTTCCAATGCAAGAGTTAGTCACAAACTTGGACATGAAATGGCTATGAACGGATCTGAAATTAGCAACAAGTCTCTTGAAGTTCAATCAAATGACGGTAAGTTTGTGTTACAAGTATTTACCAAAAGGGATGGCTATATTGAAGGTCTACTGGCATTACCAATACAACAAATGGATGGACCAAACCAAGTTATAAATAGAACAGTTTACGAATATGTCGTCGCTACATTTTGTGCGGTAGGAGGGTATTGTCAGATTGCTATAGCTGCGACAGAAAACAACACGGAGGTTTTTATCGACATTCCAAAAATGGTGGAAGAAATAGCATTTTGTAATAAATCCTCATATTTCCGCTTACATAGGGACACAGGCTTCACGATGAACAAATTTGATGCGTTTCAACTTGAGACTACATATGATCTTACCGGAACAGTAATTTTCAGTTTTAAGCCAATTGCTGTTTTTGTTGGATCAAGAAATGTTACCAATGGCAATATTGTTGCTCATACAATGGAACAACTTGTACCTTCTTCACACTGGGGGACGGAGTTTGTAGTCCAAACCTTAGGCTCTAATGGATATGGTGATATTTTGAAGATAGTGAGTCACTATACAAGCACGGTGGTTACCATGAGTGGCTTCCCGTCCTTCAACATGACCAATAGATACCAGAATGTAACTCGACGGCTGAGTAAAGGAACGAGGAGTCACATACAGGCTTCACACCCAATACAGGTATATCTAGGATAGAAATACAAATGCATGTTAAATCTAATCGTTAATTCCACAACGTAAGTAATCTTTAATAATCACATCAATAGAGAGAAAAAAAGATTTCGAGAAATTTTTACATCTTGCATTTATTTTTAATTTTCTGATACTGACTATATTAAATATGAAACATGCGACTGCCCTGCTTTAAACAAGAGACTATTTTGTTCATTTCAATGAATCTGACGTTCATTGAAGTTTATTATATTTTATGTAACATCGCATGCTGAATAACATTTTATATGAATTGCGAGAGAATATATAAGGATATATAAAACAATGTAGATCTACAATCAGGGTAGAAAAAAAACTTTGGACATCGATAATCAGCTTTCAAAAAATAAAGCCATCTTGTGCAATAAAAGGAGCCATTTTATTTTATTTTTTTCATTCCATTATTTTTTCATGTTCTTAGCAGAATCCGAGAAGGAAAAAGTGCTCATAATCAAAATTGACTTATAAACTTTAAAGACTCTCTCATAAAATTGAACCAATCTTTTATCATGTTCTAGATTTAAGATGACTCAAGTGCTATTCGTGATCAGTTCCTTTAAAGTTAATAAAGTTTAAAGATACACGTATATTTCCTTAATTTACTAGGTTGTTCAAATATCTGGCCTATCATACGCGACTAAGAATGAGAGCTCCACACTCACAATGACTGTTGTACCGTCTGTACAGAATGCTTGGAATGATTTCACTGTTTCTTGCCACGACATGCAGACGTCATCACAGTTTGTTGTAGTCTCAGGTAAGAAAACTCAGTTGAAACAACTGAAATTATGGATATAAAACCCAACAAAATAACGACAACAACCTTAAATCAATATGCTAAAAACACAATTCGTCTTGTTTTTTATATAAACAACTTATCCAAAAGTGTATGATCGACCTTATTCCGTTTTTTTTTTATGGAAGAAAATTTTCACAATTTTTCTGAACCTTTATCATGCATATCTGCGAGATAATTAGAAAAATATTTGCCTTCAAACGATTTTCTTTCTAAATGTACATAATCTATGTTTGGATCTTATTTTATTCATAAATGGACATAATATTGCAAAAGCTATTTGATTTATAATCACTCACTAGCCTCTGATGACTGAATAAGGTTATGTAACCCTACTATATGCATTGTCTCTGACCACCTTTTGCAAAATTTGTCTCATATAGCGGAAAAGTTCCGTTTTCAGCTTTATATCAATGGATATTTGAGTCGCGTCACGACAAAACCAACATAGAGGGTTTGCGACCAGCATGGATCCAGACCAGCCTGCGCATCCGCGCAGTCTGATCAGGATCCATGCTGTTCGCTATCAGTTTCTCTACTTGTAATAGCCTCATTTATAAATACTTACTTCTGCTTCAGAGAAAACATCATGCATCAACACGAGTGCTGGGGGTCAACCCTATTTAGCAGACTCGAATGGTAAAACATGTGGAGCAAATAATTTTGAATCTAGAATTAAGTACACCAAGTATTTGATAGGTACGATAAATGGCACCAGTGGAAGCGATATTGTGAAAGTCAGTAACCCAAGATTACCGATTAATGGAATTGTCAAATGTGGTGATACTGTTACAATGCCTTTAGGAGTCCTCTATAATACGGTAGGTTAAACAATCATGCACTGTAATATTTCTCTCTCTATTATCTGAACACAAGAAATGATGATTTGCTCTTTGCGATCAACTTAAGAACGAGGACTTGCCCTAAGCCAAAAAATGAACTTTTTTTAATACAAAGCATTGTATATTTAGCAGTTCAAGTTTATATCCTCACTTCTGATATGTCGTGATACAGTGTAGTTGTTTTCTGATACTATATTTCGTGATAAGTTTTAACTGAATACTTTTATGTTTAAAAACTCCTGACATTAATCTTTATCCCGGATGTGGTTGGCCTTTGACGTGGTCATACCGAACATCCGTGCATTCTGACCAGTCTCTATAATGCTGGTTGCTCATTTTTTATGTTTGATATTGAAAACTCTTAAATTTTGAATGTACAGTTTCAAAGTAAAAGCAGGGCATTTAACCTGGCGATAACACTTTACCTCCCCAACATCTCCCCGACAATATAATGATGTTTATTTTGCTTAGATAATGATAGATTCCAATAAAAAAAAAAGATAAAACATTTTAACCAGTATTTGTGACTATGATCGTTCATTATCTTTAAAGGATGTGTCTGGCACTACACCTTTCACTGTACCGGAACACAATGGAGGAATTTGTTACGGTATGTCATAATAATGTGTTATCGAAACACAGTATATTCAAATTAACAATTTAAAATTTCTGAGAGATATTGTTTGACATCGATGGTAATTGTTTAACTCTGTCTTTAGTGTTTAAATAATTCTAATCAAACCACAGGCACTAGTCACAATTGATTTACCCATATACGATCATAATACTATATATAAAGAATAAAGGCCCCTAACGAGAGAAAACGATTGGTTAGCGCGAAATCGGAAGAACTCGGATTTCCCGCTTAACCAATTGTTACTTTACCTTATACTCAGTGCGGTAATGTAGGAAATGTTGGGAGCCGTCAATAATTTTAATTTTTGAGCTTGTTGGCGTTATCATCGGGCAGTTGAGAAGTAAAGACTTCGCAGTTTGACTGTAAACAAGTTGTTTTAAAGAAAGTATGTGGAAATTTTAACAGTTATTCGTTGATTTTGTAGAAATTGACCAGAATTCACCTTTGTTTACTCGCATTACTTGGACGTCGGAAACGACATGCAATGACATTTCAGTGAAATTTGGAAACTTGCTCGTATTTTGGAGCATTTTGAGGGATTCCGATGACGTAAAAAGTGTTTATGATAGGATAAATTATCCCTAGAGACGACCACAAAGAGAAAATAGTGATCTGGTCTATTTTTACAGAACAGTTCTTGTTTGTTTTGCATGATAGTTTTCTCTCGTTAGGGGCCTTTATTCTTTATATATAGTATTATGATTGTATATGGGTAAATTAATCGTGACTAGTGCCTGTGAATCAAACCATGTTTATGACATAGCTCAGATGAATGAACAATGGAAGCAAATGTTGTGTTTTTCTTTTATTTTCTGTTTGAAATTCTTTTGTTTGAACGCCAAAACTGAAATAACTGCAGGCTTATGTAACTAAAAAAATATGATTGTCTATTTTATTGCAGAAGGAGGACAAGCAACAACTTACTTCTCTCCTTCAGGGGAAGTTCCATATATGTTAAATTTTACAGATTACAAAAGGCACCACGTGTTTAAATTAAGAGTTCAAGTTTGCGGGTCTGCCATTTTGCGGTTCACAACTTTAACTGGCGAATTTATTGTTGCTATAATTAGTTATCAAGGAATACAGATCATTGCATGCGAACCACAATGCACTTTCAATAATGGAATTTCTTATATGACAAACAGGTAAATATTTACAGACGAATTCCCCAATTAGCATTGTATGGGTTACTTAATAAAATCAGTGGACTCTTTACAATTGTTTTTATTTATTTATTTATTTTTGCACATTTTATCATACCTGCATACTTTTTATATGACATTTTTTATAGAATAGACCTCAAGTTTATATATAGTATTACATAACATAATAAAGGATTTTTGTTGCAGCAATTTAATAAAATCATCGTCTTAGACTTACGTTAAAGTAAATTCAAATATTAAATTTCCCCATGTATTAGTAAGTTCACACGACTAGTTTATAAACTTACGCTTGTACAATGTTCAGAAAACTGAAGTGAAACCAGAACTTGCTTTTCCTAACACATTTTCAAAATATAATCCAGAATTTATTTTAAATTTTTCAAAATATAGAATTTAAATGGTTAAAGCATTGCTTGGTATTTTAGTATTAACGAGCAGGCAGGTACCGAATGCGAGACTGATATGTCATTTTTCTGGGTTATGCAAAATGTTGGGATGTTTTGTATTGGAACGGGATACCATCATAAGCCGGAAATGTGTGCACGTGATGTGAGTAACTCAGACAACCTTATTCGGATTGAAACAAATCCCGATAACTTCTTTGACGCCGTATCCATGATCGGACAATTCTCAGACGCAACCTTTAATTGGGGTAAATTCATTATGCAATATTAAATTGTATGTCTGCCGCTACCTCTCCATTCCGCTTCTGGTGACTTTGAACTTCAGTTATTTATAATGAAGACTTATTTAAGGGGACTGCACTGTTTTTTTTTTAAATGATCGGGCTAAAAATATTTTATTCAAGATATTTATTATATATATTAGATACATCTAACTATATAGCAATAAATAGTGTCCAACATTTCAGATCTTTTTGTTCACTGCATATTCCCGAATAATTACTTTAATTGTGCAAAAAACAGACCCTTTTAAACGCTTTTACGTAACTGAAACTTGGTTTAGAATCACTAAATGTCAATTTTTAATGTAATACCGTGTTTATTTTTATCATCTCTTTCATATTGTTTTTGTTTTAGCTTACCAGCTGATCTTATGTAATTAGGCTTTAACATTTTATGTTTTCAGACTTTGGAACAGTTGATCTATGTAATCACATGTTTTCACATTTTATGTTGTTTTTTTTTGTTTGGCTTTGGACCTCAGTGCAGTTCCCGTAAATTAATACACAACAACTATTGTGATAAGCAACGAAATTTTATTGTGTACAAATTCTCAGTTACATTATTTGTTTTCAGATTTCATACATGTTAATGGTTGCAAAGAATACAAGCCTGGTAAGTTGTGAATTTTTACATATAATATCACTTATTTTGTAAAAAATTTGTTAATTTCTCATAGTATTCATTATGTTTATTCAAGTTTCCTTTGTAACTGAAATTCTTGTACATAGGTAACAGTACTTATTCAGAGTAAAAATCCGGAAAAATAAAAACCTTAAAAAACAGTGTCCCGTTGAAGTATTTGTTCCGGGTAGTAAAATAAATAAAAAGAGGTTTGTGAGTTACAGCAAAAATATCATCCCTCGTAAAAATATTGTTACCCGAGGCCATCAGTATTTCCCTCCGGATTTATATACTAACACCTGACATGCATTAAACACTGACACATTTTTACATTTAACATTAACATATGACATGCATGTAACATTTAGACTTTTTTACATTTAACATGTAACACTAACACATGTCAAACATATAACACTAGCACGCTCAAACATGTAACACTAACATACGTCAAACATATAACACTAACACGCGTCAAACATTAGCACTAACAAGCGTCAAACATGTAACACTAACACACGTCAAACACGTAACACTAACACACGTCACACATATAACACTTACACATGTCCAACATATAACAGTAACACATGTCAAACATGTAATACTAAAACACGTCAAAACATATAACATTAACACACGTCAGACATGTAACGCTAACACGCGTCAAACATGTAACACTAACACATTTTTACATTTAACACTCACATATGACATGCATGTAGCTCTAACACTTCTTTATCATTTATCACTGACACATGGAATCCATTTAACACTAAGACACGTCAAACATGTAGCACTATGACACGTCAAACATGTAACACTAACACACGTCAAACATGTTACACTAACACATGGATTGCGTATAACACACACGTCAAACATGTAGCACTAACACACGTCAAACATGTAACACTAGCACACGTCAAAAATGTAACACTAACACACGTCAAACATGTAACTCTAAGACATGTCAAACATGTAACACTAACACACGTCAAACATGTAATACTAACACATGGAATGCATATAACACACACGTCAAACATGTAACTCTAAGACACGTCAAACATGTAACACTAACACACGTCAAACATATAACACTAACACATAGAATGCATATAACACACACGTCAAACATGGCACTCTAAGACACGTCAAGCATGTAACACTATCACACGTCAAACATATAACACCAACACACGTTAAACATGTAATACTAACACACGTCCAACATGTAACACTAACACATGGAATGCATATAACTCGAGCACACGTCAAACATGTAACACTAACACACGTCAAACATGTAACACTAACACATGTCAAATATATAACACTTACACACGTCAAACATGTAACACTAGCACACGTCAAACATGTAACACTACACACGTCAAACATGTAACACTAACACACGTCAATTATGTAACTCTAACACACGTCAACCATATAACACTAACACACGTCAAACATACAACACTTTTTTATATTTAACACTTACACATGGAATGCATATTACACTAAAACACGTCAAACATATAACACTAAAACACACGTCAAACATGTAACACACATGACAAACGTGAAACACTAACACACGTCAAACATGTAACACTAATATATGACATGCATGTTACAATAACACTTTTTTACATATAACACTAACACTTTTTCATATTCAACACCTACACATGGAATGCATATAACACAAATACACGTCAAACATATAACACTAAAACACACGTCAAACATATACCACTTACACATGTCAAACATATAACTTTAACACACGTCAAACATGTAACACTAAAACACGTCAAACATATAACTCTAAAACACACGTCAAACATGTAACACTAACACACGTCAAACATGTAACACTAATATATGGCATGCATGTTACAATAACACTTTTTTACATATAACACTATCACTTTTTCATATTTAACACTTACACATGCAATGCATATAACACAAATACACGTCAAACATATGACACTAAAACACACGTCAAACATATAACACTAACACACGTCAAGCATATAACACTAACACACGTCAAACATATAACACTAAAAGGCGTCAAACATATAACACTAACACACGTCAAACATATAACACTGACACACGTCAAACATATAACACTAACACATGTCAAACATGTAACACTAACATATGTCAAACATATAACACTAACACACGTCAAACATATAACACTAACACGCGTCAAGCATATAACACTTACACATGTCAAACATATAACACTAACACGCGTCAAACATATACCACTAACACACGTCAAACATATAACACTTACACGCGTCAAACATATACCACTAACACACGTCAAACATATAACACTGACACACGTCAAACATATACCACTAACACGCGTCAAACATATACCACTAACACATGTTAAACATATACACTAACACACGTCAAATATATAACACTGACACACGTCAACATATACCACTAATACGCGTCAAACATATACCACTAACACATGTTAAACATATAACACTAACACGCGTCAAACATGTGACATTAACACACGTCAAACATATAACACTGACACACGTCAAACATATACCACTAACACATGTCAAACATATACCACTAACAAACGTCAAACATATAACACTAACACACTTCAAACATATAACACTTACACACGTCAAACATATACCACTAACACATGTCAAACATATACCACTAACACACGTCAAATATATACCACTGACACACGTCAAACATATAACACTAACACACGTCAAACATATACCACTAACACGTACATGTCAAACATATACCACTAACACACCTCAGACATGTAACACTAACACATGTCAAACATATACCACTAACACATGTCAAACATATACCACTGACACACGTCAAACATATACCACTAACACACGTCAAACATATACCACTAACGCGCGTCAAACATATACCACTGACAAAGTCAAACATATACCACTAACACATGTCAAATATATACCACTAACACACGTCAAACATATACCACTGACACACGTCAAATATATACCACTAACACATGTCAAACATATAACACTTACACACGTCAAACATATACCACTGACACACGTCAAACATATAACACTAACACATGTCAAATATATACCACTGACACACGTCAAACATATACCACTAACACACGTCAAACATATACCACTAACACACATGTCAAACATATAACACTTACACACGTCAAACATATACCACTAACACATGTCAAAACATATCCTTTAACACATGTCAAAACATATACCACATACACACGTCAAACACATAACACTAACACACGTCAAACATATAACTCTAACACACGTCACACATATACCACTGACACACGTCAAACATATACCACTAACACGCGTCAACATATAACACTGACACACGTCAAACATATAACACTAACACACGTCAAACATATACCACTAACACACGTCAAACATAAACACTTACACACGTCAAACATATAACACTTACACACGTCAAACATATACCACTAACACATGTCAAAGATATACCACTTACACATGTCAAACATATAACACTAACACACGTCAAACATATACCATTAACACACGTCAAACAAAAACCACTAACACATGTCAAGTATATACCACTAACACATGTCAAACATATAACACTTACACACGTCAAACATGTAACACTGACACACGTCAAACATGTACCACTAACACACGTCAAACATATACCACTATCACATGTTAAACATGTAACACTAACACATGTCAAACATATACCTTTTACACACGTAAAACATATAACACTGACACACGTAAAACATATACCACTAACACGCGTCAAACATATACCACTAACGCATGTCAAACATATAACACTTACACATGACAAACATATAACACTAACACTTCAACATATAACACTAACACACATCAAACATATAACACTAACACGTGTCAAACATATAACACTAACACATGTCAAACATATACCACGAACACACGTCAAACATGTAACACTAACACATGTCAAACATATACCACTAACACATGTCAAACATATACCACTAACACACGTCAAACATATACACTGACACACGTCAAACATATACCACTTACACGCGTCAAACATATACCACTGACACACGTCAAACATATACCACTAACACATGTCAATTATATACCACTAACACATGTCAACATATACCACTAACACATGTCAAACATATACCACTAACACACGTCAAACATGTACCACTGACACACGTCAAACATATACCACTAACACATGTCAAACATATACCACTAACACATGTCAAACATATACCACTGACACACGTCAAACATATAACACTAACACATGTCAAACATATACCACTGACACACGTCAACATATACCACTAACACACGTCAGACATGTAAACAGTAACACATGTCAAACATATACCACTAACACATGTCAAACATATACCACTAACACACGTCAAACATATACCACTGACACACGTCAAACATATAACACTTACACACGTCAAACATATAACTCTAACACATGTCAAACATATACCACCAACACGCGTCAAACATATACACTGACACACGTCAAACATATAACACTTACACACGTCAAACATATAACTCTAACACACGTCAAACATATACCTACAACACGCGTCAAACATATACCACTGACACACGTCAAACATATACACTAACACATGTCAAATATATACCACTGACACACGTCAAACATATACCACTAACACACGTCAAACATATAACACTTACACACGTCAAACATATAACACTAACACGCGTCAAACATATACCACTAACACACTTCAAACATATACCACTGACACACGTCAAACATATACCACTAACACATGTCAAACATATACCTTTAACACACGTCAAACATATACCACATACAACACGTCAAACATATACCACTAACACACGTCAAACATAACACTAACACGCGTCAACATATAACACTGACACACGTCAAACATATACCACTAACACACGTCAAACATATACCACTAACACATGTCAAACATATACCACTAACACATGTCAAACATATACCACTAACACACGTCAAACATATACCACTAACACACGTCAAACATATACCACTAACACATGTCAAACATATACCTTTAACACACGTCAAACATATACCACATACACACGTCAAACATATACCACTAACACACGTCAAACATATAACACTAACACGCGTCAACATATAACACTGACACACGTCAAACATATACCACTAACACACGTCAAACATATAACACTAAAACACGTCAAACATATAACACTAACACACGTCAAACATATAACACTAACACACGTCAAACATATACACTAACACGCGTCAAACATATACCACTGACACACGTCAAACATATACCACTAACACATGTCAAACATATAACACTGACACACGTCAAACATATAACACTAACACACGTCAAACATATACCACTAACTCACGTCAAACATATACCACTAACACATGTCAAATATATACCACTGACACACGTCAAACATATACCACTAACACACGTCAAACATATACACTAACACATGTCAAACATATACCACTAACACATGTCAAACATATACCACTAACACACGTCAAACATATACCACTAACACACGTCAAACATATACCACTAACACATGTCAAACATATACCTTTAACACACGTCAAACATATACCACATACACACGTCAAACATATAACACTAACACGCGTCAAACATATAACACTAACACACGTCAAACATATAACACTAACACACGTCAAACATATAACACTAACACACGTCAAACATATAACACTAACACACGTCAAACATGTAACACTAACACACGTCAAACATATAACACTAACACACGTCAAACATATAACACTAACACACGTCAAACATGTAACACTAACACACGTCAAACATATAACACTAACACACGTCAAACATATAACACTAACACACGTCAAACATATAACACTTACACACGTCAAACATATAACACTAACACACGTCAAACATATACCACTAACACATGTCAAAGATATACCACTTACACATGTCAAACATTATAACACTAACACACGTCAAACATATACCACTAACACACGTCAAACAAATACCACTAACACATGTCAAGTATATACCACTAACACATGTCAAACATATAACACTAACAAACGTCAAACATATAACACTGACACACGTCAAACATATACCACTAACACACGTCAAACATATACCACTAACACATGTTAAACATATAACAATAACACATGTCAAACATATACCTTTAACACACGTCAAACAAATAACACTGACACACGTAAAACATACACCACTAAGACGCGTCAAACATATACCACTAACACATGTCAAACATATAACACTTACACACGTCAAACATATAACACTAACACACGTCAAACATATAACACTAACACACGTCAAACATATAACACTAACACATGTCAAACATGTAACACTGACACACGTCAAACATATACCACTAACACATGTCAAACATATAACACTAACACACGTCAAACATATAACACTAACACATGTCAAACCTATACCACTAACACATGTCAAACATATAACACTAACACACGTCAAACAATAACACTGACACACGTCAAACATATACCACTAACACATGTCAAACATGTAACACTAACTTTTTTTACATATAAAACTAACACATGCCTTACATTTAACACATTGCATGCATATAATACCTACAAATTTCTTAAATATAACACAAACGGATGCCTTGCATATAACATTAATATATGTCTTCCATGTAACAGTAACATATGACATGCATAAAAACAAAAAATGTCATGCATATAACACTAACATATAGAATTCACATAACACATTACATAAACACTTACTTACACATGTCATGCATATAACACTAACACAAGACATGCATATAATCCCTTTACACATGTCATGTATTAAACATTAACACTTGCCATCGTATAAGTTGCGGTAAGATCGAGTAGTTAACGAGTTTTACTAGTCATCTAAAGATCGCTATTTATCATGCCATTACTATGACAACTGCCTGATAAAGCCTGTCTGAGAACAGCAACCTTTCTCAGTCAGTGACTTGAGAACACTATGTTCCTACGCCAGATCAGCACTGATGATGTTTATTGTTGGTATTGTTTAATTGACTTTGCTGAATATTTATGATAATACACAGTAAATAAATTGTTAAAACAGATTGTACCAAAAATTGTGTTGTTTTATAAAATTATTGGTAAAAACCCTTGGACTACTTTTTTGGCGTATAACCCTCTTGTGGTTACCGTACTTTCAGAAATTAGCGCCCCGAATTAAAAAAAATAAGATGCAAAATCATAATAGAGGCATGATAAAAAGAATAACAGGTTACTGTCTTTTTAGAAAGGGATTTCTCAGACTCGGCTAGATATGGTCCGAAAGGGGCTCGGCAAGCCTCGCCCCTTCCAGGACCATATCTAACCTCGTCTGAGAAACCCTTTCTCAAAAGACAGTAACCTGTTATTCTCTATATGTTTGAAGGGGCAACCCGTTGTTTCCTAGCCTAGAGCAAGAAACGTTCAATATTGGTTGGTCCCAGGAACGGAATCTAGAGAGTGTCTATAAGCTTGTAGCTTCCTACACAATCGCACTAAAATAGATTTTGTATAGCATGCTATGCATACAAAATTATACGTTCTCATCGCAGCTCAGTGAATACACTCACGTAACTTTAATAAAGTGAGCGATAGTGAAACATTCGACCGATGCGCAGGAGAGTAACAAAACTAATTTTTGACTTACACATGGCATGCACAAAACACACCTTTCACAAATACATGGTATGTATACAATCATGTCATGCTACAGCTAGACAGTTATACAGGCAACTAAGGACAAGGTTCTCCGAGCCTATACCGCCATGACTTTGCTATTCTGTTGCATCAATTACTAATAACTTCTTGGCCTTTTGCACGCTTAATTTTTAAATAAGAATTTCAAAATTCAAAAATAAACTCGTATCAAACTGTTGACAGGGACACGCTGTCAGATAGATTGAGAAAAATGTCGTTATTTTAAAAATATTTTAGGTTGGCGTTGTACGGATAAACTTTCCAATTGTTCTCAGTATGAAGATGGATTTTGTACGAAGTATCATGACTTCGCCATTAAGAATTGTGCTAAGTTTTGTGGCATATGTGAGTGGATTTCCCCCTTTTTTATTTGATCAGAGTGGATCTATAATAATTGTGTTTAAAATAACAATGTAAAAAGTAAATATAAAATGTACATGGAAGTATTACATTTTAAGTTGCGTGAAAAAAACGTGTACATGCATAATCTTTTTGTTTAGGTAAAACAAATTTAATAACAATACCAACCAAACTTTAAGAAATTGCCAGAGTAATGTTGCCGTCTTTAGGAATGTCACCTATTCTGGTGCTCTAACCGTAGTATACATATGTGATAAGTAATTTGTCTCCAATTTTGAAATTGTCGGTTCTGTTTAAACATCATATTTACTTTTTAATTATAAATGAATTCAAGGTTTTGCTGACAGTTATGGTAAAAAGTTCTTGCTGAGGACCCCATTCAGTCGACCTGCCGGACAGTGTTCTATTCTAGTTTCACCACTCAACCCACATACACACGTTGCTGTCACAATGTTGCTTGTACCTCCAGAGCAAGAAGTTGTTCTTCATGGCATTCATGATTTGAACGCGATAACGTACAGTTGTTCAGAAGCATTGCCGACTAAGTTGAATACAATCACCATTCTATCAGACGATGACGTGGCAGCAGTTCTGTATCTGGAGATTAATGGGCCAATTAGAGGAACAAGACTTTACCCAGTTGATGCTTTCGGTAACGAGTTTATGATACTGGAGCATAATAAATCGGTTAAGGAATGCCGTTTCGTGTCAGAGGATGGCATTGTCGAGTATGTACCGTACTATTCTCGGCCTATACAAAACAGTGCGGCAGATTCAGAACGGACAACCTCTGACATAAATAAAAAGTTCGAAATGCCAAATGGTAATGACATGTCCGGGACGAGTTTGACGTTTGCGAAGTCATCCTCAGTGTTTTGTTTTGATAAGACAGAGTTTATTTACACCCAGTTGCTACCAGTAGATACTTGGTCTAACGAGTATGTGGTGCCTGGCTTTGACGTAGACGCAGTTAAACACTCACTCACGGGGATGTTACACATCATGTCTACCGCTGACAATACCATCGTAAATATATCTGGTGGCTTTGACGCCTTCCATGCTATCTATGACAGAGGTGATAGAATTGAGCAAGAGATCGATATAGCTGCAGGGTACAAGATTGAAGCATCGGAAAGAATTGCCGTGGGGTTATACATCAATGATTCTATAAATACAGGAATGACTTCATTCAGTTTGTTAGCTCCAGCCCAAAACCACCACGACACCGTCTTAACAGCTGTACCGTATATTGTATTTGATGACGGAATTGAGACTGAAACTGTAATATACACGTCGTATATAAATGCTTATCTAGATTCAGGTGTGAATCAAACAACTGAAGCGGATTCTGATTTGTCATACCGAGTGATCACAACCGGGGAGGTAATTTACGAAATGACGTTGGTGCATTCAGACTACGAATGGCTTATTGTTCCCGGGAATATCAAAGCAAGATATTTGAATGAGGTAAATAACAAGTTCTTAACCGCCACCTTTTTATGTTTGATAATGTTTTGTTGTTTAAATGTAATCTGGATTTCATGATGGCATGCATAATTTATTTTAGCAATAGCAAATAGTTTATACGTGATTTGTTGCCAGTTTCAATGGTAAAGGTAGAGGTTCAATCATTAACAAAATATGACTTTGTAATTTTTTTAACAATTTAGCCCAAGAAAATCTGCAGTATATCAGCACCAGCACATGGTGACGGGATAGATAATGACTGTGATGGTTTGATAGACGAGGACGGTTGCTATGATGATGTTTACGGGGTTTATAAAGAGGGCAAGTATTGAATTTGTATGACGGGGTAAAACCGTTAACGAAATTTAAAGCGGCACGCCTCCAAATTTGTGTTATTTTTTAAAATTGTTCTAATGATTAAAATGTTGTCAAATGTTTACATTCAGTATAAAAAGCACCTGGCGTCAGGTACTTCGTATTCACAGAAATTACAATTTACTTGTGAAAATATGCAGAAATTGCTCTTACTTCGTGATCTCGAAATAGTCCTTTGGCAATAAAACCAGTGAGTTTTGTCAGTCTTTGCATGGCATATTCAAAGTTCAATCACAATTGTCAACAATTAAACATATTTAAAGTAAATTAAACATATATTGTTTTTAACTAAAATTCGATTTCCTAAGATTTGTGGTACCTCTCTGTAATATTTCTCACTATCGCAGAACGTTTTGAGAGATCTCACAAACCCAATTCAGCTTGTTGGTCAACACATTTCAAACTTCTTGGGCGATTCTCTTTCACGAAAGTTGAAAGAAAACAACTCCAGAACACTTTCATGGTAACCAAAGAAGAATTCTTTAGCCAGAAACCTGCTGTGTAACTGATGTGCCATATTTTGAAATTTTAACTGATGTTAATATCAAAATACAATGTTCAAGATTTAAACTTCCATTAGTGTGGAGCTTGGTTAAACTTCTCCAATTCAGTTCCATGCTCATTCTTCATGAAAATCTTGAAAATATATTTAAGAGTATAATATTGAGAAGTGAAAAAAAGAAAATAATTTTCACATTGCAAACGGTACTTACAATCCATATAAATAAAAAAAAAGATGTTATAATATGCAACATTAGCCCTAACAGCGTTAGTCATACTGTAGAAATGTGTTGATCAATACTGCGAAGTCAGTCATTGGTCACAAATAACATGAAAATTATTACCCGAATCTTCAGTCTTTTCACTTCCCTTAAAATGTTAGTATATCTTACTCAAGTTTGATTTTCCTGAAATATTTTGACTCATTTCGAGACATGCAGCTTTAAGCAAATTCTCTTCAAAATGATACCTTTTCAGATCACGACTTAGATGGTGACTTTGGCGAAGACTGTGGGGGCACAATAATTCAACGTAAGTTTTTGTCTCCTAGGTAAATCAGATATGTTCGTATGTTTGCCCACCTCAATTATAGATTAATGGTACGGCGTTCGGTTTGTTTATGGGATGGCGCGGATTCGATTCCCAGGTCAGACCAAAATCAAGCCAAAAATATTATAAGAATAGTGAGGCTGGTGTCAGGAAAATGCGAATTGGTGGGGTGTAATGTAAATGTTTGTGGTTAAGCTTAATTTAATTTTCAATACATCGATCATGTTGAAACATTTTATCTGAAACCACAAACAGATAGCTGCAAAAAATAATTTTCGTGAAAAGTGCTTTCTTCATATTATTCTTCATTATCTGTTGAAAACACATTTAAAATTGATAAGAAAAGAAAATATGACACAGTCCATGTAAATTCTTTATTTTCGTCATGTGATGTCGATCAGATACGTTGACAGCAAATATCAGATGACAGCTTTGACATTCTACATGATTTGTTTTCCGATTTTTCAGGTCCGGTTGTTGTGACAGCTCCGAAACAGCCGATGTGTTTAAACTTTACAGAAGTGCCTGGTCAGTGCTGGGTACCATACTCTTGCCCGTGCTCATGGTTGAAGAGAATGGAGAAATATCAGGGTATGACCCATGAGGAACTTGTTGAAGCATTACGTAATGATACCAAGGAAATTCTTGACTCCATGAAGGTAAGTTTATAATATTCTAAAAGCGATTAATGTCTTATCATATCTATATACATGTATGTGTATCAGAGGTTATATGGACAGAATTCTGATAATTAAAGCGAATTTTCTTCCGCTTATATTATGTGTTATAAAGATTTTGACAGGTTATATGACCCTATATAAACGATATTGCAAACAACGATTTATATACGGTCATATAACCTGTCAGAAATATTTGTAACGAATTTAAAATACAACAAGCATCTTTTTTCAGAGATTTCTTCATAAATTGACCAAACGTCACAATTATCCAATGAAAAGCGACATTTCAAATGTGCATTATCATAACGAATAACATTCATTGATACTTCATAGAAAATAAGTCATTTTGAAAAAGTAACCCACTCATTCACTCTAATCACTTCACTCGCACTTCACTGCACTTAAATAAGTCTAGATATATTTTATCTTCGTTACTCCTCTAACTGGGAACTCAAAAATAATTAAAAATATTGTTGAGATTTTTCGAAAATGAAAAACGATTTTTGTATTACTTTCATTAATTTATAGTAGAAATTTTGTTTCATTCCGTGACATAATGATAATTATACGAAACAAAATATTATTTATTCCTCTTGTTTTTAGCTCAACAAGGAACTCCTGACAGCTACAATTATAACGAGAGAGAGTGCAGACGATGATAGAAAGAGTGCACAGAGCATTGGCTTTGTCGGCGTCGCCCTATTCGCAGTCATCTTCGGCACAGTTTTCATCATGGATATCAATGCACTCAAACGTGACGCGCTCATTCTCTGGGGAAACTTATCCGACGGTGCTGGAAGGGTGCGTGACTTTGTTACAAAATGTTGTAAGAAGAAAGCAACAGAACCAAAGTAGTGTGGCAGAAAAAAAAGTTTTTAATTTTACTATAATTGCATGTGAATTTTTACTTCTCTTCGAAACACATTGTTTTTACGAACAATACGTATTGCTTACCTACATGTAAATAACTTTGAGTGTTTTTTAAACTGGTATTTAAACTTGATATTTCATTTGTATTTGTTTCAATCGGCTGTATGGTAAAGGTTATACCATCCTATCTATTTACCAATCTTTCAAACAAGGACGTTAGTTAGATAATTCAATAAGTATCGAAAGAGTCGCATTCAAGGGGTGAGTTAGAGTTGACGCAGCATCGCAGTACAAAGTAAATCTTGATCGACAGTTCAATCACAACCATAACGTTAAGGTTCATTTTTTTTCTGGACTTATCGGAGAAATAAGTATTAGTTACCAATTTCTTTAGAAAAAAATATATTTGCAATGAGTGGTTTTCGCAGCCGTCGTTTTTAAGAACTTTACTTTATCTATTGTGTTATAACTGAGGTAAAATGATTAAATTTCAGCTTTATTGTCACGGTATGTTTTTATAAGCGGACGATTTTTTATTTGTTGAAGTTTTTCTTTTATTATAATGCAATGTTGTGACTGTGGCCGAGTGATTTGTTGTCGCTTTAATTCGTTTCGATAATCGGTTTAAGTTTCTTTTTAAAGTAATGACATGATGAGATTGAGGGCGAGTTACCTCATTTATTTTCTTTTCAATTAATAACATGCTGTAAATGAGGGAGCGTGATTTAGTGTCAATTTTATTCTTTAAAAGACTAAGGGCAGGTGATTTAATATCATTTTGATTGGTTAGATATTAAGTGACGATATGCTGTGACCGAGGGCAGGTGATTTAATATCATTTGATTGGTTAGATATTAAGTGACGATATGCTGTGACCGAGGGCAGGTGATTTAATATCATTTGATTGGTTAGATATTAAGTGACGATATGCTGTGTCTGAGGGCGATTGGTTGAATTTGTTTAATTTGTTCTTGTTTTAAACGTTGTCATGATTTGACTGAGGGCGTGTCTTTTTACGTAATTTTAATCTGTTACCGCTTTTAGTGACTACATGCTACGATAGTGAGTAAGTTCACATTTATTTCATAAAAAATTGATAACATGTTTTGATTAAGTGCACATAGTTTAAAAGTTATGGTGTGACTGAGGGCAAGTTGTTAAAACATATTAATTCCTTTAATTATATAAAACTCGGGGGTTGAACCCCATATGGATCTCAAAATTGAGCATCGGTTAAAAATATATGTGAATTTCCGCTGATCCAGATGTGAGCTATAACTCGATATGTGAAGGAGAAAATAGGTCAATCACAGTTCAAGTTTACAACTTTTTAAACATTTATATAAAATTCAAAACTTTTTTTTTAAAGAAAATCGAAATGTTTCAAGTTACTCGTTTTATTTATATTGACCTATTTTCTACTTAAGCTCACATCTGGACCAGCGGTACTCTCCTGCGCACATCGGTCGAATGTTCCACTATCGCTCTCTTTCTTACGTGAGTGAGTGTATTCAGTGAGCTGCGAAGGGAGCGTAGATCAGCGGAAATCCACATATATTTTTACCGATGCTCAATTTTGAGACCCATATGGGGTTCAACATCCGTGTATTATATTATTAAAATAATTAATATGTTTTTAAACCACATATGATTTTAATTGGTCACCGCCGTGCATTTTATGCAACTGCTTTTTTAGTAGTACTCCTCTTCGCTTGAAATATCTCTAAAATTTCACCGAGCTGTGCTGAAAATTAATTCTAATAGTGAAATCTAGAGTCTTAAAACACGAAATGACCGTCAATACCAACTGTTTTCTAAAATCTTACTTTCTCGACTTCTTTTGAAATTTCAGTCTTTGACATATTTTTCTGGTTAGTGCCTCCAAGTTATCTAACAAAGAAACTGAAAGGAAGATTTTATTTTGAAAAAGAAAAGTTTCCATTACGGTTTGCCATATTGACGTAACCTATTAGATTTCATGGAAATGTTGAAAACAAAAAATCGATATAAAAATGATCGACGAAAATGAAAAGGATAGAGCACAAATGTATGATCGCTAACGATTATATTGTCCAACAATATTGATCTGGCACTTCATTAACTTTCGTAAAGGTCATTTGAATAAACACTGACCAGTATCTATCGAATATATCGATATTTTTGATATCTTCACTCGTAAGTGAGGTGTGGTGTATAGATGTCGGTCTACCGATTTGAGGGTCTCTGCTTCGATTCCTTACCAACACCACGTTATGATTTTTTTTTTAAAATTTACTTGCAAGAATTAATTTGAAATCGTTTTACTACATCTGGTTTAAGAATATCTATTAAATGATGTTTTTATACACAATTATATTTTATTACATAACAGTATCTTTCAACGGTTCTCTTTGTGTCATTATGCAATCTATGCTTTAGCATACACGCTATAAAGGCTACACAGACAGTGCACACAGCAAAATGGTTTGCCATAGTTCTAAGAGAATAGCAATTTTAAAATTAAAATAAAAAAATAGAAAATAAATCGCTGAAACAGGATTCGAACCTATCAGTCTAGTCTACATTCTTCAAGTGAAATTCTACCAACTGCGTTAAGAAACAATTGGATATTTCCATTCATATCGACTTACAAGTAGATCGTAACGTTTACGGAACATACCGACTACTGGGTCAAATGCAAGAGTGCCAGGTCAATGTTATTGGACAATATCTTCTATTATATGCAAAAAATGCTTCTTTTTTGGTTTTTGCCAGTCAATCATGATTAAGACAAAAATGAAAAGTTATAGCTTTGTAAATGTTAGACTATATATGACATGCACAGTGAGATAATAAAATGTTTGCACTTTTGTATATATATTTTTTATTCATATTATAAGTACTCCATAGAATGTTTTTGACCATGTGACATGCACAACATAACAATTAACACACGAAGCAAACCCTTAATGATTTATAAACAGTGTAGACTAATTATAAATTAACTCCATGCTGTGGTATTCTGCAACAAAAGTATATAATGACTGACTATTTTGGAATAGTAATCCAGGCTTCAGAGGGGATCGAACCCTCTTCCTCCTGTTTACTAGACAGGCGCTGTAACCACTGAGCTATGGAGCCAGATGTGTTCATCTAGACGTTATATCACATTACCATAACTATGACATTTATTTGCATATTAGAGGCAATAAATTTCGGTATACAAACAGTTAGCAGCAATCATCAAGATTTGTTTTGTGAAAATCAAACAAAAAAGTGAAAACAGTGAAAAAAAGTACTTGGAAGCAAAAAGAATGTCAAATGTTCTAAATAAATGCTTTGTGCTAGTCACCCACTTTCCGTAACATGTCAAAATATGAAGAAATTTATGTTACTTGGTTACTTAGTTACGGGATAGGATTAAAAGTGAATTTTTTGAAATTGTATATGCTATAAAAAGTTTTACTTTGAATGAGAGTATTTTTACATTTCCTTAATTATTTTAAATCTTGTGAGTAGTTATTAAAACTCACCGCATGGTCTTTCACAGCGTGTTTGGGAAAACGGTTGACGAAACTATAGCACGCATTTCTTTATATTTATAGCAATTAAGAGTGAAAAAGAATAAATGAAATTAACGTAAGAAAAAGGCACCATAGGGGGGGGGGGGGTGTTAAACACACAATCTCCTGTTATTACACGTCCGCTCTAACCACTGAGCTTTGGAGCTGTACGGAAAGAGTAAATTCCTATTTTGTCATATGGGCTTATTTTACATTTCATTGCATTACATTAATTTCTATTATTTGTATATACTTCTGAATTATAATATGCATAATTAAAACATAGAGATAAATCACGGCTTTAATTTAATCATTTAATACGGTTTTAATTTAATGATAAAGCTGTAACTAAGGGCTCCAGAGGGGATCTAACTCTCGACCTCCTGTTTACTACCACTGAGCTATGGAGCCAGATGGTTTTCTCTGGATGTTTTTTGTGACGCAATGTGGTATAAACTGTATTTACTCAGACCACAGCGCAAGTTTTGATTACAAATGTAATAAAAGTCATGCTCAGACACAAGAAATATCAAGACAGACAGACAGACGGACGGACATGTGAAAAGTAGATAGGTACTTTTATTTTCTCCACACGGGAGAGCATAAAATATCGGCTTATATAACAATATACTACAACCATGCATCCATATAAAATAAATTAATATTAATGATCCGACGTGTAATAACCCTTATAACGGTCTTTCCTGTTACGGGCACATCAAACACCGGCATAAATAACATTCGTAACAAAAAATGTCACATGCTTCATTTTCATTACAAATTTGATCTAATTCCTGAAAGGTGTTATAAATTTGTTCCTTTACCAACGAAGCCGAATTTGCTATAAAAAAATAGGATAAATCTCACATAGAAGTTAAGAATTAAACATTAAATTGCGTTCATTCTTTTAAAAAGTGGCACAATAAGGCTCCAGAGGGGATCGAACCCTCGACCTCCTGTTTACTAGACAGGCGCTCTAACCACTGAGCTATGGAGCCGGAAAGATTTTAGTATGCTATTTTGATAAGAAAACAATATAAAAAAAATAAAAGCAAGGAGTTCGCACTTTGTCATAAGAACATCAAATTAGATAAGACATAATTTCTATAAGAACTGTATGTATTTGTCCCTGCATTATCATTTAATATAATATAAGATAATAAAAAACAGATAACTACAGCAAAAGGCTCCAGAGGGGATCGAACCCTCGACCTCCTGTTTACTAGACAGGCGCTCTAACCACTGAGCTATGGAGCCATGTCTTTCGTAATAAGTTGACAGAGTGAAAATCAAACATGACCGACAATGTGGAGTCACCTATAAAGATCGTATCTAGATGAATGAAAATAATTTTTATATTAAATCAGCATTCTGCAGATCATTAGGTGCAACACTTTGTCATTAAGTATTACGCATATAGCAGAAAGAGCAATATAATCTATGCATGAAAAATCTTCCATACTGTTAAAATATTTTGATCCAGATGACCTTATTTAGCGTTGTTTGTTAAACCAGTTAAACGATAACCCCGGCAAATACCTTATCTTATAGAGTTTTAAAAAGTTCACCCGTGTACAAACAAAGTTTAAACTTTATCAGTATCATGGTTTAATTTGTGTCACATAGTTTGATTTCAAAAGATGTCGTCGTCGTGTGAATCTATTCCCGTTCTTTATATAAAAGCAAACAATAACTATGACGTTGGTTATAAAATAGGACAGACATTCAAACATTTTATACGGGATCATTTAACATCAGAAACTGCCAAATCTTTGTGGTCGTTTTACGAATCTAAAGATGGAAGGAAAAAGTACGCTGATTCACTTGAAGCAACTCGGAAGAGTTATCCAAATATCATCGAGGAAATTCAAGGAATGGCTGACGGCTCGGATGTTTCTTTTGAGAAGCTGTTTCTACAAGATATGGTTTCAGAAATTCTACTTCACTATTCCCACGTTTCAAAAGATGTTGATAATACGGACAGAGAAGTTGCCGGATGTACTGATGTCATGGTAAACACCGAGTCGTGCCGATTGATTGGCCATAATGAAGACTGGTCACCCGAAGTTCGAGATGGAATGTTTATGGTGAATGTAGACCTAGATAAAGGTACACCTAGTGAAACAGTCAAAGGTAACAAGGAAGTAAACAATGTCTTTGCAAGTAGAAACGAAAGGTACCTAGCGAATATGTTTCCAGGATTTCTTGCTGGTAATACATTTTATGTTAATGAAACATTTGCGGTTTCAGTTAACTCTCTTGTACCAGTTTCCGTGAATGAGGGAGCCGTGCCTGTCGATATTCTACTCCGGGCTCTCATTGGCTGCGTTAGTATTGAAGAATGTGTGACGGTGATGAAGAACGAGCCGGTTGGATGCTCGTTTGGAATTAACTTAAACATTGCTAGTAGACAGTCAGCAAATATGTGGTCTTTGGAGGTGTATCCGGATTATGTATGTAATTTCTGGATTACTTTTATGTTACTCCTTAATAAACTATTTTGTATGGCGTGTTGTAGACATCCTTATATTCGAATAATTCTTGATCAATGTGCATACCGCATTACATACATGTATTTGTTTTACTCAGATTTTGTACTTGCTTAATACTAGATTTAACCTCTCATTTTCATTATTCATGTATCTATTATATATTATTCATTTATTCAGGGTAAAACGTTGGTTAGTCTGAGGGAAATACCATATTCAGATAGTGCTGTTACAGACTCTTACTATATACATACTAACCATTATAAACATGTGGAAAAAGCTAAGGAATCGCCAGTGTTAGAAGGGTCAAGGGCTAGAGAAGAAACCGCCGGGAACATGCCCGTTCCAGCAAAAATACAAGACGTGTGTTCAGTTTTAGGAGATACATCCAGCCATATAGAGCCTATACACAGAGTGCCAGGAAAAAGTTTCAACAGAAATAGTCGCACCACAACAATCGCCTCGGCAATATTTGATATGAACAACGATCTACTTCGAGTGTATCTGAATAACCCAAAGACTTCGAAATATCCCAGTCTGAAACTGCCATTTGTATAATTATTTCAAAAGCTGGAGTTGAATTTAAAAGAAAATAACAACTTCTGCACAATTTAAAAGTCTGGGAACTTAATTCTCTTAAGTTAAAAAGTCAATAAACAAGATTTGTCGCTTAAAAGAAAGAAGAAAAAAAACAACAGTATTTAGTTTTGAATGACTATCTATGAGATAAAGTTAAAGATTATAAATTATTGTTATCTTCAGACAGATAATTATGCAGACAAGGTCAAAAAGACAAACATTTATTTAATATCATCCTTTTTGAAGAAAGTGGAGTTTTACGTGAATATCAAGATTTTCCGTTGGCATTATCAGAGTTTACAAAAATATACATGTACTCTAGAAACTGTTATCCGTATAATCAAATAAAATATTACTATGGGTTTTCAACCACCTAACACTACTCATTTTCATCTTAATACGAAGATAACAGCAACTGCGGAATGATATCTTACGTCCAACTTTAATCCTAAAACTACTGAACTTTGTAACGGACATACCCTGCCTTGAGTTTTGAACAGTCTGAAATTTGAAGTTGAAGGGATTCCAACATTAAAAACAAAACTTGGGTTGACCTGATTAGTCTGCACGGTAGTTTAAGCTGAACGGGCTCTACACAGGTCAATCAATTTCATTTCGAACATGACATTGGTTTAAGTTACATGTACTTAAAACTTGTTTAGTGAAATTTTTGTTCTGTAACTCGTTAATATTGATTATCGATTGTTTGTCATAGATAGATAGTTTTATTTCAATCATATTAGGCTTAAAAGCCCGCGATGACATGATAATAGCATAATACTAGACAACGAACAGTGCATATACATATGAAATACATAACATAGCATGATGATAATATCGGAGAAGATCATAACGACAAACTCTTCAAGTATAAATACATTAATGTTGTGTTTAACTTACATATACACTTAACAAATCTAATAAGTGTGCACGTATAAAAATCAAATTTTCTCAGATACTAATAAACATAGGTCTCTGAAATTTTAACCAAGTATAGTACAGATATGTGCAATGATGAGAATCGATTTTTATGTCAAGGCGATTCGTACTTACTGAGAAATAGCGATGTGTGCAATATTGCGCGAAAACCGAATTTCACATTTCTGTAAAATGTGTATTTATATTGGGTGCAAAAAGGTCTAAATCTCTTAATTTCACTAAAATACAAACATAAAACATAGGATCGCCGATAGAGTATAATACTACAATGAATTCCAGGGCGTTATGTCACTGTGATTTTTATATTTGCTTTATTGAATTTCAGTAAAGACTGGTTTATGTCGATCTCCGTAACGCGTTGTACCCACTTACTAAAAGCAATGCAAACACGATATTTTCATTAATATGAAAGTACCGAGAAAGTTTGTTTTTAGTTTTAAAGTAAAATCTTAGTCAATATGTTTATTTGAGAAAATATTATGCAAATTTATTTTCAAAATGGGCGCCTGAAATGCAAATTCCCTTGCGTAAAACTTCTAGACGGCCATTTTTCTTTCAATTGCAATAATTCTGCAATAAATTTATGTTTTTTGGATGTCTTTATTTTAATAGAATCCTTGATGGTCAATAATAACTTCATTTAGCACCAACCTGTCACCCTCACTTGCACTTTGTTGTTTATGTCATGTCACGGATGAATGCACACAACAAAAGTAACCGTTATTTCTGAATATAGCATTGTAAAAATAAACCATTCAAACGATGTATTCCAAAATTTGGGTAAAAAATGTCAAGTAATAAAAAAGTTATTCACATTTAAAAACTGCACAGTTATAAGTTTTGTTAAGTGTATATGTATAGTATCAGTTGATATGAATGTAATTCAAAACATATATATTTGATAAATGTTTAAAGATTTAAACCTATGTGAAATTATATACATTCATCAAATAATAGGTTATATACATACATGTACTAAATAAATCCACGAATTCTTGCCACATTCTAAGACAAGAAACATAAGTAAATAATTGATGCATATTTAATTCATTTGTAATGGTGTTATAACATAAATTATATCGGCCTTACCAAAAAGAAACTGGCAAGACTGATAAATATGTTATAAATTAACAATCATGTTTCAAAATGACTTTTTGTTATTAATATGTTCGTTTTACATATATACGTTTTATTTAAGATGCAGATATTTTCAACAAAATGAGCACATCGCATCCCAATGAAATAAATATGCATACTACACAATTGTATCTTTAACATTATTCATGTGTCATGCTCTTTCGCCATAGAGGACAAAAGAAAGTTTATTTAAAGTATCAAAAGTAACCCTAGGATATATTTAATTTTTGAAAGAAATATATATCACTTAAAAATTAATATAGTATGCATAGTTTATAGAAAAAAGACATTTTACTAAAAACGGTATACTTAAGGACCACTAAATTATATTAATGACTACATGAGATTGTTTCAACTAACGGAGTATTAATAAAAAATAATTATAATTTTTAACAAATCATAAATGATAGAATTTACTTAGTTTAAAAAGCTTTTTCAAACAACGCATTCCTAGGTTTCTTATTACTTTTTTTATTTTCCTCTGAATTAAATAATTCCTATAAATTTATACATATTTGGTCTGTTCCAGAACTTTCTTGTGAATGTAAGTGTTTCTAATTCTGTCTATATAATGAGCATTCAATAACAAAAATGGTATTAATTCGTCTTCAAGAGTATTGCATATTGAACATTTTCTATCGTTTAAAGGGGTATTCTGGTTGGTTTTTGTCCACCTACCAGCCTTCTACTTGTAGTCTATGAGAGGACACTCTCAGACGTGATTAATGACTGAACAAATTTTATTTGCAGTAAAACAATCAAGATATGGTTGGTACATAAAGAAAGAAATATTTCTATAAACAAAAGCTTCTTACTAGAATTTGAATAAATCCTTGTAAAGTTCCAGTTCTGTATTAAATGGTCATTTAATCTTTGTTTAACTAAGGACAAAAATATCATATCATCACCTACACCTTGATTATTAACCATGCGTTAACAAAACCTAGTGAACATAACAAATCTTTTAACATTGAACACCAATTTTGCCTATTTTCATACTGTTCAAAATCATCCTTTAACAAAGAGTAAATAACGAAAACATACTTGTTTCTTCCCAAATGTAATATGTTTAACCAATATTTAATAATATTAAAAAAATGCACAGTTTTAAAGGATACCCGACCTAATTCCCCATAAATAAAGTCATTTTGTGTAGTCTTTTTAACACCCAAAATTTTTTGTCACATGTGACATGTGGTGCATACAGTGACAAATGTTTTCATCTGTTACAGTAGTTAATCTAAAAAACAAACCAGATCCTAAATGATTCTATTTCTTGCTGATCTTTTGTCAGAATATCCTAGTAGTGTATACATGCTGCATGTAGAATGAGAATATTGTTTTTGTTATATGTACTTATATAGGTTAACTAACCCATAATTTTTTTTTTCTTCCCCAGGGACCCAAAAAAAATGCCCCAAACATAGGGTCGCATGCAATAGTTTTCCAGAAATTCTAAATTTTTTACCCGGGAATTAAACCCTTTTTTTTTTTGAAAAAATTTATCTTTTTAAAGGGCCCACGGGAAAAAGGGAAAGGGTTTCCTTTCCCAAAAAAAGTGATTAACTTCTGGGTTTTAACATTTTTTTTTTTAAAAGGTGGAAAAAAATTCCGGATCAAATTTTTAAATTTTTTTTCCTACAAATCAATTTTTCAAAAAATAGAAAAAATTTCCCCAAATGCATTTTTTTGAATAACTTATGGGGGTTTTATTTTTCCGTGTATAATTAAATTTTTTGGGGCCCCTTAAAACCCCTCTATAATTCCCAAAAATAAAAAAGAAAATACAGGGTTTTGGATTTTAAAGGATGGGGGAAGGTTTTACCCGGGTTTAACCAAAAAAGGTGTACCCTTGGCGGGGCCTTTGGGGAACCAAGATTCACTTTTGCGGGCAAAAACCGGAAAAACCTTTCTCCCCCCCCGGACATCAACCTGAAAATTTGATTTTTTCCGGGCCTTTAAAATAAATCTTTTAATAAAAAATTAAAGAGGGTTTTTCATTTTTCTTTTTCCCCAAAAAAATTTGCATTAAAATGTATATTTTGGGTTTTTTTTTTTGGCTGTTTAAAACACGTGACGTAATCATTTTTACGAAAATGACTGGAGATAAGTAATTTTATCCGGCAAAGTTTTTTAACCCAAACCCTGATAAAATATAGACTTTTAGCAGGATAAAAAAAAATCTGGGTTTTGTTCCGAATAAGCCAATCGGATTTTGTAAAGGCCGCCCTTTTAACGATTGCTTAGCACCTTTCCCGTTTTAATTTTCCCCTTTTGTTTTTAATTTGGTAAAATGAATCAGGGTGAGGTACAAAAAAAACCCTTTAAATTTTTTTTTAGGTTTTTTAAGTATATATTTTATAAAGAAATTAAAAGGGGTTTAAAATAAAGACCCAATTAAGGCGATTTTTAAAACCCGTTGAGGGGGGTTTCAATAAGTGCTTCAAAAGGGGAAAGTTAAAAAAAACCTTTGGAACCTCCCGGAAATATCGATAGTAAAGTTTTTCTAGCTTTCCCCTTTTTGGAGACCCTTTAAAAAAACCCTTTGGGATCACAGGAATGCTAAAAAACCCCCTTCGCCCCAAGAAGGGTTTTTAATTTTGGGCAATAAAATTATTGTAAAAAGGGGCCTCAACAAGGGGTTTAAAAAAATTTTTTTTGGCAAACTAATTAAAAAAAGATAAAAATTTTTCCCAAAACAATAAATTTTTGCAATTAGACCGAAATTTTATATTTTTAACATAAAAATCGTCATGTTTTTTTCCTTTAAACTTTTCCTCCAAACACCCCCCCAGGGGCCAAAAAATTTTGGGCAATATTTTTTAGGGAATTTTAAAGGTTTTACAATTGTTGGTTTTTAAACAACAAACCCGGGGGAGTTTGGGTTTAAGAGGCATATTTAAAAAAAAAATTTTTAAGGGCTGGATAAAAAAGGGAGGAAGCTTTTAAGGAAAAAACATAAAATTTTGAAAAATAACTGAAAAACCCAAAGGGCTTTTTTTTGTATTCTGGCCCCTATGGTAAAGGTTTCTTTTTTACTTTATAAAAAAAATTTTAAAACCCCGGGTTTTTAGGAAATTTTTTTCCATTATTTAAAACGTTTTAAATTTTAAATTTTTATTTTTTTTTTAATTTTTTAACTCGGCATATCTTTTTAATAAAAATTTTAAAGCGTCGGGAAACTAGCCCCCCCAAAAAAAATTGTAAAAATTTTTTTATTTATAAAAAACCAAAATAAACGATGTAAAATTGTCCCAAACCCCAGTTAAAAATACGTTACCGACAAAAACCCAAGGGCCCCGTTTTTTGATGAAACCCAACAGTAAAAATTTTCTTAAAAAATTTTTATTTTTTTTTATTTTGAAAAGGGAAATCGATAAAGTATGATTGTTTTTTTTTCAAAATGAAAAAAAAAAAAAGGCCCCGAGGGGATCAAAACCCCTCGACCCCCTTTTTTTACTAGAAAAAGGCGCTTTTTAAACCATTGAGCTAGGGAACCAAATGTGAAAATATGAGATATGTAAGTTGTTGAAGTGACTAAGTTATGGCTACTAAACGGTGAAAACTATCAGTGATCATGGTTATTGTATGATAGTGTATTGAAAGTTAAGATTTTTTTTAATTAAAAAATTGAATACTAGTAGCTGAAATAATCAAAAAGACCTTCACAATGATTTATAGGAAATCTACTGTTTCATTTCTTTTTTATCTTTTGGTTTGACCTGTATATATTTAAAAACCAAAATTTTTGCATATGCGTGGCTGCTTTTTTATTGATACAAATTTGACAAATAAAAAGAGTTATTTCTTAGTTTAAAAATTTACATGTTTTTTAAAAAATTATAGAAATTGCATGATCTTGAAATGTATATGATCAAGCCGACATTTTTTTTTGTTTTTATAAGTGTTTAGCTGTCAATATATGTTTAGACTGGATACGTTGACGGATATTGGAAAATTTATTTTAGTGTATAACGTGTACGCTGTACGGTTAACTATAAACTTTTAATAATACATATTATAATGTGAAGAACAAAAATAAAAAAACAAAAAAATGAATGAATGAATGAATGAATGAATGTGTAAATAAATAAATGAATAGATAAATAAATAAAGCGCTTTAACAATAAATAAAATGAGACGTTAAATGTAATCGTTTACTTTTAATGGAACATGCCAAGAATTTTCCCCTGCTGATTTTATAGGAAGGGTATATCAAGTAATTATCGTACGTGTGGGAGTAATCAAACTGTGAATTAAAAAGTTCTCGTCAGCACTTTTCATTTCAGTTAAAAGGGGGGAAAACGGGTACTGTAAGCCTTTTGCCCAAATAAAATTAAAAAAAGGGAGGGTAAGCGTTTTAAAGGGATTTGGGAGCTTTTTTTACATTTTAGTTATTTCCCCTTTTTACACAAAATCATACAACTTTCAAATTTCCCGGGCAAAAAATATATTTATAAAAAATTTTTCAAACTTCCCCTGTCGTATTTTTTTTTGTAATTAAAATGACATTTTTTTAAAAGAAAAAAAATTTAAAAAAAATAATTTTTTTCTACATGAAACCCCCATTAATTTAAATTTTGTTTCCCCTGGGTTTTTCGAATGAAAGGTTTAAAAGGTTTCTTTCGGGTTCCCGGAAAAAATAGACCTTGGGTTTTAAAAATGATAAAATGTTTAAAAAAGCAATTATATGGGTTTTAAAAACGGTTTTGGCCCTAATTTAAAAAATGACCCCCCTTAAAAGGCAAATTAAAAATTAGGTAAAAACAGAAATAAGTGATCACACGACCAACCGTAACGAACATTATCTATATAGTTTAGATTATATATTCCTACATCTATACATTATACAGTATTTTGAGAATGAAATTGACATCGGTTTGTAATGTACCTTCACCAGGAAGCGACACACCCAAGAGTGTGCAATATATTTTTGTGTTAGGATCCGATAAATTGTAGAACTTTCAGTACTTAGCCGTTGTAATGTGATAAGATCTACATGTAGTTTTACAGTAGCTTGTGGCATCAATACATACAGATGCAGGCAGATAATTCTCCACGTGCCCACCAGTAAAAGTGAGCCATCCTTCACAAGTAATTATGAACCGTCCTCCACCAGTAAAAGTGAGTCGTCCTCCACCAGTAAAAGTGAGTCGTCCTCCACCAGTAAAAGTGAGTCGTCCTCCACCAGTAAAAGTGAGCTGTCCTCCACCAGTAAAAGTGAGTCGCCCTCCAGAAGTAAACGTGAGTCGTCCTCCAAAAGTAAAAGTGTCGGCCCTCCACCAGTAAAAGTGAGTCGTCCTCCACCAGTAAAAGTGAGCCGTCCTCCACCAGTAAAAGTTAGTCGTCCTCCTCCCTCCACCAATAAAAGACAGTCGTCCTCCACAAGTAAAAGTGGCGGCCCTAAAGTGAGTCGACCTCAACTAGTAAAAGTGAACCGTTCTTCACCAGTAAAAGTGGATCATCCTCCAACAGTTATTTTGAGCGGTATTTCACCAGAAAAAGTGAGCTGTCCTCCACCAGAAATTATGAGCGGTCCTTTGCCAGTAAAAATTAGCCGTCCTCCACCCGTAAAAGAGAGCAGTCCTCCACCAGTAAAAGTGAGCTGTCATTCCACCAGTAAAAGTGAATCATCTTCCACCTGTAATTTTAGCGGTCCTTCACCACTAAAAATGAGTTCTCCTTCACCAGTAATTGTGAGCGGTCATTCACCAGTAAAAGTGGTGCGTCCTCCACCAATTAAAGCCGTTTGTTCTCCACCAATTAAAATGAGCGGTCTTCCACCACTTAAAGTGAGCGGTCCTCAGCCTGTAATTGTGAGCCGCACTTCTACAGTACTCGTGAGCCGTCCTCCACCAGTAAAAGAGAGTTTCTTCCACATGTAATTGTGAGTCGTTTTCAACCAATTAAAATCGTGTGTCCTCCACCAGTAAAAGTTAGCAGTCCACTGCAAGTAAATGTGAGCCGTCCTCGACCAGTAAGAGTGAGCGGTGCTCCACCAGTAAAAGTAAGCCGTCCTCCACCAGTAAAAGTGAGCCGTTCTCCACCAGCTAGAGTGAATCGTCCTCCACCAGTAATTAAGAACGATCCTCAACTGGTAAAAGTGACTCCTTCTCCAGTAAAAGTAAGCGGTCCTCTACCAGTAAAAATCAGCAGTCCACCGCCAGTAAAAGTGAGCCGTCCTCCACCAGTTAGAGTGAAACGTCCTCCACCAGTAATTGTGAACGGTCCTCCACCAGTAAAAGTGACTCCTCCACCAGTAAAAGTGAGCCGTGCTCCTCCAGTAAAAGTGAGTCGTCCTCCATCAGTAAGTGAGTCGGCCTCCACCAGCAAAAGTTAGTCATCTTCCACCTGTAATTTTAGCGGTCCTTCACCACTAACAATGAGTTTTCCTTCACCAGTAATTGTGAACGGACCTCCACTAGTAAGTGACTCCTCCTCCAGTAAAAGTGAGTCGTCCTCCACCAGTAAAAGCTTAGGATATTTCCAACTTGGTCGTAACAGTGTAAGTATGGTTCAAAGGCCATCGAAAGAAGATTGGCACTGCAGTGTTTTAGATCAGACATTTTCTGTTCAAGGTAGAGAACAAAATGTGGGTACATTGCATAACTTTGAACTAATCCGTGAGAATGCAAATGCATGACAACAGAAGTTTGCATACATTTTAATCATGTACTGACTAGCTTAGATATAAACAGTCCAATGTCGCATGTTTACCACCAGACCAGCCTGTCCATCCAAGCCGTCTAACTTGACACGGTGACACCCAACTTTAAATCCCAAGAGATGTTCTTCACTGATTCAGCTGGATTCTGGTATATTTAAACTTGACATTGTATTCAATTTAAAGAACTCCGCAAGTTTATGATATAATATTTTCAGTTGAGTTGTCCAACTTGACTATAAACTTGTCATTTATTTAAAAACGTTTTCTTGGCCATAATGTGAACAACCTAATCAAAGAAGGTCAAACGATTTGGCGAAGTTGGTGAATATTATAACAAAACAACAAGTTCCATATTTTAAAGATTTCTTTATTTAACATGATGATATTTTACTTTCAGCAAAAAGAATAAGTCATGGATGTTTCAGCTTTACCCACTCATTAAAAGTATGAATAAAAGCCACATGTTTTGTCATTAACAATATGTTTAATACCCTTTTTACCGTTTTGTATGTCAACCGCATTTTAAACAATTTTAACAATATTCATATAAAAGATGATGGTCTTTACTTATAATCAAAACTTTGAAAAATTAGCCTAAAATATGTTGGAACATAAAAAACATTATGATTGGAAGTAACTACATTATTAAGATGGCGATAAGAACAATGATTGTTTTCAAAATTAAAAACATAAAACTACATTTGAAAGTTACATTTTTACACATGAACTGACTTCCTTTCACATGTACAATATATGTTTTCAAGTGTGAATGGTAGAACCTAACTGCTATTGGCAATACACTACTACATATTATATCACATGATTGTATAGAAAAACACAATGATTTGATTTAACTTATATACACGACAGATCACTCCAAACAATTAAGGCGACACATATTTACATTCATGATCAGTTTATTGAAAAATGTCACAAAGGATTAAGAAAGATTTAAGCGCGCATTTCAATGTCGAGTTTTTCAAAATACTTGAATGTTCAATTATAGTATAGTCTAAGTTATATCTGCATAAGTATCGGCGTTTTAGCCTACATTTAAAATCATACTAAAATATTATAAAATAATCAACTAAAATTCTACTTTCCCTCATTAGAAAACGAGTATATAACGGTATATCTCTGCAATTTACAAGACATACATTTTTAGAGTCCATTTGAAAACAAAATTTGAAAATTACATTTGTACATGAAATTTTATATTAACATTGTATGTGATGAGTCATAACGTTCATACACTTTGATATTGATCTCTAGATGTATAACAATTTCACAAACAGATGTTACGAATTGATCCACTGAAAGATGACTCACAACATGTGTTATCATGCTTCAATTAACCTCAGAAAAATACAAATATACCTTATTTTCTGTCATGTAAATGTACTTTCCTTGGACGGACGGAAGGTCTTCTCTGTGATTAACCTTAAGTAACGACACATTTGTTTGTGTTTCACAATTATGGAAACAAAAACAACAAGAAAACAACAAATGAAGAAAACAAACAGCGCCTAATGTAATGGTTCACTCAATGTTATAAAGATTATGTTGGAAATTATTTTGCATTGATAAAATATTGTTTGTATATACATATACATTGTAAAAATAGTTATCACACTGAAACAAAGAAGACAAGAATTTGAAAGCAAGAGTCTATATAAATTGATACTCTGGAACAATTTATGATCTATATGACCTTTAACTATGTCAAGGTCGAGATAAACAGTCGAGGAAAATGTTTTGGCAACAATACCCAGAGCTTGTAATGCGAGTCTTTCATACATCAAATATCTTCCATGCAAATATATACAAATGAAAAATTGAAAGGAAAATGACGTTAAATGACATTGACATTAAACATGTAGCAACGTTTTTTTTATTCTTTCAAAATATTATGTTGCGCTGATTTGTTTGTACAAAACATTAAGAACATATCTAAAATAAATCCAGATTCATATATTATTTTGTAGTCCGAATATTTATATAACTGTTCAAATTGGCAGTGATAAAACATAATAAAACAAGTAGAATGTTATGAAATGAAAACAAAAATTGTGCTTATATTAACATAAATATCAAATAAACAACTCTTTTGGCTGCATCATGTATGTTGTTCACAAGAATGGTTCCAAAAATGTTGTGTATTCAAATAAAACATAACTTAAAATTATTGTTCACATACCTAAAGCCTTTTAAAAAACATTGACGAGACCTGAGAATTTTCTCTCGAGAAGTATTGTGAAAACTTTGGTCATCATATAAACAGGCGACATATCTTAGATATCACATGACGTGCTGTCGTCTGCTAGTTTATTTAGCAGTTTGTTGGTGGTCACAATGTTAAATGTGATGAGCTTACATATTACAAATATCCTACTGTTTGCAGTATCAATCAACTTTAAAGTTATGTCCAAGATTATATGAAATACAAGCAAAGACACAAGTGATGACGTCATTATGAAATCGCAGCTATGCTTACGTCACTGAGCCGAGTTATCAGGAGAATGATGATATGTTGATTAGACGACATGGAATGTTAACTAGATGCTTAGATGATTTTTACAAACCAAAGTACTTTTTTATGATATTTACAAATGATGTACTAGAGTCATACAGAACACACATAAAAAGCAAATGTATATACAACACATCTAGAAAGACTATTCCAATCTCCCCCCTCGATGTCCATTGTTTTCTATTTTCTGAGATTACCCTTGTACTTTTAATGTTTTGTTTTAATGATGTATTCGTTTTGTATACATCTATTTCTTGTAGTGAGGTATCAAAATACACCCAATGCTACATTTAAAAGTACAAGCAATTACATATATTCTTACATACATTATTTAGATCTAAAATGTTTTTTTTCAACAGTTAATCAAGCTGGAGAAAATTCGTTGTTTTCACAATATATATCTTTTCCCTCCAGTTGCATGACTGAGTCGGGACTCAGGCCTGAAATGTCTGGATAATTCTGATCCAAGCTATCACCAACAAGGTTAATTTTGCTAAGATCTTCTCCAATTCGTATCTGGTGCTTTTTCAGAATTGGCTTCGTGGCTTCCATAAACCGCTGAAAAATGAGCAATTCTAAATTCATTTCTGGTGCTTATTTAACATTTTTACTCTTTTTATGTGAATTAAGTTCTGCTTATTTGATAATTATTACTGCTTTTTTTTCAAAATATTGCCTGCTAACTGGACTAGACTTCTTATTTTACAATTATTTGAAGATATGTTACATTAACTAACTGTCAACCAAAGTAACAACAGTTAATATTTATTGAACAATCACTAACGCTATTCTTATGTCGCAAGTACGTGACCAATGATCTTACCCTAGAGACGGTTCCTTCTTGCTTAAAGAGCCGGTACACAAACACTATCGGGACTAACACAACAGAACACAGGGCGAGAGTCCATCCCACCATGATAGCCCATTTTGGATATTGGTATGTGATAAACTTCCTCTCGTACGACAGCTCCGAGTACGTAATGGCTCCCATGATAAATATTGTCTGGAATTAACAACAAATTGTCATAGAATCAGTTACGCTTTCAATGTAATGTTTATTTTCTAAATTACAACAACAACAACATTTACATGTATACAAAAGTTAAGTTGAAGTTAGATTAAATGAAATGAAAATAATAATATCAAGATTTGATTTTATTTCTTGTAAATTATTTTTGTGAGTTTCAATAATTTTGGCTGACAAGTGTTCTGTGTAGAATAGTGTACATTGTCATGGATTAAGTATACTTTTTTATATGCGATGTCCAAACAGTAACGTTTGGGTTTTATTGTTAGGTATCTATCAGTCGAATATCACTCGTTTATCATTATGTTGTCTTTTTCTAACACAACACAACACATATTAATCAAATATTGTTACCATTATACAAAATAAATGGACTAATGTAACATTGCACTTATAATTGCTGAAGTGGACTGTTAAAATAATGACTAAAAGCATCACATCGGAATAATATACTAGTAAGTAATCTTACAATCTCATCTTAGTGGTTGCAATTAAATTTAGTCCTATGAGACCGTTCTTCAATTAATCTAATTTATTTCATTAGCATCAACTTGTCATCTAATACTGATCTTCATGCTCAGACTTTCAAGTAAAGATTCAAAACAAAATTTCCACCACTAAGTATGTTAGACATATGTCGCAAGACTAAGAAACACTAACCTTTATAAAACTATTATTTCTATCACGAAACAAAGCACTAAGCAAAAAATATCAGCATGGCTAAGTTGACAATTTAATATATTTCTATGAAAATATTACCATAGTAAATATGGGAGTGAAAATCATCCACATGTATTTAACAACCTTTGATACACGGAAACCGAACATCATTTCTAGGTTATCTTGATATCGGTTTGCTCCTGTAAAACAAAATGGAAAAGTGAGATTCCGGTTCTAAAAATAGTATCATTATTCTAAAAATAGCAACATTAAGAGCAACATTAAGGAAGACATTATTAAACGGCATAAAATACTAATAAAAGACTGACTGAATGAAAGGCCAACTGGTTAGATATCAAACTATGAGTTGAAAATGTAAACTATTGATAAAAACTGCTAAGATGTTACTTCAATGCTTACCTTTCAAAGTGTAACATGCTTATATTTTCTATCAGCATCAGATAAAAAACAACGACAAAGAAAAGCTATCTCACTAGTTGTGACTACTTAAAAAACAATTTAAAATTATGCAGATCAATATTTTTTTTCAATTTTTTATGCAAATTACAATTTTCACAGTTAAAACTGATAAATAAAGTTCTATATTTTCCAGGACAAAGTTCATACCCTGTTTTTATTTAAATTGTTGTCATAAATCAAATAAAAGTAATATATTTTCTATGGAAGATAAGACAATTACCATCCAAAAATAAGTGAAAAAAATTATCCCAATAAATAAGGTCCTTGCTAAGAGTGAAAAGTATACTAAGTAAAATACTATTTCATCATAAAACCAACGAAAACTATCTAAAAAATTCTCTTTTTTACTTTGGATTCCAATTGAATTTACAAATATATTTGAAAAATGAACATGTAAAATATAAAAACTGGGAGAAATGCGTTTTTCCTTTTTTTTGAAAATTAGGAATTTTAGAAATGGTGAATACTTTGTAAACATTGCCAAAGATAAACAGTAACGTTGTTAGATTTTGAAAACACGTTTTAAGATTGACATGGGGCTCTTAAAGCACACCCATGCAAACATACCATAGACGTAAGATACCACCATACACTCGAAGAAGGCTACGACCAAGACTATTCTGCTTGCCGAGTAGTAGTCGAATAGCTGAAACACATACATGCCTCCCTAATGGGGAGGTGTGGCATTTAGACATGAGTTAAATAGACCTGCCTATAATTGTGTATAGGCACGACGAAATACCAGAACGACGACTGTTTGTCGTTGATTGAATGTTAATGTATAGTCTTAACCGATTGGTGATTTATTTTTTATAGTGATGACTTAATTAATATAAAAATTGATCAGCGCGCGTCTTTTCGATTCAATGAAAATAGAAATTAAAGTGAGGCGGTGCAAATTTCGAAATGATAACGGAACAAAAAGAGACGAAATCAGATAATGCAGAAATTTACATCTGAATGAAAATGAACTTACAATGTTACCGATATAAAGCCCTTTTTAAACATTCAAAAAGAGTCTAAGGTCTAATAAAGACAGAGTATTGACCCGTAGATTGATTTTAAATGTTGTAAATGCTCAAAATGGCTAGTCGTTCATATTGTCTCTATACATAAGACTATACATTTGTACAAAACATTCGTTCAATATTGACTTATAACAAATATTTATCTCAATGTGCTTATTCATATATTCATTGATTCAAAATGTTAAATGGAAACGCGGCCGCAAGACTACTTTGCCTTTTTAACTTTTGTTCAGACTTCTTCTCTATTCAAACTTAACACTTGACACGTTTCTGTCGGGTAGTTACCAAAACCCTCACTCGGTCGTACATCAATAACGATTAAGATTTGATATTTAGCCTTAAGTAAAGTCAAAGCATAATTTTGTACTTCTTGCACTGCACATACAATTTCAGGAGCAAAGCTACACCCTCATTGAAGCTAAATATATCACTATGGCCAGAAGGACTAGTTTGTTTTTGTTAAGTTTTTAGGAATAACTAGCATGAAAAGGTCATACGGCGACTTTTCAGCCCTAATGCAGGACGGAAACCTCGGGTGCTTCTCATTGAACTATTTCAGGTACGAGCAAGCACCTTTTTTATTGGGTTTTACATCGCCCAAACACAGTAGATGTCATATGGCGACGTTCCAGCTTTACTGTTGGGGTAGACCTCACGTGCCCTTTCATACATTATTTCGGGCACGAACGGGCATCTAAGTAGAAACACCGACGTTCCGTACGCTAGCTAGATAGCTTCCAAACATAAAAAACTCCAAAGTCCCTGATGGGACTTGAACCCACAGTTGGATAGTTTCGTCATATGAACTAATGGTATAATGGTGTAATATAAGTAAGATGTGTTCGTAATTATCCTAAGCTACTTTCTAAAGAGACCCTTTAAGTTTAATTAAACTTATTCAATTTGTGAAAAATCAATTTCTGCCAAATCTAAAGGCGTTAAACGTGAATACAAATCGACCATAATATCCCAATTATATCTTTTTCAAAAAACCTTTTACCAGAGTATAATAGCAAATAGATTCAGTTTTTGCATTTACACATGGCTAATAATGAACGACAGAGTGCAATGTACGATGTCTTCTTTTGCATGAATGCACTGTGTTTTGTTAAAAATAGCCCATGGAAACGTAACCCATTAAAATGAATAAAAGAAAACTTTATATAATGTAGTTCTTTCTATAAAATAGGCATGTAGCAATATTCACTTTAAAACGTCGTTCAAGAAAAAAAAGAACGAATAAATGATGCATACCTCAGTGACCATGGATAAACCAACAAGGAAGCAAATAACGCAAACAACACCAATCAAAATTTCCCTTCTATACCCTTTTCTGAATACTTGAGGGTATAGATCTACCATAAATGTAATGAATCCCTCGACACCAACGAACTGTAAAACAATAATTTAAAAACTCGATTATTACGTAATTCTAAACCTGAATGACATGGTAAGTCTGAACGTGAAAACACAACGTGTTCATTTAATAATTCAGACACACTTATCCTAACGAAAATATGTAAATAATGATATAAAAACCGAACAATAAAACTAATAATACATAAGTCCCATTTGGTTTTCAATAAGAAAAAAACTGATAAAAATATTATGAATAGTATTATTAAAATGATATGCAATCATTATGTACTATGAAAGTTGCTTCTAACCTAGGGACTAGAATGCAACTATAACAACATGACTTTAATATGCAGAGTAATATAATTAAAAGCCAGGATACAGCATAATCGTATAGTTATGTTATTGAGTAACCCCCTAACATGATGGAACTGGTCACCAGCAAAGAGTCCAGACAGCCTAGTACATCTGTACAGTCAAAACAAGGCCTTATATTTTAGTAGATTTCGTGTTTGATATTGAATTCGCTTGGCCTTTATAGGAACTTCCGAATCTAAAGCTGGTCAAATCCACTACAAAAGTACACAAAGTAATCAAGTTATCTCTCTTACCTGACTATCAAGTCCTAGAAGAATGACCATTGAGAAGAACAGACATGACCAGAATGGTGCAATAGGCATTTGAGATACTGCTTCTGGATATGCAATAAAGGCTAAACCTGGACCTGTTCAAATAAATAAAGCACACGAAATTAATTTTTATCACATAAATGATTGTAATACAATAACTGATGAGTAAAACACAGATGACAATATTTTTTATGAACTTATGTCTTAGTTGAAATAGTTCAAACTGCATATACTTAAGTATGTCATAGACATTGTATTATTATGAATAAACATGCACGCAATCCGTATCAGACAGACATCCAGTAAAATGTATAGAGTCTTTAAGCAGATACATTATACTTATCGTTGTAAATCATATGATATTTGTAAATGACTACCGCTCAAGCCGGTGCTAGGGGCGTGAGGGATGTTGCACTTATTCATTATCCCTCATGTACAGACTCAATCAAACCGAGTCTTATGTAATTTTGTTGTTATTAATGCTTCCGAGGGATCACTTTGTTTCCAGATTTTTAAGCAGAGACATTATACTTATCGTTGTAAATTATATGATATTTGTAAATGACCTATTAATAGCATAGTATACAAGAATTATTCTGGTTTATCAAACAGAAATGCTCATGACATTTTCAACAGTTATCCCTCTGACTTCTGAACCTGTTCTTGTTTTCCAATTCTTTTACATACATCTTTCTTTGTCTAGTATTTCCTTTTAACATCACATAATTTAACATTTGTATAACTGCGTAAACTACAACATTACAGTTAGTGGTGTATGTATTTTAAATCTTAAATTCACTGACCTTTTAAAGACATTTGCTCTAAAAAATAATCCTACCTGATTCAGCAACTTCTTCTACAGACACCCCTTGTCTTTTTGCCATAAAACCAAGAATTGAAAATATGACGAGACCAGCAAGAATACTTGTAAAACTGTTGACGGTAGCAAAAATATATGTATCTCTGAAATGAAAAAATGTAAATGTTGAAGTCATCTAAATTATTCTTTTAGGAGATGTACTTTTGGACTGACTGTGTGTCAACTATCGGGAGAGAACTGTGTTTTAATTTTACAAACTTTTGCCTAAATATATATTCAGCGTTTATATTATCTTTTCTTTTACCTGAGGTGTTACTATGCGGCGCTAGGGGCGTGAGCTATGTGACAGTGTATATTACAGTTTACAAACAAAACTCAAATTAGCGTCAAACAGAGCCTTAGCTTTTTTTTATTCAAACTTTATTTTTTTTAAATGCTGTTTCATTTCAGAACTGTTGTTTCCATTTCAGAATTCAAGAAAAAAAAAGATCATAAAATAAAACCCAAAAGCTACAAACAAACTGTATCTACCCCAAAATTGAACTTTCACAAGCTTAAAGCTGAAATAACATTGTACAAGTCGACCAAATACGAGCCTCAAATTAGCATACTCTTTAATAAAGCACTTAGCCTTTAAGTATTTGATCCAAGTAGAGATGAAATAGAAACAACCAATGATTATATGACATCTTATAACAGACATAATTATCTTAACATTTTCAGACAGTCCATAGCTTTAGAAGTCAATTCAGACATACAATTCAGCCGCCTTTAATCGATGTATTTCCCTGCACTTGAGACTATATTTAGCACTGTCTTCTGCGATCCATTAAAATCGGATAACAGAATTTCTCAAGAAACCTTTTCACAAGATCAAAGAGGGAGCAATTGAAAAGGTCGAAGCTGTCAAAGATAAGACAAAGACTGTCATGAATTCCGGAGAAAACTGTATGATACAGACTGTGTACAGCTGCAGACAGGTAAAATGTATTGATCTTGAAGTGGCAGGAAATTGAATCTTATATATATATATATATCCCATTATAATTGCATTGTTCTATATTTGAAATGATTCCAAACTGATTGTTGCCAAGTGTAAACATAACACAAATATATTTTACGACCCATTTGCTTTATTATATTTCTAGAATAATATTATTTATGATTTAAGTGCAATCTTTCACAACACGTTGTAAATCAAAAGCAACATCTATAACAGAAGCAGGGTCATCATCACCATTTTTACCTAATAACCAGCACGCTTTATGTAAACGAGGAAATAAGATGCATAATAAACATACAAATACATTTCCGATCCATGCATCAGATTTTAATAGATTTTTGACTGTTTTGAGGTACATTCTGACTTACCATTTGCAGACGACATAAGCAAATTATGCTCAGACGTTTGGAAAAAAATGAAATTAATAATTAATTCGGATACTATTGTAAATGCCCACTGATTCTTATTTTGATAACTTGATGTGTACATGTATATCTACTGTTTCAAATAAGTCCTAAACGTTAACATTAAGAAATGCATTCGGAATTCGAAAAACATTAAACCGGATAATTCTATACTTTTGGTCATCATTATTTTCAATACCAGTATGCACTGAATTCCAGGCAACTAGTACCTGAAGAACGTTGAAGTAATGTGTAATACTGTTTAATAAGCCCTAAATGCTTGAACACGTTACAAGGGGAGTAATTCTTGATGGTTTAATTTTTTACAGGAGAAGGTCAAACTTTTAGGAGGGATTGCTAAATTGTGTTCTGAATTATTGAAATGATTCCAAACTGATTGTTGCCAAGTTTAACATAACACAAATAATATTTACGACCATTTGCTTTATTATATTTTTTCTAGAATAATATTATTTATGATTAAAGTGCAATCTTTCCACACGTTGTAAATCGAAACAGAAGCAGGGTCATCATCGCCATTTTACTAATAACCAGCACGCTTTATGTAAACGAGGAATAAGATGCATAATAAACATACAAATACATTTCCGATCCATGCATCAGATTTTAATAGATTTTTGACTGTTTTGAGGTACATTCTGACTTACCATTTGCAGACGACATAAGCAAATTATGCTCAGACGTTTGGAAAAAAATGAAATTAATGCTTCATTCGGATACTATTGTAAATGCCCACTGATTGTTATTTTGTTTCAAACAGGTCCTAAACCATGTAAACGTAAACATTTAGAAAACAATCGTAATTGTTTATCATGAAAATAATGAATTTTGAAATGCATTCGGAATTCGGAAAACATTAAACCGATACTTTTGGTCATCTTTATTTTCAATAACAGTATGCACTGAATTCCAGGCAACTAGTACCTGAAGAACGTTCAAGTAATGTGTAACAAATCTGCACAGAGCATATGCCAAAAATGTAAGCTTTATTTCATGTATAATGTAACACAAAAAGTAAATTTAAGAGAAAATCATTTGTTTTTATCACTGAACACATAAGAAATAAGCACACTACTTCAGTTCAAAGGCATACTCTTCGTTTATTGTATCGCATTATACCTTTATTGCTAATTACAGCCCGGAGCAAAAACTGGCATATTTTCCCGTATTGCAGGTATTTCAGATAAACAGAAAAAAACCTGTAAAATTACACTTTAACTTCTAATAAAAACTAACCATAGGTGTTTGAATATTGTAAACGAATCATTAAAATGTCATTCAAAATGTTCGATGTATGTCAATACAACGTTCCCATGAGATTCCATTAGATATGGATTTTTATTGTGTTCTTTTTTTTTTCTTTTTTTATACTGTTTTGTATTTCAGTAGAATTTAAGGGCAATCATAAATAGCATATTGTAGAAATTCATCAATAATATAAAAGTATTCACAATGACGTCAAAACTGTAAAAGAGATTGAATTTCGCCATGCAATCTATTCAATCATTCTATAAAAACAGTTATTGGGAAAACTTGATTTATACATCATATTTAAACAATCAATATTTTCAAACCGAGTAGACATGAAACAGTTTCCATAATGGAGATTGTTTATTTAGAAACTTGAAACAATTTCCTCGGCTCGGCTTGAAACAAAAAAAGTATCTTTTTGCGTTACGTCATACCAAAGTAATAAAATTTATACGATTCGTTGATTATCTTGAAATGTTACAAAGAATACCGTCATGTTGTGATAAATAATTTTGATGTTAAAATGAATTTATAAAAATCCAGTTTTATTCTAATAATGTAACAGCTTGTTTTCTATGTCATGTTCGGGTAAAAATTGTGAACTACCCGACAACAAGGCTAATGTCTCGTGATGGTCAGTTTTAGTTCAAATATGTTTAACAGTAAATACTTTATACTTGAAATGAATCTCAGAACTGACATCTGGTAAGAAAAGTAATCTGAATATTGATTTAACCATAAATTGAGTGTCGTCTGCGACAAAAACCATTTATTAGAATTACACTAATGATGTAATTCCAAATCATGTTTACTGTTCACAAAGAGGATTGCAGGGAATTTCATGCAAGAGAGCGGCTGATACTGCGGCACAAAATCCTCATAAAACTTTTTATCACACACCCGTGCCGATTATATGATAAATATGGTATTGCACGGCCGTGCATATATTTTGACGTGACGTCATTAGCGTTATACAAACATAGTGTAAAGACGCGCTAAATGTTAGCGTTATACTATAGGCGCGTCAATGAAAAATGACTCTTATTTCACTTTAAGCGGTCTTTATTTTGGGTATGTGATAAATAGAACATTAAATTCGTGTAAGTTCATTACTGAATTTATTGCACTCGTTGAATAAAATAATATAATGCTCGCCAGAGGCTCGCATAATATAATTATATTCAACTCGTGCAATAAATTCAGTATTGAACTTACACTCATTCAATATCCTCTATTAAGCGAAGAAATTCAACTAGTGTATTAACAGTTTATTTATATAGACAAAAAGACAATAAAAAGAAGGTGTTACGACAGATATTGTGTAAATATTTTATAATTACCTGTAAGAGTTATGGTTGAATTTATTGTAGCTTCCCAAAGCTGTGAGAGTTCCAAGGGCAATAGAATATGAGAAGAAAATCTGTGTACCCGCGTCTACCCAGACCTGAAATACAACAAACAAAACAAATACATTATTGAAAGCTACTATTTTTACTCTGCCAATGGAGATAAATATCTGTTAACAACATTTCTTGAGATTCTAGAATGGGGCAATGAACTAAACCGTTGCTCAAGGACTTTGAAGCGGCTTAAACTTGTTTTTCCATAAATAAGTAACAACACCTTCGCACCAAATATTTTGTTCGGAGGAAAGTGCTGCCAAAAGGATTGTTGTTTTGGCGTGCAATCTCAAACATCTGTTACCTTCTGAATGCGCAATTATTGAACTAACATATACATGTAGAAACATATACATGTAGAAGTCAAGGGCAAATAATCGTAAGTCGAAGGTCGAAATATAACATATATAAAAATGTCTTGGTTTAACAACCATCATAATTTCGTGTGAATTCGGTATATTTCGGCACTATTCGTACCACATATAGATGAAACAAGCATCTATATGAACTGAAATTGATTGAAACATAAATGGAGTGTCGTCTGCGATACAGAAAATGACGAATATATCCAAAGTCATACGAATAACTTATAGAATGAACATATGTAATATAGATACATATGCAAAAAACATATTAGGTTCAGTTTGTGTGTATAAATATTCTTATTGTGAATAAGATACATGTACAAATAATTCACAGGCAATCTTCAGTGTTCAGGAAGAGAACAACGTTTTTATAATTTTATTCTTCATGAACTTAGAAACAATTACTTTACATGTGTATATAGCTCTGCATTGCCATGGAAACATGAAATAAGATAATGCTTAATGATGTAGCAAACTAATAAACAACAACAAACAAACGTGTTAATTTATATTCAGTTAAAGGCAGGTATTGACAGATGTTACATGAACGAGGTGGGAATCAATTTTGGACTGTGTGTAATTGCAGACGACTTTCTTTCTAGAGGTTAAAAGCGGCGTTCCTTATAACAAAATTTTAAGTTTTGAACATGTATGCATGAATTGTTCTCTTTATCTGGATAACCATTAACCTTTGTATTCTAATTTTGGTTATTTCTTTTCACTTTCTAATTTGTCTTGTTGGTATGTTGTAGGTCCATCAATTTTGCTATGTTCACAAGGCGATTTTCAAGCATTTTTTTTCAGATACGAGCTGTCACATGATTGAAACAATCGACATTCGGTGAACTTGCTGAATAGATTGTTCTTACAATCGTTACTTGGCAGAAGGTCAAAGCCGATCTTGCAAAAATCGTTATGGAAATAAGTGCTGGAAAATGTGAAACGTTTAGAATATTTGAAATTTCGAAATCAATGAAAACATGATCCTGGTGTTAATATCTTAATGCTTTTGACATTTTGCTTTTGAAATTAAAACTTTACTGTGCGCGTTTTTTCTTTTCATTCGTATGTATTTGTAGCTAAGAACGAATGGTCGAAGTGCAAATAATTATTTGGTGTTTATACATGCTGTTTCGAAACCCAAGCTTAACATTAATATGTTTTTGTTATGAAGTATTCAAGAATAAGTGTATACAATAATGAAACGAGCTATATATAACAAACATTAGAATAAAAGCTACACGTTACTTTCTTTACTTATATAACTCACGTTTCATCATACTGTCACTTTGTGAGACATATTAACTCGATATATTATGTTATAATAGTGTGTATTATTACCCCTCACTTTTTTCGTAATGCTAATTTCCCATAGGCCTCTGGGAGTAATTCTTACTGTTAATGCAAGTGTACCACGTGACTAAGAATTTTGTACTGTTACATAGGTAACAGTATTTTTTAACAGTATAAAATCTGGTCACGTGGTCTATTTTCTAAATAAAATGAAATAAAATGGCCGCCATTTTTTTTCTCGATTCATTCTTATTTTCGACGATAGGGCATCGCCAAAGTAACTATTACTCTGATAAAATTTAGTTCTTTGCACCCTAGAGTCCCTTTCGCGTATTAAATATCTTTTTGTTGAATAGTCAACAGGAAACATCCGTTTTCAACGGAAGTAATTGTAATGTAAATAATTTTGTGTCAAACTGGAACATGCAGACAATTATAGCATGCAACAAAGGATAATTTAACAATTTTAACCAGTGAAACGTTACAGATAGAGTTGGTGGACAGACATCTGTAGGATATCATCGTTATTTTCTAAATGCACTTTGTCAAAAACCATGCGAAGAATATTCTAGATGCAGAAGGATCAGATTTCACAGATCATAACCTTATAAATGGGTTAGTGTTTTGTTTTCTGAATAAAACACAGCTTATTTTATGTTTATGACTGGTAGATATCATCACTTGCCTAAAGAATAAAAGAAAAACAGCTTCTCAAGTAGGCCTACTGCAGTACAGTGCACTTAAAACTTGCAAGGTAAGGACAGTTTAGTTATTGCTTCTCTTGGCTTATTTTTGTTACAGTTAGATTTAGTTGCCAAATTCAGATCATCACAGTATTTGTTCGGGGTAATAAAATAAATAACACATGGGTTTGTGAGTAACAGAAAAAATATCATCCCTCGTATAAATACTGTTACCCTCGGCTACGCCTCGGGTAACAGTATTTTCCTCGGGATGATATTTTTACTGTTACCCACAAACCCATGTGTTATTTATATACTATCATATTTTATATACATTCCATGCCTGTATATTAATTACATTTTTGCATTGTCTGAAAAGGAGGACACATGTTATATGAATGTCATGGGAACGGTTCTAAATTGTTCAGTTACACCAAAGAGAAAAGAAATTTAAGGTTGCCATGGCTTAGTATTATTGCTAGATACGTTGTCTTATATAGGTCGCACGATTTCTATGGAAATAAACCTAATTTAAAACAACCCCTTTCCCTTTTTATTGTGAGAAACTATCATCTTCAAGTTTGTTAAGAAATGCGTCATGCTATTTTAACGGTTAACGCGCAGTAAATTTCATTAACATATTATTTAAATTCTGCTAGGATAAGATCGGTTTGAAAAAAAGCAATCTAATTTGTATGCATACGTTTCATTATATTTGAAAAATAAACGAAATTAGCCCAGCAGTTTATTCCCCCTAAGCAAAATTATTTGGCCTACATTTCAAAATGTTGTACTTTATGTTGAAATATTGTGGCAAAGAACATAAACTCCTTAATAAATTAACATATACATATAAACAGCATGCGATGTAAATGATGAATATGTGGTTGTTGAGTAACCCTCCCTCATCCCCAGCACCTAGAGCCGTGCTCGAAAAACTCAAAACAGCACACACTTATTAGATTTAATCATATTTATTTGATTTACATAATTTCAAGTATTCGAACATGTAACCTGGGAATGACTTCATACGTTTTAACACTATACACATCATCCAAACGGTTTTGTGTTTTGAACAAATACTTTATTAACAAGCATTTAAACAAATTATCATAGCAACTCTACGGTGTTTCGGACAGTCTAAAAAGGCATTTTTTACATAACATCTATGACATAATGTATTAGACTTTCGCAAATTGTAGTCTATAATTATGTAATTCAGACTCTGCATGTAGTCCGGAAAGCAAACCTTAAGTTCGTAGCTTTTATTTTGATGAATTTAATCGGATAGCTTTGTATATGATGTCTACATGCAAAGTGATAAAACTATCTAAAGGTAATCATAGGCAAGAGGTCGGCCTATTTAATTTACTAAAATACAACTTCTGAGGCGGGGGCGGTGTTTAAATGACATAAATTAACAGTGCATAAAACATCAAATAAAACCGTTGCTTAGCAACAGCACTTTAAACGCTAAGCAATTTCTGTCAGTAAATGACGCAGACAAACACTTGTAATTGTGCGCATGCTCTATCATTTTACAAGATGTAACGGCAATATTGGAGCCGCATTAATTAATACGCAACCTTGAAAAGGGGAAAAAATCCGATAATATAAGAGATACAAAGACTTAAGTTATTCGAACCCATTTAGTCCCCGCTAACGATCACTCAGGGATAAGCGGTGGCTGCAATTCTGATGCATCAGCCATTTAAGGCAACCCATCAGCCGCAAGGGTGGGGGAGGGGGCATAAACATATTTAATCTAATGAATTCCCATATAATAAAATGGTTCGTTAATATAGCAAGAAGGCTAGATGTCGATAGATCAATGAATAAAATAAATATAGGACATGCAAAAAGATTTTAAGTTGATGATTTTTATGGTGTTTCTAAAGAAAGAAAACCTAAGAAAGGAAAGACTATACTTTACTGTAAGTTTAACAATATTAAAGATGCGTCATACACAAGATGCGTCATGAAAATTGCCATTCATTCCCAGAATCGTAAAATTATGCAAAATAGTATCTATCTTTAATTTTGATTTTCCTTATATAACACAATTTGGGAATATGAAGTGGTATGTCAGTGAATTTTGCGAGGTGTCAGAAAACGCATGATAATGTCAGAGCTGGCGTGAATGTCAGAAGAAAATGAATGATAAGGTATAATTATGGCAGGTATAAAACAATTGTCTATTTATATATTATCACATTGCTTGAAATACTCATTAATTGTTGAGGCTGTTTATAGAAATATGAAAGAAAATTCATGACATGCTACAACCTTTGACACTAATGTCACATTTTTTCAAACATAACGACATTATTAAAGTAAATAAACGGCGGTCGCTAATCTATAAATGAGCCGCGTCACGACAAAACCAACATAGTGGGTTTGTGACCAGCATGGATCCAGACCAGCCTGCGCATCCGCGCAGTCTGATGAGGATCCATGCTGTTTGCTATCAGTTTCTCTACTTGTAATAGGGATGGTAAGCGAACAGCATGAATCCCGATCAGACTGCGCGGATGCGGAGGCTGGTCTTGATCCATGCTGGTCGCAAACCCACTATGTTGGTTTTGTCGTGACGCGGCTCAAATAATAGTTATTTACATTAAGTAAATATAAAATTTATGATTTTACATCCGTTTTACACAAAACACATAAATTAACAGAAAAGGAAATATAGTTTAAAAAGATTAAAACGGAAGGAAGTCTTGTTTCAGAAATGTTAAACAGCGTTTATTTTAGAATTTTAAATCAATTATTCATCCTAATTTGGCAAATGCTACTCTTCAATGTTCTACAATTAAAGTGGATTGGTCTACAATGGGCACCTTTTCCAGGATTATTTCAATAGTTATAAAATAATATCAATGTTTCATTTTAATATTCCCATGAAATATTTCTAGATGTAGATAAGAGGTGTAAGTGATGATATATGAACATTTCTATATGATATGTTCTAGAGCAATTCGTTATCTCCTATATAATGTTATGTTATATATCAGATCATGTATCTCACACTTATCAACAACTCTCATATATAATATATTTTCCTGGTTTGTTGTCATACTCGTACATGACACTAAATACTATAAACATAATTTTTTTAGACTACTTCACTTTAATGTAGAACTTCATTTGCTTTTCATGCCACTATATAAAGTCCCTGTATTAAACAAATTCAACCCTTTTTATGCATCAGTTGTAAAGATAGAAAATGAAATGTGTGTAACCAAGGTATACCACGTAACTACTGGTGTAATAAGAGAAAAGTAGGACAGGACAAAAAATGAAATAAAATAGAACTGAATAAAGAATAGTATACAAAATAGGATAATATAGAATGGATAATATTAGATCAGTATTGAAAATCAATAGAAGGTAGTATCAATGAAATAGATAAAAAAAAGAATAGAACATAGAACATATGAGAACAGAACAGAACATAATAGAACTAGAGGATGCTTTTGTAAAAAAGCGCATGTCTCCCCCACTGCTGAGAATAACTGTGAATGGAAACAGGAATGGAAATGGAGATAAGATAATGTAAATACCCGGTAGTCACTTCAATGAAGGCTGTCTATGGATGGTTTCTATTGTTAAGGTTGTATGAGAAGATGCTTCCTAAACTGTTTGTTTTTAACCAGGTATTCAATTTTGAATATGTCTCCCCCCAGTTTGAGGGTTGTAGGTCAAAAGGAACTCTAGTTATCATCCGGAAATGAGAAATTGACCAACGGTCACTGTGACCTTGACCTTTGACCTACTGACCCCAAAAACAATAGGGATCATCTGCTCTATAAGACCAATCATCCTATGAAGTTTGAGGGCTGTAGGTCAAAAGGAACTCTAGTTATCATCCGGAAACGAGAAATTGACCAACGGTCACTGTGACCTTGACCTTTGAACTACTGACCCCAAAAACAATAGGGATCATCTGCTCAATAAGACCAATCATCCTATGAAGTTTGAGGTCTGTAGGTCTAAAGGAACTCTAGTTATCATCCGGAAACGAGAAATTGACCAACGGTCAGTGTGACCTTGACCTTTGACCTACTGACCCCAAAAACAATAGGGATCATCAGCTCTATAAGACCAATCATCCTATGAAGTTTGAGGGCTGTAGGTCAAAAGGAACTCTAGTTATCATCCGGAAACGAGAAATTGACCAAAGGTCACTGTGACCTTGACCTTTGAACTACTGACCCCAAAAACAATAGGGATCATCTGCTCAATAAGACCATTCATCCTATGAAGTTTGAGAGCTGTAGGTCAAAAGGAACTCTAGGTATCGTCCGGAAACGAAGAATGGACGGACGGACGGACTGACGGACGGACGGACGGACGGACAGGGCAAAAACAATATGTCTCCCCCCGAGGTGGGGGAGACATAATTAAACTGAAAAGGGACGAGAATATGGAATACTTTAAATGAATAGAATAAAACAGCGAACTATAATACAAAAGATAACAATATTTTCTAGGAATATAGAACTCACCTGTGGATCTTGTAATCTTGAGAAGTCTGGTACCAGGTAGAATTTAAGACCGTCAGAAGCGCCCTCTAGCGTGACACCTCGGATTAGCAGTATAAACATGAGGATATAAGGACTGGTCGCCGTGAAATACATCACCTACAAGAATGGGTTCTAGATATAGCAATGCCAAGTATACCAAAAGGCTTTGGTGAAAGGGAGGGCACTCCCTTTCAGGTACATAGATAAATATATAATTGAAAATTTAAGTTGGTTGGAAAAAAACAAGAAAAAAATCAACTACTTTATCATTATCAAAATATAAAAAAACTACAACAACAACTATGAATTCAGAATTATACTTATGTTACTAAATTATCATTTTAGGAAAAAAATCTAATTAAATCTAGAATAATAGTGTTGAAATTTAAACTAGCTCTAAAAAAACTAAAACAATCTAATGAAAATTAATTTTTAAACTCGAAAACCGTTTATACTCATATAAAGAGTGGTTTCCGCTTTAATAGGGAGATCTGAAAAGTATAAATACATATGTTTTGTTTACAAAATGAATGCTTATCCACACTCATTTACAAAAACAACGTACTTTTGTGAATATGACCACAAGACACAGAAATTATGTTTCAATATATTTAAAATAAGTGCTTTGAAAATTTCGAATAACCGATGAACCATCAACTTATATGGCCCCAGTTTTATGCTATTTTTAGAATTTTGAATTTGAAAAAAAATGAAATTTCCAAAAAACGTTTGATGGAATGAGTGTGTCTATAGCATTTGAGACAGGTAAACTAAAAATGCAATCTGTTTAATGCATGTAATGCATATCAATGTCCAACACTGAACGTCTGTACTTTGTACAGAAGATCCAACTGTCCTTGAACAAAATATAAAGATCGCATTAGTAGGTATGACAGTAGTATGGTGTACAGGAAGGGTGATAAAGGGACTTGATTTTGAAAAAAGTGGCCAATTTTAGGCCAATTCGAGAAAAACGCAGTGAAACCGTTATTTTTTTTTATTTTTTTATGTCAGCCAAATGACTAATATATAGATATATTTTTTTGTCATCATCAGATCTCGTGTCCTATATGGTGAATTTCCACTCGGACGTTTCTTGATCTACTAGTGATTTTTTTACTTTTTAGTTTATTCTTTTTTGTGATATGGGACGATTTTTTTTGTTTTATTTGTGAATAAAAGTGTTATATTTTTGTACACGTGTTTGCCCTTTTCTTTAAGATCACCTTTCCGGAGCTTCTTATTCCCTTCCAGATGCAGAAATAGACAACGATCCAGGCTAGAAGAAGGCATAGACAGAGGTCCCATTTGATGTATCCGGGCGCACCAACGCCGTCAGAGAGTCCCAGCACTTTACGCCTGTAATTGGGGACGTTATAAAGGCGTAAGCAAAAGGTTTGTCAATAAATGAACACCCTTTGATGTGTTTTTGTTTCACATATTCATTCATTATTCTAATATACTCATACCTTACATTCCATTAAAAACCAAAAAATATCTCAAGCACAGTGCATATCTCCAAAACAGACATTTCAATATAAAATACGAAAGGACAAAAATACAGAGGAACACATTAAAAGAGGCACTGTTATTAAACTATTCTATCTTTTGAGTTACCAGTATTAATAACAACAAAGTACATGTATTTCCTCATAATTTTAAACCAAGTGCCATTCGCTTGCTGTCCGGACATTAAATGCCATTTTCTTGTTTTTAGACATACATAAATTCAGTATATCAGTACCGTACATGTGTTAAAAACCTATTTGTATAACATATGTCCTATTATGTAAATACATCATTTATTACTTGACATTCAAACAACCATTTATGACGTCACAAAAATGACCCATTCTTAAATGCATCATTTCTACGCTTATATGGTAATAAGTATTTCATGTCACATGTGAAAAAAAAACATGTATAACCACGAAACACATGCAGACATACAATTGTGTGTTGTAGCGTGAACACAGCAATGTCAATGACCTGTTAACCACCATGCATTTCGCTTCATTCAATCTTAGTTTAAAATAGACTTTGGACAACCCATGCTGTAAATTAAACAACATATCAACAGATTTTAGTTGTAACACATTCATTGTACACAAAGTGCAAATGCTTTAGTCTACGAGATAAAAAAACAGGAGTTTTAAACGGATTTGATTAACCATTACAATGTTAGATTTGTTTAGTCTTTGAATTATTCCTGCAAGAGATATAAACTAAATTAGTAATAAAATCCACTCCCATCTGAAACAAACAAAAGTACATTAGTTCAAACCGTTTCTTACAAATGCCGATATGCTCAAACTTTTAAATGGCCGTTAAATAGACAAGCAAAATTCCACACCCTGAATTTAAATTTCAATATGGCCAATATTTCATAATTTGCTTTTCACCATTGTTACAATGCATTTCATTGGTTGCGTTTTCTCTTCAAACACGCATTTTAATTGGTTGGCAGCTATTACATCATATCACTGAAAGTTTGCCATTTGTTATATTCTGATAGGTTATAAGGGGTTTCAGGTCGGACAAATGACAATGGAAATAAATGGCTTTAACTCTCAACAAAAGCGCATGCAATAGCATCTAATAAGAACAAAAACTAGCTGGCTTCTTTTTCCATGAATAGTTCATCAATTTTACATTTAATTAACAGGAACACCCGGACCAAATAAGCACACTGGAATATATAATTCTACATTCAATAACAACGGAAGAAGGGTTGTTAAATACCGATGAACCCCAAGGTGGCGACACACAAAATAATAACGGGATATAACTGTATTAAGGGATATAAGTGTCATTTTTGAATGCAGAATGTAATGCAAAACCATGTTGTACAAACAGGTTTGGTTTTCAAAATGACATAAATATAAATATATGAATACATGTTAAAGGAATGTTGGCAAAACATGTTTGAAAAAGTCAAATATGTCTAGATAACTTATGTATACGACAAAAATATACAATGTAAATGATAAAAGAATATAAAATAGTAAGTACAAATGAAATACGTACTCCCAATATTCTGTAACAGGGTCTGTAATCTTGGCAGAGTTAGTGACATTGGATGCAACTGCTGACAATGACGACACAGTTGACGCAAACACTGACATGTTTGAGTAGGTCATGGTGGCGTTGTCTGTTGTTGCATTGTTGACAGACTTTGAGATTTGACGATGGTCGACGTGACACTCGGGTGTGTTCCATTCGTTGTCACAATTAGACCATGGTAACACCGAAGTGAAAGATGAGAACAGGTAGTAAAATGCCCAGGTCAGTATAATGTTGTATTCGCAATTAAGAAGGAAAACAACTACTGCGCATGCGTAGCCAATTCCTGAAAATGTCACAAAACTTGCCATATAAGAAATCTTAAAATAAGGTTAATAGAAATAGACGGTTTATATTTAATATTGTAAATGTTCAAAGCGTGAAGGTGACTTACAATTCAATAAATGCCCTTCGCATTTTCTACATTCTGTGCATACTTTAATGTTTCACATAACACAAAATAAACGACAGTGATCATTACCACATAAACCGTGTTATCTGATACATTTTACCTTCATATTTAACTTTTAAAGTACAGAAAAGAATGTGAAAAACGTGAAGTTGAGACATTAAAGGATGTACTGTTGTTAAAAATATATATCAAATAACGATTTATATCTATTAAGTTATTCTTTTGTATTTCAATCGTACTTCCTCATATAAAAGACGCATCAGGCGTGGAAAACTTGAGTTCAGAGCTAGTCTATCAGAGCAATCATTGACCGGGGTCCTAATAGCGTCTAATAAATCGATCGAAACGATTGATTGCCGAGCTTTTGAAACACAAGAAAGATTACGAAAATATTTCTAAAAACAGGTTATGGGCTTATAGATACTGAAAAGCTGTAAAGAATTATGATTTTGAAGTAATCTATTGAAGACGTAACCATCGTAATCTCGTTAAAACTCATATACCGCCATTATTCTAGATTTTTGTACAGATCATGTAAACGTTATATGCCAAAGTACGACAGTTACCGTTTTCCAAATAACGTAATAGAACTACAACGCTGTCAGGCTTTTGTGTAAACAAATGACTGAAAACATCATGGACGACTTCAAGCAAATCATGTATAAGCTTACCTTGAAATAAAGGGGAAATCTTCCATGTTCCAGTGCCACCCTCCGACATGAACTGCCCAAGGGAGACTTCAAGAAAGAACATCGGTATGCCGCCAAATATAACTGCGATGAAATAAGGTATGAGGAAAGCACCTGAAATTGAAAAATAGAATAATACACATTAGGTATAAAATTATTTTCTAAAATCATACTCTAATCTGCGTGACACACTAGTACCGCATCAGTGCGAAATCGCATCAAGAAATACCGGGAGACTGATTGCGACAGATTTAATTTGTCAAAAGCCAGAGAGGTGAAAATTGATTTAGACATAATTAAAAGCAATATCTGGGAAGCATCTTATGAATCTGTAATAAGGCGTCAAAGAAATGAAGACTTTGGACAGCCAGACGAAACATTGCAAGAATTACAAGATAGTAATAAATCGATATCGGAGTTGTTTCTGACACAGTATAGTTAGGTTACTGGGCACGGAATAATTCTGCTGAGAAAACGGAGCGTCAAATCTTATTTCATCCAAATAAAGAACGTGGTTTAACGTGTGATAAATGGTAAAAAAGCAATGAATATATTTACTTTGTTGGGCGAAGCAATTGACAGATACACATTGATTAAGTTATTATTTTGGCGAGTTTCCAGTTGAGAGTGATTGACAGTAACCTTGATGATGCACTTTTTTGCATAATGTTTGCGCATGTCTATACCTACCGCATTGGAGAACATGCCCTAATGAGTCATTTTTATATCAATGTAAAACTAATTCATTAGAGTGACTTTCTCCAAAATTGAACGTTTAATTAAGTCTTCTTTGAAACAAGTCCCCAGAGAAAGCATATAATGATCCCAAAGTTTATTCTTTCTGGTGCCAAGTATCTATTACCTAACGAGACCATCGGATTAATATGTATTTATTGAAAGTACAAGAAAAAGTACTTTACTGTCTTTGGGTTTATTTTGAAAATCTAGGTCAGTCGTTCTTCATATATTTGATCTAAAATAAGTTCTCAGCAGTTCTGAGTTTTTTTTCTTTTCTATGACGTTTATGATATTGAAATCATAGGCACTATTACTCATTAGCTTGAATAATGCGATGATCTTCTTTTAACATACAAATTTATTGTTCTTAAACTTGCTATCTTTTACTGTTAAAGAGGATCTTGTTTTTTTTTGTGTGTGTTTTTTTTGTGTGTCACAGATAGCACCTGAATAGTTTCTATCTCAGTATAATGTAGTGCATTTAAATTAAATTTTATCTCAATAAATAGTTCACTATGGATTTTCCATTCTAGCATTTATGGGAGTGTTTTTTTGCTCTTCTTGTTGTAGATATGAATAGTCTGGTTCGTTTGATCTGCGACGCTGACATTTACAGAGAGGTCAGTCTACTCCCTGATAGCATCTTGCTTTCTATCTTTCTAATTCTGGTCGACAAAATGCATACTTGCCATTTGGCTTCTATGGTTTCGGTTTTCGTTTAGAAGTTTTATGAATAAACCCAATACTCTAACAACAACATTTAATCTACCAACTGGAAATGTTATACTATAAAAGGAAATTCAAAATTGAAAGGACAACACATTGATTCAGATATTTAGATCCAAACCTTTTGTCCTTCTGTTTGTCACCTCATTGTGCCATGTTAGTACGTGGAATGAGACTGAAACTTGACTTGGTGTTACTTATGAGCTGTGTCTAGTGAAGGTTTGTCTTTTTTAATTTATACTAGCCTAAAATCACAAGTTTTTTTGTAAACCTCCAGAATACATTATCCTTATGTTATGGACCAGTGTGTAACCAAGTTGTTTAAGGTTATCCGAGGCAGAGAGGTCATATTGTAAAGTTCAGATGTGAGAAACGAAAATGAAAAAGAATTGGCCGTTTTTGCTATGCATGCATGAATGATGGCTTTCTATCCTTAAACACCTTTAGAAAATGGGACAGAGGGACATCAATAGGTCAGTGACTCCTATGTCGCTTTAAGGCCTATCTTGGGTTTATTGTGTTTGACGTCATTCGCTAGTTATAATAGTAATTCAGTGGATAGCTTAAACCCATTTACTACAATGTATTACTAGTTCGGGTAAATGCGTTTAAGCTATCCACTAAATAAGTATAATAATGTAAATATGCATTAAGAAAAGGGAAAAAATGTAAAATGTCATTAGATTGAAATGTGTACCTCGCGGCTCAATGTAAATGCATTGTTTACTTATTTGTCCTATATATCTACGTCACAACGGAAGTTTCCACTTAATTGTAACCTTGCTTCAAGGTTGATTACACTGCACGAAACAAAACATGCGCTTCTTAGAAATGAAAGTGTTCAAAATATGTTAAGGACCTTAAGTTAAGATACAGGGAAAATAATCCAGTTATATAAATGTATCATAGTTAATTTTGCAAAGTGGCGTAAGCATAATAAATTCAAGTTAGTACCATTAACTTATTAAAGATTTGTGAAATTACACTGCCGATAAATTTAGATTCATTTTAGTTTGCGCTTCAATCCATTAACTTGAATGGACTGCAATTTAACCGAGTCATTTAGCATTTCCCTCCATTCAATATATAACTTTATACGATACCGTCAATGAAATCAACGATTTAGTGGAGTATTTAAATATTTGCATGGGTAATAAAATATAATACATGGTTTAGTCAATTTAGTTTATGACAAATGTGTTACACTGTAAATTTGCAAAATAAAAAAACTATTTGGAGATTATATTTGTTTGACTTCCGTTTCAAATAGAATGAATTTTACTGTAAATCAGATTCGTTATATGTTTTCATTAATTATACGTTACATACAGAACGTGTTCTAGTTTAACGAGGCACGCACCTCGTTCGTTCTTTGAGCATACCTCTTTTAAAATGTAATCACAGAACAACAGTGCGGTAAACTCATTTAACATAAGAATTAACTGGTTATATTTTATTACATTTCTTTACCAATATAAAGGAAACATTCAAATCTAATTTTTGTCAATATTAGGAATCATAATATGAAGAACACGTTATCAATTATATGTAATTACTACAGTCTAACCTAGTACGGAAAAACACCAAAATAAGGGACCCCTAAAGGTGAATAATTGCTTTATGAAGTTGAAATAAGAAATATCTACAACCTTGCAACAGCCGTCCGTTTTATAAGTTTCAAAGATTCTTTACCGGTTATATGACAATACATAAATAACCGTTAATATACAGTCTTTTAACGTGTCAAAAATCTTTATATCGAATTTATAATTCAACAAACTTCCTGAATTAGAGAAAAACGTGAAATAACTTCATAAATCGACCGCAATCGTGTTTACACATATAATCGTCAAGATCAACTTTACAAACATGCAGTATTATTATTATTTTTGATATCACCAACTATCTATTTATTAAGAGGTGTTCAAACAATTCAAAACGTTTGTTGATTGACTTTGCGGAAACGCTTTTATGACAAAAACGGATACTTCTGGACTAGAATCGTCTACTTTTAAACGATATTATTTATCTGAAGGGAAACCTACAAAGGCTTCCATGTAACATGCGGGAAAATGATCATTTCGTTGCCACACGCTGTTTTTTATATAATATCTCGAAGTAACAGTTAACTTTCTTCTGTTGTCAAGACCTCTTGATTACAAGTTAAATCTTTTCTCCTTTTGCTTCCGAAGATAATTCTTAAAAGCAATGTTATTTCCTTCATTTATGTGATAAGAAAAACGTAAGAAGTACTTCATTTAATTAATAAAACATACAGGTTCTGTTTACGGCTTGTAATCCTCCCGAATGTTGAGTATTTATTTTTTACGTAGCATACAAAATTATTTTACTTTTTGTTTTTCGTTAGATACATATCAAACCATGTTTCTCTGTTATATTTGTATATGAAATTAATGCTTTTATAATCTCAAAATAAACAGTAATATTTGGATTTTAATCGTATTTTTTTTTAATAATAGTGACCAATGCCAAATTTAAGCACTCTAAATATAAGGCTTAAGTTTTCCCTTACTGTGTCAATGTTAAAAGTCAGAAATACTCTTTGTATTGTTAAATATTTAAGACGTCTGTAATCATGGATTAAACAGGATCAAGTTTAATACTAAGATCAGGATTAGCAAATTTAAGTCCGAGTGTCAAGCCTATGGCTTTCTCTCGTTGAACAAGTAGGTTAAAAATAAGGGGTGGGTTTCGCAAAGTAAAGAAACATAGATGACCATCCTAGTTGTGTCATCCATTCCTGCAAAGAACAAGAGGGATCACATTTTATATCTGAAAAAAAAAACCCCTATATATTAAACTTGTTTGTAATAGTCGCTCTACCTTGGTGCCCGCACAAAGAAAAGCTTGAAAAAGAAAAGATTGGAATTCTTCAACTTAACAAAAGAATTATCCCGTTCAAAACATTTCAAACTGAAAGCTAGGTGCTTTGTGTAAAAGAACTAGATCTTGTTGAATTTTCAAAACTGTTGGTAATTAACAACAATATTGCTTTTATTTTTCCTTTGATTAATCAATGGCGGCGCGACTCTCTACCCTATGTGTGGAGCAGACGTATTTTGAGTTCGCGTGGAACATTCTTAGAGAGCGTTCAATACTTGTTATATTAAGAAACAATCTTTTTTTAGAACTGATCATTAATGGTGCCGAACTAATGAACCCCAGATCGCCTTCGCTTGTTATTAAACAGACCCAATGTGTGACGTAAACGGAGAGTAAAATATTACGTGAAACATGTGTTTTCACGATATACTCCCATCTGCTATTGATATCAAAGTCTGCAATACGCTTCTTCAAATATTACCACAAAAAATTTCCAATCGGCTAATACCTTTTTTCCGTCATACTTAGGCACCATTAATTTTTTACGCGAAGCCAGTAACTTAAGCTCATAAACAATTGTATAGAAAATTTTGTTACAGTATGCCAAGAAATATGAACGCGTACGTCTTTAAAAGTTCAAAAATTCTGGGGCCCATACTCTCAGTGCCTGCTAGGGCGGATGAACCCTCATAAAGCCTGGAATACACACACACACCACCAAGTTCTTTAAACAGGATATGAAAGACTTGATACTTTTTATTTTGTGTTATTTTGTCTGTTTCTATAATGTCAGATTAAGTTCAAACGACAAGTAGAAAGAGACTCAATTTATTCAGTGTCACGTAAACAGTCGCAGACAAACAATTGTCTTAGGAGACGAAGCTAGAGTAACTTATTACCAACCACCTTGAAGAGGCTGTATTGATTTTAAAAGCAAATTTGCTTTAATGAAATCTTCTCTATATCGTGGATCGATACTGCAAGAATTCTTTTGGTACAGATATACGTCGATAACTGAATTATTTTCTAAAAAGAGATGTTAGTCAATTAGACAGCAGAGACATTAATGTGTCACACGTGACAAAGTGAAAATTGGTCTAACACACGTGCCAGATTATTTTAAGAACTTGAATAAATTTCTTTGTTAAAACTATTCGTATAAATGTAACATGTGATTGTATTTTATTTTTATTTTAACCCGACCAAATAAACAATTAAGTGGCGACTTGGCCAAGTGGTTAACGTGACGGACTAGTAACCTAAGTTTTAAGTATTGCTGACCGCGTGGATTCAAACCAAATCAGGGGCAAGCCGCTGGTTTTCGGATAAGGACGGTTATAAATCATCGACAAGGTGAACTGTCATTACGTCATTTTATGAACATCTAGCTCAACAAGTTTAACTTGTTGTCCACTTACATGTAACACTCCTTACATACATCATAAGTTTTGAGGCACATATAAATCATCAAATGTTTATAGGTCAGGGTCACAGGTGGGACGTATTTTTTTTCAAAGTTGTTTATAAGTAAATAAACATAGTTTCTACGGTCTTTAAAGAGAGCTGACAATAAACTAGCTAAGCAAACATTAATACTATTAATATCACGGTTGGTATTGAAACCTACCGTATCAGATCGCGATATAGTTTTTGAATTATTGCATTTCAAAAGAATGTTTGTCGTCTGCAATTCATTCATAAGATAGTCTGCGTAAATGTTCTCAAATTGTCGAACAAAACACAAGTTTAAGTAGCTTCTTACAAAAGAATAAGTCAGCTATAAAAGAAACCCGGTCTTCCCTAAAAAAAATCGTAAAACTCTTTGGCTAACCTTGATATTTAAAACCATTTGTTATACTCGCGAGTGCATTACAAATTCGATATTTGAAAATAGATTACATTTTGTTCGTTTATACTTGGTCACACAAACAAACTTTATATTTTGAAGCCATGACTCCATTGTTTAGCCATTGAGATTAGTAAAGTGCCTAATCTTTATAAAAGGAATGAATTAGATTAAATTTTATAAGACTTTAAAAAAAAATAGTCCGGAGTAATCTGACCTCTATCTACACATCTGACCTTACAACTTTTGCCAAAGGCAATATTAAACTTTTGAATAAAGGATTAAGACAACTGCCACAAAAGGGGACCATATATATTTATGCGCAAAAATGTGTATGTGTCCCTCAACGCAGAATTGAAATCTAATTTGACCGACAAATAAGCCAGTTTTGGGTATTTCTTAATACTCGACTTCAACCGAAGACGCCGGGTTAAAAGGGAACCTCACATATTCCTTCAATGTATACGACAGTCTGCGTTATGGCACAAATAGCTTTTTGTCGAGCCCAAAAAATGGATAAAAGATGTTGCTAAAACCGTAACAGAATGAGGATCTTACAACAACCGTCCTAGCTCCGTCGAGGTTGGAGAGATCCGGGGTTTAAAAATGACTGGCGCATGCATCATCAACATTTACAGTTTGATTGGATTACCGTACACTTTCCAATCATCACCGGTTTATTGTCTAAATAAAACAAAATTATCTTTTTTTCTATCGTCTGCAGCTGTTGAGCACGCGCAAATTCAGCCTCATCTTCACACAGCGCGAGCTAGCATCTGTTATCATGACGGGACACTCGTAGCATCTGTTCTCATACTAATGTTACAAACCATTTAAATGTTCGTCTGCTTATTATATAATATGGTACATATACTTGCAATATATTGAAACTGATCGACATAATGAACACCGCTAAACAAAAAAGACACCATTGAAAAAGACCTTGAGGTAGTCGATCACCACTGGATCTCGAAAGTTTACACACAATGCCTTTAGAATAACTTGTATTATTTCTTATGGGATTCTGATACAAATGTTCGTGTTTTCTTCACCAGTTTTTCCACAAGTACTTCGAAACATAATAAACGAAAATGGCAGACAAAGGAGACGAATATTGTTACATGTATTTTGTTCATCACGCACTCTAAAATGTAATTCACTTCAGTGCTTGCCGGTCAAACACTTCCGACTTGTTTTTCCCCCAATCAATCTGACAAGTCAGAACTTTATTTTCGTATTTATACAGTTTTCTAGCTGAAATATCTTCCATTACTTTTTTACATCATACAAATACTTTGGGGATTTAGCATCGGAATAGTTTCATGTCAGGGAAAAATCGATCATGCAAATGTTGTTTTCTCCAGATATACGCCAAAAATTGATAAGATGGTAGCAGACGTACACTCATAAAATATCAGTATGAAATATTACCCAACATACATTTGTTTGTTCGTAGCATACACTATAATGATGATGATATCGATTTATGATCACATATCATAGACCCCTATCTTGAATTCCCACGACCAGACTTTTCTAAAGCGCATCATATATTTTTTTTTATCAGGAAGAAGTTGCAAGCAGTAAAAACTGTTCACGGAAAGTACACAAGGGTTTCACACATTTCTTAACTTAAAATACGGATTAAAGGAATTATAGCCAAGATAACAAAGTAATCAAGAAAATATTTATACAGGTTTATAAATGTTTTTTGTAAAACATTCGGTATCATTATCAACAGCGCGCATGCCCGATTAATCATATATAAATACTTTGCTGTGAAAGGCACGCAAGAAGGCCAGACATATAGGTATAATCGTATTAAGTGACATTAATGTTTAAGTGAAAATGTGAAATATGCGTCTTCTTCTTCTAAAGTCTCTTAACAAATCTTAGTAAAGACGGCGAGACTTGTAACCAAACTTAAGAAATAAGTTGTTATGTGTTAAAGTTTGGCATTCTGGAACAATTTCACAAAATAAAATATATACAAAGAATAATATAGTAATTTGATAAAACAATGGTCTACCTACCTCCACCATTTCTGTAACACAAGAAGGGGAATCTCCAGACATTTCCGAGACCCACAGAAAATCCTATACACGCCAACAAGAAGTCAATTTTTCGAGACCATTGCTCGCGCTCGTGCACTCCAGGTTTCAAACCCTCGCTTGATAAGGTAGCGGTGTCCGTTGGGGTAGATGGTTCTAAAGGCTCTCGTTCTTCCCGATAATCTTCTTGATTTGCCTCCTTCATCTTTTCGTTCGTTGCCATGGTTTCTGGAATGACATAAATCGAGACGCCAAGGTAAGAAAAAACCTTTAAACTATAAAATGCGTCCTTACTCTCATGTATTTGTATTTCTTAAATATCAATACCACATCTGTTACTTTGTAACATTGCGTATAGGTTTTAAAATTCAGATTTAAACTTTAAAGGTTCTGTTTTAAGTACGTGTATATTTTATCATTTGTTTTTCCGGTAAGGCACTGCTTTTCACGTTTTCCTTAACTGGCCTCAGCCAGTCAATTAATTTACGGAAGTTATCTTTATAAAACATAATAACTTTTATCACATAGAAGGAAGATAACAGGGAAACTATTGATGAAAAGTATGCATAAGTATACATTCAGCACGGATATTCACACTTAAAATCACAAAAGAAAAAAAAGAAAAAGAAAACACACACACACACAACGAAATATGTTTTTGAAAACGTTGTTATTATACCTCTACATTCATTTGACATTTACTGATTATCACAAATAAGCAGAAATTACGATGACCGTGCAGTAGACGTTAGAGGGGTGGTAGAATACATAAATACGTATATTGCCGAAGATTTACGAAGATTTACGAAGATTGACAAGAAATCCCCGACATTATTTGATGTATTATGCACCTCGTCTGTTTTATTCGGAATGACTCATACAGACTGATTTAGAGATATTGATATTTGTAGTGAATTTGCATGTACAAGATATTTTCTCTTGTTTTTTTCCTTTTTACTATAAATAGATTGTTCCTATGCAGGATTTTATGAACTAGGCGACTTATACACACAATTTATGATATTATCTGTCTACATATCCAATTAAAACTTCCAATTAATCGTTTTATTAATATGTACTATTCAAATAAAAAGGAAATAACTATGTTTAAAAAGATATTGCTTTATCTCTGTGTCTAAAATCATTGTTACATACATGTTTATGACATTTTATGATGGTGGAGTGACCTTTGGAGAACGGCCAGCACCAGGCAAATAAATAATTATTAACTTAGTGTCTGACTTTGGTCAGTAAACATAATATGCACTGTGGCCATGGAAAGTCGATAAAATATAGTCCCTACATCTGATCTCCCAATGAACTACAATTACATTGTATATATAACTTCATACATTGTATTTATATCTAATGAAAAAGTACAGGTTTTATTCTCTTCGTCAAAAAATGATGATAATTTATATGTACATTATGTAAATTTTGATTAAATCAAATACTACGACGAGCGTATATTTCTTTTACTTTCTCATAAATTAACTATGGGTATGCATTAAGACAGATCCTATGTAACGATTTTCATGCTATAGTAAACCGAGTTGCGATTCGTCATATATTTTCGCGACACATAATTGTTTAATTTCATTAATGTTTTAATAAAGTACATGTAATAATAAACTCAAACTCAAGTTTACTAAGGTCGTAAATAACTAATCTGAGGAGTATTCTTACAAAGATTTGCACTTTGAAATGAAAATTAGATAAATAAAAGAATTATAATAAAAATAACAATAATAAAAATAATACATGGCGACAAACCAAATCAAAACTAATAATGGCAAGGGTGCATGCTTTCACCTTAACTTTAATTGCACAGATGTGAAAATACCCCCAAAATATATAGCATTACGAAAAAGTAAGAAAAAAACAACAAAATAACAACAACAACAACAACATCTCGTGAATAACGGTTTGTTTAGTTCCCACATTGCAATCACTCAAGATGCGTAGTACTGTATGAGAAGATAAATGACACAACGTGGAAACTTTTTACTGGGAAAATCATGTCTTGCCAAGAAACCAGCATAAGGTGATGCAATGTTAACTCATGGTGAGATGTTTAAAGGTTACTGACTGCTACAAATGTTCTCTATTGCGAACAGCGTACACGTACATGTATGTAATGTGAAGGCCACAATATATACTTTTAACTAAGGTCACACAGATTGGCATACATTATTAGTTCTTTAAATCATTACTACAATGGTCGGCAATTCACCTATTCAACATAATTTTATCAAAAGTGACTAAGAAACATATCTAAACTGAACATTTTTAATGGTTTTGTATTTAATAAAACAATTTACATAAAATATTATATTGAAATTCAATGTAGGTTTAAAATAGCTGGGATTTTCGCTGAATATCGTGTTTTATACGATTTTACGATGAACAGCTGAAAATGTTATGGAAATTTACCAAGCTGTATTGATTTTTATCATGTTAATGATGAACACACCGCATGCCTCTAGAAAATCACTTACATTATTTCTGTACTACACGTGATGTGTTTTCTAATGGCATGATTTGTTTGGATTTCCCAAGAAACGCAGCGGTTGATTGTTAATAATAGCGTTAAGAGCGAGCCCTAAGACCGGGAGAAAGGGGGCTTAACTTATGTTATATCAGTATATGTAATAAATTTCGCATTTCTGTAACAATAAGAAAATCTGAAGCTTAACCAAAAACTTATTGCTTTAATTAAGATTTTTATATCTCTTTAGATTGTGCCATTTATATAAAAAATATTGCCGGAAATATATATTTCCTATATTACCATGGCAACGACGTATTTGTATCGATCACTAATGATGTTGTGTTGATTTTGTATGTCTAATTTCACAAAAAGGTTTCTTCAAACAAAAATATAAAACGAACAAAGAGGGAAAATTCGTAAGCGTTCATGCACCCAACAATGACATAAACTATAGAGCATATATTATGGAATATTACTACTGAAAATATTTCTTGACAATTTATTATGGAATATTATTACTGAAAATAATTCTCGACAAAGTTTAACTTGAAGGGAAGAAAACTTTGGCATTTGGCTTCAACGAAGGCAGAATGGCGTAAATATCCTTTATGTACCAACTAAATTGTCCCTGGTTACATTTAAACTTTAAAACATTAAACAAAACCAGAGTTCACATGTACTCCTGGAGAAATTGGCACAATGGCATACAAAAACACCTTGTAACATGTGATATCATAAGACATTAAGAGTTTTTATTGGCTTTAAACACCAATATCAATATATTTTTATACACTCATCAAGCGTAACAAATGTGACGTCGTCAAAAGAATTAGTTGATAAAGCACATTATGTGTGACTTTTTCACATTACTTAATTTCATTTTACCAAAGAGTGACAAGTCCAAGTTCTGACCTAGGTCAGACGTTACAAAAAGGTATACAGTCAATATCGTTAAGTAAGTAAATAAACACTAGAAGTCGGTTATATCGCGTCATAACTTCCCGTATGAGCGGTTAAAAACGAATTTCGCAACGTGAAAATTACAAAACTAGTATGGACGTTTGCCATGGTTCATTTTGTAACGTAGTTTGTTAAATATTTTATCGGTTATCTATTATCCATGCCGTTTACCAATTTGTCATCACGATTATTAAAGCTTGAAAAAAATTCAAAGACTACTCCGGGAAGAAAATATTGAAAGCTACCTAACATTTTTATACACCAATGCTTCGCCAAATCATGGTCTCATGATTTTAGACGGTGACGTTGCAATGAATTAGCAGTAATTATAATAATATATTGTCAACAAATCGCCTTTAATTAAAAAAAACTATTTTTCTTTTAAGAACAACGCATATCTTAAGTATCAAAAACGCCTTATATTCGTCAAAAATGCATATATCTGTTTAACAATTTTTTTTCAATTCTTGGATCTAATGATACTTCCATACGTTACAAAAATAAAAAAAAACAACATCTTTTAAGAACAATAAGAAATTGTTTCATTTTAACAATAATTATTATTCGTCACTCATGACACGACAAACATTCAGTACAAACAATGACTTTGTTCACAATTATGACATTTCATATTTTTAACAGATTTAACACGCTATCTTTATTTATATTACCACATTTATATTAGAGACATGCATTATCTATGATGAAATATTATGTCATAAACGGTTCCATTTCGTGAAATTATTCCTGCAAACATGTTTTTGTTTTCTTTAATCTTGGAAGGGAGTAGCATATCAGTAACACAGGTATTGTGTGAAAGTGAAACTTGACCGATATTTTGTACGACAGCCAATAGAATCAACAGTAAACAAACCGAAGTGTAGCAGTTCACAATGCTACCAATAAGTAAATATACCCTGTGTTTAATCAAATAAAGGATTATTATTGCTTGCCCAGGGTAACATGTAAATATTCAATCGCTTAAAAAGTCAGCCAGGCACATTAAGTTGAGCAGACGACAAAAGGTCAGGCCGCGCCAAGAAGTTATACTGGTATTTTCTTTATTTATCGGATTTGTGTTGGTTGCAATCCACTTATATTTACTTCTGCGTCTACAAAAGGTTGTATAATTATATAGAGATTACAATTTATCCAGACGACTATTTATTAATATAAAGGTTTTGGGCTCTGATTAAAGTTTCTTTTTTGGCCTTTTTTCTTGCTGGATCACGTATTGCAATAAACATTTTGTTTTGTGAAAATTTTACCCACAAGTATGATAAGCTTTGAACTATAACAATGTGTTATAATCACTTTATCAATTAGTTTTATAGGTATATGAAGTAAAGCTTGGACCAATTCGTCATAAAATATTTGCCGCGTCGCCCACACAGCATTCGTGCCGGACCGTTTAGAAATACTAACATAGAGCAGATAATTCATATGTTAGTAATCAATCTTATAAATTAATTATAGCCATTATTCAACACAACAGCTATACAAGAAGAACAAAAGCTTTAAATAAAGCCAAATATGTTTAGAAAAGCACATTAAGGAAGGGGGTATTTACTTTGCATACTTTCATTCACCCGTGATATAAAAACAATACAACTATACAATATATCATATATCTAAATAATAAGTTGACACAATTAACATCTTACAAGTATTTATATTTACACCAAGAATTACGTATCTGGTGATTTAATTTATCAAGAATAAGATTTAAACCGGATGTAAAAATTGTATCAATGTATTATCTATTTATGGCAATATCCATGCAATTTCTTTTTATTTATTCAAACTTCACACACGATAAAATTATTGTACCCTTATTTTGCGTCTGTTTAGTTTTTAATTTACACCTTTCACCTATCAAAGTTTACCAAGTCCTTATTTGATTAAGTTAACGGATTTTATCCGACTCGTACAAAACTGAAGTAAATTCTACTATCTCATATTTCATCATATGAAACGAGCGGAAATATTTATTATCTTTACGCCGCAAAATGTATTTTAAGTACTTTATATGAAATTAATGCAGTTACGTAGTGGAAAAGTACAAATTATTTGTAAATTATAAATTCATTATTTACTCGGGCGGGTTTGTATTTAATCTGTTTTTGTAATCACGAGCAATGTAAGAAATATCGAACGAAAACGAAGTACAGGAACGAGTTGTATAGAAGTATCGTATACAGTATATTCTTTTGAATGAAATGTAAACATTTGATTTCCAATAGTTGCATAGCATTCAACATTAAAAACAAAAACATAAAAAACACCTCAATTTTTAACTCCATTTGATTACGGTCATTTAAACATGCACGAAAAAAAAACACATAACTTTAGAATATTATATCAACAAATGGCCATTTACCGTTAAAAAGCAATTTTGAAAATCTAAATGCACGAAATTTAGGTGGTTATATATAATGAATGGCAATTTAAAACTAGTTTGGTATTCGCACAAGATAACAATCATTGTACTGAATGTCATTTATAATAAAAAAAATTAAGGTATATGTTTGTATAATACTACATGTACAGGCTTAACTTTGAAATGAACATATCATGTTCGTCAATAATATTACATGTTCTGGAATCATGCAAGAAATAATATGTTACTCTGGTATCATAACAAACTTTTAACGCAGCACTCCAATTATTGTCGTAACTTAGTGCAAGTAAAGCAATGTCTCACATCTAAACCATGTTTTCATTGAAGTTCCAGCAAAAAAACTCCCAAAGATTTCTTGGAATTTTGTCAGTGTTAATAAACACAACAACAGTATTATGTTTACATTATGATAGTAAATAGCAGTCACTGTGGAATGTTTATTGCGAATAAACACATGTGTTGTTGTCATAACAAAATGTTTAAGAAGTCATATTTACATATTTCAAATTATCAAATTATCATACATTTTCAGGAATCGTAGAGGACATTTTTCCCAGTGTGTAAGTTATTCCCTACCCCCATATGACAAGGTCAGATGTTTGGAGTTGAGGACTGTTCGGGATAAGAGGGCGTTTGTCATTTCTACAACATGTACAAGGACGTTTTTTGTCCAAAAGCTTCGAAAAATTATAATGCTGTCCATTTTCGACAGCTGGAAAAAATAGAAACGTGGTAAAGTTGGAAGATAACTCGTTTAACAAAAACTTCTTTTCAGGGACGAAATTACAATAATTTGACATTATAAGCAGATTCTACTCAGATACTTTGTTACCTCGCTTCGGAATATATTTCTCTGATGTTACCTGAATTAGAGACCACTTTCGCTGCAGAATGCAATAGTACTTTTTGCGCTTTGAAGATAACACAATATGTTTATTACAGGTCTATCATTCCACCAATTTTCAGCAAAATAACGAGACTTTACCGGTTATTTCCAGCTCAATTCATGACACACGTGTTTCCTGTCATCCGATTCAGACCAGTTCATCTCATAGCAACAATCCAATAATAGTGTTACTTCGAAGAGTAGTTTGATTGATGTTAGAATTGATAAATGGTATTTCAATATTTAAAGAAAAAGATACAAAAAGTAAAATATATAAATTATAATAATAGAATAAACACAAAAAAATGTTCCAATAACGTATCAATAAAAAGGACTGTTCTATAAAAAAAACGCAAGAAGCACATTAGAATAAATAACCGAATAAAACCGATCAAACTAACATTTATTTTTATTGCCTGCTTTTTAACGACTTTCTATTGGAAAATTACCAAAGATGAAACATACTGGTCTATCGATTTTAACTCTACAAACTACCGCGAGCATATCTTTTTTTTATTTCATTAAAACATGAGAAAACACGGTTACCATAGCGACAAAGAAATCCCATTTTAAATGAATGAGAAATGAATCGATTTTATAACATTAATTTATCTAATATAATCCGATTAATTAAAATAAATCAGTACAATAATATACAATATTTTCACTCAAATACAATCAATTTTAAATCTGTACCTTGTATTTTCCGTTGAAATAAATCCAATACGAGTTTTCGTGAATACACACAACTTCGTCTGCCGCACGCTCGTACTACACTGAGCTATTTCATTCACGGAAAAGTCGATACAGATTTACTTCACGCTTCGTCTGTTAAGTAGCCAATTCAAAATGGCCGCCATTTTTCGGTATGCTTGAGCGCTCTATTTTTTTTCTATTTTGTTGTGATTTATGAAAAGTTCGGAAGGAATCTGTATGTTGAATCCCAATAATCTTGATATATTAATGTATACTTTGAATTATTTGCTCACATCGTTCCAGCCAGCTCTACTGACTACTGTTTCCTTATATGCGGGAAGCGGACTTTAAAGTGATTAGAATAGGTTTCACAATCGAGCTTTAAATTACATATATACTAATGTTTAAACAAAACTTAAGCTATTTAAACCCCAACCCCACCATTTTGTAAATCAAAATTTTGTTTTAAAAAGATACTGAAACAATTGATTTTGCGATTTTGCTGTGTACGATTATAATCACAAAAGAAATGTGACGAAACCCTCCAGATTGAAATGAAATAAACTCAAATCGAAACCAGTTCACGTAAGATTTTTTATGATATCAATTTCCAAATGTTGCAGATATCACATCAATTCTTCATAAAGCCATGTGACTGAACAGAAAAGTAGCAAATATTAATTAATAATCTCTTAACACATACACAATCACTTTAAACATTTATTTTGATTTAAAGTCATTTAATTGCCGAATAATAATAATTAATACAGAATTATTATGACAGTTATAAAATACAGTATTATAATATATTTAGCTAAACAGTTGCCTAACACTAGCAACTGGTTATGCAATAAAAGAAATACATATCGGATACAAAAATGATCATCATTTAAGTATAAGCAACGATTTCATTTTGTTTCATTTTGTTTCTGGCTTTCAAATAGTTTAAGGATAGGAAGTGCAATACAAATTATTCCTATATAATAGTACATCGTATCCAACTTATGAAAAGTACTGAACAGAAAACTGTTGCAGACTGACTAGTACAGTTACTAAGACAACATGACTGTACAAATACACTATTTTAACCCTTGGACTGCTGGCGGCGGCTGACTTTATCCATGCGACCGTCTGGACATGGTTTGCACTGTTTGTTTTTAGTCAGTACACATTTTTGAAGATTTTCCTTAAAATAATGAATTGTTTTGTGCAGATTAAAATATGGACAAGTCCATTAATGATAAGGGTTTAATAGTATAGTAGATAGTTCATAAATAGGCGAATAAATACGTAAGATATAAACATTTGTCATGATATATAAAAATAAATGATACTATATATGAATGCTCCTAACCTTTGATCTGTTAAATATTTTTTCCTGTTTCATATGAAGTGAAGTGATACTAATAAAACCTATGTTGTCATAACTGATGATCTATAAAAGTGTCAAAAATTGATGATATCTGTCATCGTTTTTACTGTACAAAGTATTCATTTTAAAGTTATACAACTTCGCTACTTTATTTTATTATAAGTAATAATATTCTGATCTTTTAATCGAAGTTCGTATCTTATTTACATTTACATTTACAATAAAGTAGTACATGTAGAGTTAAAAAAATAAAAACACAAAATAGAACGTGTCACTTTTATCAGTATTAAACATTTCACTCCTTAAATATTTTTTCAACAACAACAACAACAACAACAACAACAAGAATAAAACATAAATAAAATGAACTGAAAACACATGTATAATGATGGTTGCCCCTAAAAAGATAAAAATAAGCAGTAAAAATGTTCTGCTTATGCATTTTATTGCCATGATTTGTTGAGGTCACTAAATGTAAATTTCCATCACAAGTTTGGTAAACACATATATAAAGATCTAAATTTATAACTGATGCAAATATCCTATGTTACATTAGATCTAAAATAAGTTTTTACGCCTTTACCTCATCGTTTACACAATGGTGCTTTTATGACAAAATGTAGTAACTATTTCATTATTCTATAAATAAAAAAGAAAATACAAACAAAAGGGGTTATCAAAATATCAAATTGATTATAAACAAACACTCAAAGAACAGTACCTTATTATATTATTTTGGAAGATGTTGAAAACAATACATTTTGTATGTTTACTGTCAATACAAAACTCAGTCTTAAATCATCAGTAATGTAATACATAAACATTCAAATAATTATCTCATTGTTGAATAATCACATTTTTCATAAACTTCCTATGAGCATTGTCAATTAAATGCAACACTTCTTTAAAATGTTGCCGTATTTAGCATTTTTGAAGGCTTCCATTTTATCTATTTCAATGTCCGAAAGATTAGCTCGTATACTTAGAGCTACTAAATATACGTTACATCTTATATTTATTGATGTAACGATTAAACATCAAACATATTCCAATGCAAGCTGATGTTACTAAAAAACGAATAACCAGGTTAAAAGATGTTCTTTCATCTTCAAGTTTTGCGCAAAGTCAAAAATGATGTAACTTAATATGTATGTACTTTTAAAAGGATATATACCGAATACACGTAGGTTGAAAGTGTTTTAATTAATGTATTATAACGTGTACACTGTAATATACAATAATATTATAATTACAGGCTTTATCGGGAAATGTATGAGCTATCTGAAACACAGAAATCGAAAGAACTAAGTTTCTAAGCATAATAATGTTTAATGACTCACTTTGGTATTACAATTTGGCATCAGCTAGATATTTGCTTTCATCAATATTTCATTAAACTCGTTTTATTTGTTAATTGTTTTTTTTCCATTACAGTAGAATTTTTAAACAGGAACTGCATATATAATGTGAAACGTGAACCTCATAAGAAACAATTGCGTTTACATAGCTAATTAAAGTTTCAAATGATATGCAAACGATACAAAACAATGTTTAAAATTAATTCATTTTGTTTGTGATGTGCTTTTACGAACTTCACCTATCTACTGTATGCCTTCTAAACTGTCTAAAAGATCAAACAAGAAGTGCGCATGTGATTTGGAATATATCTGGTAAATAAACGAAACATATCAATGTATACCAAAGTGTATCAATCTGTGAAGATTTATATTAAACATTTCAGTATAAGTTTAAGATAAGTTTTAAATGATTGATCAGTTTTAAATTATTGTAACAGATACGTGAGATCTAGGAATTCACAAAATGTAAACATATTGTTGAAAAAATAAGACATGTATCTGATCACTTCAGCACTATTAAATAAATCATGAAGTGGTAAAAGTGATGTATAGTTTTTGTAATAAATACTTACAAACTGTAAACAAAGATTTGGATACAAATAGAGCTTTTCACGATACTTTTTGAAAAAAGGACACACCAAACCGGATTTGATTATTTCATTAATGAACTCGCTGGAACATCATTTTGATGCAGCATATACCATCTCCCTTGGAAGCAATTTGTCAAATTTGTATAAAAGAAAGAGGAGTTATTAGATAATTATACTAAATATTTTGTCAAGACTGAAACAAATTTTATAAAACATAAAGATGAAAATAGAAAAAAAAGAAATAAAAGGAAATGCAGAAATCTATAAACAGTACTAATTTAATTATTATTTTGTTGAGAAAATTCAGAAATATAGTTAACAACACTTGGTAAAATGTCTTTCAGAACTGGTACTGACACATGTCATTAGGCTATAGATAGGAACATCAAACAAGATATATACATGTATAAAATATGTGACGTCTGCTTTACCAAAATTGATCGTCTTCTGTTTCTGGTATACCAGGATAAAAACAAATCAACATGTGTGTTTAATTATTGATGATACAGTTTTTAATCAGTTAATCAATCAATGCATTTATTTCCCCGGTGGTTCAATCAATCACATGTTTACTTACACGTTTACAGATTAATCATGGTAAAAACAATCAGGTCATTGTTCCAAATAACGTGTGCTTCATAGCTTTGCTTTAATACTGTGACATATACAACAATGTAGGTTTTCGTTAAGAATAAACAAATGAGCCGCGTCATGACATAACCAACATTGACATAACCAACATAATTGGTTTGCGACCAGCATGGATCTGGACCAGCCTGAGCTTCCGCGCAGTCTTATCAGGATCCATGCTGTTCGCTTACCAACCCTATTACAAGTAGAAAAACTGATAGCGAACAGCATGGATCCTGATCAGACTGCGCGGATGCGCAGGCTGGTCTGGGTCCATGCTGGTCGCAAACGCACTATGTTGGTTTTGTCGTTGTCGTGACGCGGCCCAAATACTTCTTTTTCTTATTTGTAAATATCAAGAAAACAATATCTGTAAGACCTCGCAATTTTTTTTTGGCATTTTTGATATTTAAAAGCGTTGTAGTCTAGCGTTATTTATCTACAATAAAGTTAACGAAAGACAATGGACACCATGAGACAGAAAACTATTGTCCTGTAAAATCTTCATTCACCATCGTAACAAAGACATAACATAGTAAAATGATAGATCTGGTTTAAGCAGTTGATGGATATGACAAACTGAAAAAGTACTTTTACATACTTGAAGTCTCTTTTGTTTATAATCTGTAAATTGTAGACGGACATATGACGTTTTTAATGATACTCGTTTGGTCAAATCTTGTTACCTAGACTTTGTAATACATATAACCATCTGCATGACACAAAATGAAACATCATCCTTGGCGTACATGTACTTACTGTAGATTTAGAAGAAAATGTTTTTGGTAGTTGGAATGCCCGCCTGGGAAGGTGTTTCGTCATTGAAAATGTATGTAAAGCCTGGTACAATATTATCGAGAATAATTACAATAATTAAAATGCCAGTTTTATCCTACAGGGAACTACTATATGATCTATGACTTTTTAACGATAAAAAAACTGATGTGAAAAATATTAATGGGTGTCACAGAATGTATTTGTTATAGATAGTATTGGCACGTTCCACATTTCAACTCAATCTATTTCATGCATATTTTTCTAAAGCAGTTATTTGAAATATTTGTGTTTAAAGTGACTGTGAAATACGGGATACAACATTTTTGTATAGATTTTCAATTGGTATCTTTGTTACTCGATGTTAGACATTTTAATGGTCGTTATGTTGCTTACTTTTGTATATATTACCTGCAGCTTTGAATGAATATTTTAA